CCGAAAAAGAAGAATCTTGCAGAAAAGCAACAGCACCAGGGTTGGCTGATTTGAGGTCCCTGGAGCACACAATCTAGGCCAAGCTTTCGCCAACTTTGTGGCCTCTGGCTATTTTGGACTACAGCTCCCATCAGCCCCTGCCAGCCCAGACCACCTCATTATCTGATGGGCTACAAGTTCTGAAAACTCTGGCAGAGGAAACCTCATGCCTTGCACCCCTACCCACAAGAAGCCGGCAGGATAAGGAACCACCATAGATCGAGCCAGCCCTGGGGCGAAAAGCTCGCCTCAATCATCCACATTTCAGTAGGATCCCCGGGAAAGTGTAACATGTAGCCCAGCCACACCGCTGGAAGGCTGGAGTGGTTTTGTTGGCATCCGACTGTCTCGAGAGACAATGGAGCGTGCCTCCAAGGGTGAAGTCAAACGACTGCGTTAGCAGCAGCAAAGTGACCTCCTCAGGGTGCAAGCCTGGGCAGTGTGTAGAGAGGTCCTAGGCTGGCCTCTTGGCCTGACAGATGTGGTCCAAAGGAAGGCAGCAAAATATATAAGGCTGGCCAGTTGAACCCATTTCTCAGGTGTGGCCACTGTCGTACGCTGACACTTCTAGGAGCCACAGGTAGGAGTTGATTGCAAGGTGGGGACCAAAGGTGGACAAACTAGCCTAGGAGGAGCATGATGTGTCCCTCATCAGAGGTACAACCACTCCCCAAACACCCCTCTAAAGTGGTAGTCTAGGAAAAACTTCACTGCTACAAATAAAGGTAAAGGTAAAGGTACCCCTGCCCATACGGGCCAGTCTTGACAGACTCTGGGGTTGTGCGCCCATCTCACTCTATGGGCCGGGGGCCAGCGCTGTCCGGAGACACTTCCGGGTCACATGGCCAGCGTGACAAGCTGCATCTGGCAAGCCAGCGCAGCACACGGAACGCCGTTTACCTTCCCGCTAGTAAGCGGTCCCTATTTATCTACTTGCACCCGGGGGTGCTTTCGAACTGCTAGGTTGGCAGGCGCTGGGACCGAGCAACGGGAGCGCACCCTGCCACGGGGATCCGAACCGCCGACCTTTCGATCGGCAAGTCCTAGGCGCTGAGGCTTTAACCCACAAATACTTTCTGCTTAATATAGCAGAGGAGCCTGCAAACAGGGTTTTCCATAAGCATGCCGCCACCTGGTGGCAACTCGTGAAAGGAACATCAGATTGCTGCCAACAAATTTCATTTAGCATTAGGAAGAGAGAGAATGCTGTTTTGCTACTACTAAGGCTTGCTCTGATTCCCCCAGCCTGGAATGATAATTTGGGAGTGGGCGGGCAGGGAAAACAATGCCGTGGGGAGTGGGGAGAGAAGAAACAGCTTGCAAAATGTGAAAGAAACTGATCTGACTGCAACAGTAAGACAACCCCCCCCCCCAATTTTTCACCCTCCTTGGTGGTGACAAGTGAGATCTAACCCAAAGGTCTGGCGGCCACAGCTGCGAGAGGAGGAAGTTGGAAGTGCGAAACAGAGAAGAAGAAAAAGGAGAAGCAGATTAACTGCAGTATAGCAGCAACTTGTGTTTTTCCTCTACAGTTTGCAGAGGACCAGGGGAGGGGGAAATTTGGACTGTGTCTTTATCTTGCACGAAAGTGCACACAGTCCCCACAAGCAGACATGGGGTGTATAACTCAACAGGAAAGACTCCTGTGTCCCAGCCCCAGCTGAAATGAATTGGGAGCAGAACAAGCTTCCTCCTGGATTTTGCTCCAGGCCACACAACACTCTCCTTAGCTCTTCTTTAACCTCCCTCGTTTCCAGCAGGTATTTCTACTTTAATTGCAGGCAGGGGCGCCGACTTATAAAAAATATTGGGGGGGCCCATACCGGGGTCCATACTGGCGGCAGGATGGCAGTGGTGCTTTTGCATGCAAGAACCGGCCTGCCCTCCCCAGGCTTCGCGCCTGGAGGCGGCCACCCCCTCCTACCAACGTCACCTTAGCCAAACCCAGAAAAAAAGCCCCGCTCCGGCGGCGGGAACTCCCGTCCCCTCCATTCTCCCCTCACCCCGGTCCCTCGCCGGCGACGAATACGCCGTTCCTCGGCCCCGCAGCTCCATTCCTTTCTAAAGTCCCGCCGCTGGGGGTCTTCCTCTGACTGACCGACCTGCCCGCCCCTTCTCAGGAGCTCCCGGTCACTTTGGGAGGCGCGCGCCGGAGTCCCCTGCGCGGTTTTTGGCAAGGTGCCTAATAATTTTTTTAATTATTGGGGGGGGCAGAGCCCCCCCAAACGAATTTTTGAGGGGGCTCGGGCCCCCTCAGGCCCCATGGAGTCGGTGCCTATGATTGCAGGCATTATTGTCCCTGTTTAGAGGTGGTGGCCATTCAAACCTGCAACTCATTGCCCTCTGGCCTATAAGTTCTTCCTGCACCGTGCCTAGGTATGTGAGGGTCTCTTCTGTGTGTGTGATTTCTTACGGTAAGGTAGAAAGCACACTGCACAAGCTCAGTGGCACCTTTAAAGCTACAGTGGTACCTCGGGTTAAGAACTTAATTCGTTCCGGAGGTCCGTACTTAACCTGAAACTGCTCTTAACCTGAGGTACCACTTTAGCTAATAGGGCCTCCCGCTGCCACCGCACTGCTGGAGCACGATTTCTGTTCTCATCCTGAAGCAAAGTTCTTAACCCGAGGTACTATTTCTGGGTTAGCGGAGTCTGTAACCTGAAGCGTCTGTAACCTGAGGTACCACTGTACAGGTGTTTCAGATCTGAAACCATGGCACCAGGAAACACCTGTGATAATGAGGTCTGGAATATTCTATGTGTATATGTGTGAAGAAGATCCATTTCCTTCCCAACTTTTCTCCTCCTAACAATATCTGGATTCAGCATCCTGAATCACAGAACTGTAAAATTGGAAGGGACCCCAAGGATCATCTAGTCCAACCCCCTGCTATGCAGGAATCTCAGCCAAAGCAGCCATGACAGATGGCCACCCAACCTCTGCTTAAAAACCTCCACGGAAGGAGAGCCCACAACCTTCAGAGGGAGACTGCTGCACAGCTGAACAGCTCTTATTGCCAGAAAGTTCTTAATGATGTTTAGCTGGAATCTTATTCCTTGTAACGTGAAACCATTGGTTTGAGTCCTGCCCTCGAGAGCAGAAAAGAAGCCTGTTCCGTCTTCCATGTGACAGCCCTTTAGATATTTGAAGATGGCGATCACATCTCCTCTTAGTCTCCTCTTTTTCTGGCTAAACATACCCAACTCCCTCAACCATTCCTCAGAAGGCTTGGTTTCCAAACCAAGAGAGCCAGTGTGGTGTAGTAGTTAAGAGCGGTAGTCTCATAATCTGGGGAACCGGGTTCGCGTCTCCGCTCCTCCACATGCAGCTGCTGGGTGACCTTGGACTGGTCACACTTCTCTCAAGTCTCTCAACCTCACTCACCTCACAGAGTGTTTGTTGTGGGGGAGGAAGGGAAAGGAGAATGTTAGCCACTTTGAGACTCCTTAAAGGGAGTGAAAGGCGGGATATCAAATCCAAACTCTTCTTCTTTATCATCTTGGCTACCCTCTTCTGCATGCATTCCAGCTTCTCAATATCCTTCTTAAATTGTGGCACCCAGAACTGGATGCAGTACTCTGGGAGTGGTCTGACCAAGGCAGAATACAGCAGTATTAGGCGCTGTGGGTTAAACCACAGAGCCTAGGACTTGCCGATCAGAAGGTCGGCAGTTCGAATCCCCATGACGGGGTGAGTTCCCGTTGCTCGGTCCCTGCTCCTGCCCACCTAGCAGTTCGAAAGCACATCAAAGTGCAAGTAGATAAATAGGTACCGCTCCGGCGGAAAGATAAATGGTGTTTCCGTGCACTGCTCTGGTTTGCCAGAAGCGGCTTAGTCATGCTGGCCACATGACCTGGAAGCTGTACGCCGGCTCGCTCGGCCAGTAAAGTGAGATGAGCGCTGCAACCCCAGAGTCGGTCACAACTGAACCTAATGGTCAAGGGTCCCTTTGCCTTTACCTTTAGGACTTCCCTTGATCCGAACACTAGACTGGATCTGAACACTGTTGATGCCATCTAGAATTGCATTAGCTTTTTTTGCTGCTGCATCACGTTGTTGTCTCATGTGATCTACTTAAGACCCCTAGATCCTTTTCACATGCACTACTGGCAAGCCAGGGATGGGAAATGTGTGGCCCTCCAGATTTTGTCAGGACTACCAACTCCCATCGCTCCCAGTCTGAATGGCCAATGGTCAGGGACAATGGGAGCTGGAGTCCCACAACTCTGGAAGGCAGGATTTTCCAGGAGGTGTTTCAACCATACCTTTTATCGGCTCATGTGGGAGCAACATGGATAGCCAGCCCTGATGAATACTTGAGGTTCCCGACCCCTATGGCTATAATTTCATGGGCAGTCATTTAATTTTATCCTGATTCTAATTTTTAAGCTGTATTTTAATCAATTGTTTGATTGTGTTTTAATGTACAGTGGTACCTCGGGTTAAGAACTTAATTCGTTCTGGAGGTCCGTTCTTAACCTGAAACTGTTCTTCACCTGAGGTATCACTTTAGCTATTGGGGCCTCCCGGTGCCGCCGTGCCACTGTAGCACGATTTCTGTTCTCATCCTGAAGCAAAGTTCTTAACCCGAGGTACTATTTCTGGGTTAGCGGAGTGTGTAACCTGAAGCGTATGTAACCTGAAGCGTATGTAATCTGAGGTACCACTGTATTTGGCATTTGATGTTAGCCGCCCTGAGCCCAGTCTAGGCCGGGGAGGGTGGGGTATAAATAAAAAAATATTTACTTACTCATAATGTGTTGCCAGTTGGCAGTGGGCCACTTCCTTATTGCCAGCTTTCCTCTCTCCCCAAGAATCTAACTTATAATAAAGTCAGTGTCAGCTACATCGATTCTGCAATACAGCTTGAAAACCACAATGGCTGCATGGTGCTTTAGAAAAAACAGCAGCATGTGCTGATAAGCTAGATCTTCGCATATAAAAGCAAAAAGCAATAATAATATGGGGGTAAAGGATTTTTTTTGGCAGGGCGAAGCTGTATTCAAATAGTGAGAGAGAGCACTAGATACTGGATATATACAACTCATTGATTTATGTCTTTCATATATCTAGGCAGATTCCAACCTCACGGGCATCAACGATTTCTTTAGCGCCAGCAGATCTGGCCCGGACAATTTCGGGCGCAGGTTTCATCCGAAGGCGCAGTGTGTGTGGCGGCAAATGTCATCGATTGCCTGGAGGGAGGTGCTAAAATAAGCATCTGCTTGTTACGGAGCCTAATTGAGAAAGCGATGAAGAAAACGCGGTGGCAATTTTACACTCGTTTAAACATTCAGAAACTCCGCAGAGGAGGACTGCAGCGCAAAGCGGGAAACTCCAGGGCTCGGCGCTTCATCCCCATCAGTCGTCTCCACCGCAGATCCTGAGCAACGTGGCCTCATAATCCCCAGAAGTGTCAGACTGCAAAAGGCAAAACAAAAAACAGTCAGGAAGCCACATTAAAGAGGCACGCTTCAATCTCTTAACGTGGTAAATCCATTTATAGACAAAAGCAGCACTGCGCTGCAGTTATGGCTGCCAGGCCACATCACCCGTTAAACTAACTCTGCCATAGAGCAAGACCCAGGCCATGGGAGGACCATTAAACTGCGCAAAGGCTTTCCTGTCTAGCAAGAGAACGCTGCTGCTATAGAGAGAGGGCTGGCAAAAGGAAACCTTTAAAAAAGACATCTGGATCCCCCATAAAACCACCAAGTTAACAGCTGAGCTTGTTTTCCACTCAACATGATAGCCCAGGGAGGCCCTCGTTATCAGCAGACATCTGGGCAGAGAGCTTGTCTCCGCAGTCTGTCTATCTGCAGCCTCAAGGAAGCCTCAGCTTTTCCACTCATGGGCATCTGCATATGCAAACATGGTTGCTCTCACACAAGATTTCCACCACCTGTAATATTTACTTTTGAGTTTGTTTAATTTTTGGAGTGGTGGTTACAGTTTTAAAGCATCTTCATTTCCGCCCCCCCCCCAGGAGTTCAAATTATTTTATTTTAGTCATTTACAGAGTCTAAAAACCTCCGAAGAACCTTTTATGTGTCCTCCCCAGAAGCTGGTGCATCACCCCCCCCTTGGTGTTTCGGGTGTAGATGAACTGGGCTCTGTGCTTGGACACCAGTTTGATTAGGCCTTTGCTGAGAAGTTCCTGGAGCGCGGCTCTAGCCAAGGAGCCTCAAATCTTCAGCCTTTCAGAGACCACAGCAGGTGTGATGATTTCTTAGCTTGGCACCTCCTTGCACAGCTTGTCGTAAGTAGCTTTGTCAAACAGAACAAGGTTGTTCAACTTGTCTCTTACTTTCCCTTTGGACCACCTTCTTCTTCTTGGCTTTTCTGCCGGACTTGTTGACGGGGTCCTTGTCCTTCTTGGCCGACTTGCCCGCGTCCTCCTTCTTCTTATCGTCCTTTGGCGGCATGGTGCAGTCGGAGCGGCTACCATCGCTGCTTCTCCCTCAGCGACTTCCGGCCAGAAAAGCATCTTAATTTTTTTTAACTTTTTTTTTGATATGCATAAAATGCATAGAGGGCACAGGGCTCTTGCGACCTTTCCTGGTGGCGCAGATCAGCATGACAAGCTAGATTGGTTGAAAGTCCCTCTTTTGCACAAGGACTGAAAAGTCCCTCTTTTGCATCGGGCATGGGGGGGGGCACGACGCTAGCTTCTGGGTGACTGAAAAGAAAGTTTCAGAAGCTCCAATGCCTGTGAGTGGGAAAGCTTCTGCAGAGCTGCCTGCCACGATTTCGTATGTGACGTTTTCACATCAATGAGGACCAGAAACTTGCTTTTAAAAAAATGATAGCAAAGGTTCTCAGGGATTCTATGCTCACAGCCCAGTTCAGGAAAGTACTTAAACATTTAGCAGTGTGTTCACTTATGCTTTCTTGGAACAGCACTCAGCATCTTGAGAGAAGTCACGTTTTGGCCAGGGCATTTAACGTTCTCAGAAACCTCTGCAATAGGCAGCATTGCTCAAGCCCAGAAAAGCGTGAGAATGTTTAAAGCCTGCAGCACAATGCCAGGTTGCCAGCTAGAGCTTGGTAGGTTTACGGGACTTGGGCGGCGCTGTGGTCTAAACCACTGTCTCTTGGGCTTGCTGATCAAAAGGCCAGTGGTTCGAATCCCTGCGACAGGGTGAGCTCCCATTGCTCGGTCCCTGCTCCTGCCAACCTAGCAGTTTGAAAGCATACTAGTGCAAGTAGATAAATAGGTACCGCTGTGGCGGGAAGGGAAACGGTGTTTCCGTGCGCTCTGGTTTACATCACGGTGTCCCGTTGCGCCAGAAGCAGTTTAGTCATGCTGGCACATGACCCGGAAAGCTGTCTATGGACAAACACTGGCTCCCTCAGCCTGAAAGCAAGATAAGTGCCCCAACCCCATAGTCGCCTTTGACTGGACTTAACCGTCCAGGGGTCCTTTACCTTTACCTTAGGTAAATGCTATCAGGGCTGAGAGAGGATTGGTCTACTGTGTCATAGAACCCATCTGTGTAGAATTAAGAGAGCCCGGGTGACATTTAGGGATCTGCTTCAAGTAACAGAGGACAAATGTTCCTTAACTTCCATCACCTTCCATCTCCCTCTGCTTTCCAACACTGTCTTTCATGTCCAAGACCAAAGAAGTGGATTCACACACACAGAGAGAAAGAGATCTGGAATGTACCTGAAGCAATTGAGGTACTCACTTTAATAGCAGAATACAAGGAGACACCGTACAGTTTCTTATATTCAGCTCGAATATCCAAGAGGTCAATCTCTGACCTGGATGCCAGAATTCTGTTCAGTGTGAATTCATCTGTCCCAGCCCCCTATCAACAAGGAAAGGGATAATGATCATCATCATCATTATGATTATTTATAAAATTTGTATACCGCCCAATACCCCCAGGTATCAGAGTAGTTTCAACACAATATAAAAACACAAAAACACATTATAAAAGTAAAAACCAAAAAGAACCCAGTAACTTCCTCTTCTACAGACTCTGTACTTTGAAAAGCATACACACACACTCTTTACGTGTTTTGCAAAAAACTGCAGAAAACTTCCCTCTAATTTAGGGATGCCCTGCCATTCTCCAGATATTGTTAGACTTCATATCCCATCATGCTGGCTGGGGCTAATGGGAACTGGAGTCCAACGGAGAGCCCTAAGAAGGCTCCTCCCCCGCACCTTTGTTTGGCAAGGCTGCTCCATAGCAATACCACCTATACAATCCTCATCAGCGCATAGCTTTTTCCCTTGCAAGATTCAGTGCTATGCTGCCTGCAGTCTTGCAGGAAAGGTTCTCCAAGGTTCCAAATTCAGAGAGGTATTGTCCTTGCGGTAAAGGGACCCCTGACCATTAGGTCCAGTCGTGACCGACTCTAGGATTGCGGAGTTCATCTCACTTTATTGGCTGAGGGAACCAGGCGTACAGCTTCCGGGTCATGTGGCCAGCATGACTAAGCCGCTTCTGGCGAACCAGAGCAGCGCACGGAAACGCCTTTTACCTTCCCGCCGGAGCAGTACCTATTTATCTACTTGCACTTTGATGTGCTTTCGAACTGCTAGGTTGGCAGGAGCAGGGACCGAGCAACGGGAGCTCACCCCGTCACGGGGATTCGAACCGCCGACCTTCTGATCGGCAAGTCCTAGGCTCTGTGGTTTAACCACAGCGCCCCCCGCATCCCATTTTATGAAGTAATCAACGACAAATGTTTGAGCCTCATTCTGAAGGAGAGGCTAAACTGTTCTGATTCCTACAGGGTTTCTCTTTTTATTGAATAGCTGCGGGCCTGGCAGTATGGAGAAAGGAGCAGAATATGGGAGCAACGCCATGAAACTATGCAGCGCTGGATTTATGTATAAGCTAAACAAGCTATAACACTACTTGGCCCCTCCCCAAAAATTTCACTATTAATATACCGTATTTTTCGCCCTATAGGACACACTTTTCCCCCTCCAAAAATGAATGGGAAATGTGTGTGCGTCCTATGGGGTGAATGCAGGCTTCAGGAAGCTCTGCGCAACCCTCGGGAGATCGGCTCCGAGGGTTGCGCAGAGCTGCCTGCAGTCCCGGGATCAGCGCAGCTCTGCGCGGCCACCGGGAGCCGGGCACGAAGTCCCGCCCCGCTCCCGATGGCCGCGCAGAGCTGCCTGCAGTCCCGGGCTCAGCGCAGCTCTGCGCAGCCACCGGGAGCCGGACGCGAAGTCCCGCCCCGCTCCCGGTGGCTGCGCAGAGCTGCCTGCAGTCCCGGGATCAGCGCACTTCTCCCCATCGCCAGCCCCACAAGCTTGGGGGACAGCGGGGAGGCAGAGCGTGCCTTCCCGCTGTTCCCCGACGTGGTTCTTCCAGCCCCGCACCTGGGGGGGAAAAATAATTTCCCCCCCTTTATTTCCCCCCAAAAAACCTAGGTGCGTCCTATGGGCCGGAGCGTCCTATGGGGCGCAAAATACGGTACTTCTTCTTAATTGTATTTCAGTTGAACAATTACTTTGATAAAATACACATTCTGTTATGTGCAAATGGCTTTAGATACCTATTACAGTGGTGCCTTGGGATGCGAACGGGATCCGTTCTGGAGCCCCGTTCGCATCCTGAACATAACGTAAGATGCGACAGCGCGTCTGCGCGTGTCGTGTTTCGCCGCTTCCACACATGCGTGTGACATCATTTTGACCGTCTGCGCATGCACGAGCGGCGAAACCTGGAAGTAACGCACTCCGTTACGTTGCCGCGGAGCGCAACCCGAAAGTGCTCAACCTGAAGTGTATTTATCCCAAGATATGACTGTATGTCCATAAATTACCGTATAATATTCTACACAAAAAACGGCGACAATTTGTTGTTGGCAAAGGACAGCTGGACACATAAAGGGCCCCATTACCTTCAGTAGCTTAGGGCCTCATCAAACCTAAATCCGGCCCTGAAACTACGTCGTCATAAGACCTGAGTCGTACTTTTTAACCTTACAGTGTCATCTCAAAGCATCTCCTTCTGTGAACAGATGCCAATTGTATGTTTCAACCCAAATATTCCTGTTTCCTTTGTATGCCGATAAAGGTTGAACGACTGATTGAAGAAGGCAGCGTCTTGTGTCCTTACCTTCAAAGACTTGTGCAGCCTTTCAGCAAAGAATGCTGGAGTGTTGTTTGCACATTTGACTATCAAAAAGAAAGAAAGAAGAGGGTTAGTAGTTGTCTCCATTATTGCATTTTCTCTGCTGGAACAGCTATGGAGGAGTGCCAAGGTTGTGCAGAAAAGTGAAATTGGTGGGCCACCACAGCGCTTGCAAAACATCCAACCCTCAGTGTGAGTGTAGTGGTTAAGAGCAGTGGACTCATAATCTGGGGAACCGGGTTCGTGTCTCTGCTCCTCCACATGCAGCTGCTGGGTGACCTTGGGCCAGTCACACTTCTTTGAAGTCTCTCAGCCCCACTCACCTCACAGAGTGTTTGTTGTGGGGGAGGAAGGGAAAGGAGAATGTTAGCCGCTTTGAGACTCCTTAAAGGGAGTGAAAGGCGGGATATCAAATCCAAACTCTTCTTCTTCTTCATTCAGAACAGATGCATTCTGTTTCATGCTTGTTTACAATGCCTTTGTCGGTATTTTTTCTTACTGCTGCCCCCTCGTGGGTAATTATGTTAACTGCATTTGCACATAGTGATGCATGGAAATGAGAGCTGGACCATAAAGAAGGCTGATCACTGAAGAATTGATGCTTTTGAATTATGGTGCTGGAGGAGACTCTTGAGAGTCCCATGGACTGCAAGAAGATCAAACCTCTCTGTTCTTAAGGAAATCAGCCCTGAGTGCTCACTAGAAGGACAGATCCTGAAGCTGAGGCTCCAATACTTTGGCCACCTCATGGGAAGAGAAGACTCCCTGGAAAAGACCCTGATGTTGGGATAGATGGAGGGCACAAAGAGAAGGGGATGACAGAGGAAGAGATGGTTGGACAGTGTTCTCGAAGCTACCAGCATGAGTTTGACCAAACTGCGGGAGGCAGTGGAAGACAGAAGTGCCTGGCGTGCTCTGGTCCATGGGGTCACAAAGAGTTGGACACGACTAAATGACTAAACAACAAAGCATTTGCACAACTCTGCAGACTTCCTTTAGAACAGGTCAAGCTGTCTCCCGAACTCCGTGAAAATGCAATGGAAGCTTCCATTTCCTTGCAAGTACTAAACTGGATTTGGGGAGCTTCTGAATGTGCTCCAAAAAAAAAATAATTGACACAATTGCACCACTTTAAAAAAAAATTTAAAATCTGCATGAATGCTTTTGAGGATTTTTTTTTTTAGCTCTGAATTAACATGTTGTGGCAAAACTAAGCAGGTTTATTCATTTATTGGTGTGAGGAGAGAGAGATGAAGATAACAAGACTTACCCATTGCATCAGAACATTTACAGTTAGCATATATATATATATCCAAGGGCTTTAATTTTAGGATTCAAAACTCAAAAATGTCCCAACCACCTAGGCTTGGGTGTCAAGCATTTTCTTTAATTCTGCCCTTGTTAAAAAAGAAATTCACTATAAAACACACATGCAATACAGTGGTGCCTCGCAAGACGAAATTAATTCATTCCGCGAGTTTTGCCGTCTTGCGATTTTTTTCGTCTTGCGAAGCACGGTGTCGGGAAAGTTTTGGAAAAGCTTCAAAAATCACCAAAGTCTTTAAAAACCTCAAAAAAGGCTACCACACCGCGTTCTATGAGTTGCTCCTCGAAGTCAAGTCGCAACTGTATTAACGGTGTTAAGAAAAAGGAAACAAACCTGCAAGACGTTTCTGTCTTGCGAAGCAAGCCCATAGGGAAAATCGTCTTGCGAAGCAGCTCAAAAAACAAAAAACCCTTTCGTCTAGCGAGTTTTTTGTCTTGCGAGGCATTCGTCTTGCGAGGTACCACTGTAACAGAAATAGAAGCTCAGGTAAGTGCTGCAGTACTGAAAGCTCTACTGAAAGCAGTACTGAAAGCACGATTTAGCGCTTCTGTGCATGCGCAAGAGCCGAAACCCAGAAATAACCGTTCCGGTACTTCTGGGTTCAGCATGGTGCGCAACCCAAAATCGCGCAACCCGGAGTGTCTGAAACCTGAGGTATGACTGTAGTTATATATCACACAGACCCGTTTCCTCAAGTCCTCCTTACCTATGGCCAGCAGCAGGTCTTCAAAACTTCCTGAGGTTTCGCTCTGGATGCTGTCTTCCAGTTTCTTCCCACTGATATTTCTGTATTCTTCAAAGGCTTAGGAACGACAAGAGATAAGAACGCCAGCGCTGTTAAGGGGCATCTCCAGGTGGTAGAAAAATTCGCAAGACCTGCCCTTTTCGCCTCCCTTTAATGAACTGCAGAGAAAAAGAGAGGACCCCCAGAATGGTTTCTTACTTAGTTTCAGCTGAGGGAAACTGCTGAAGCACAGAACCTCAATGAATTTGCCCTCGTCGGTCCCCCACCTCTTCTCGCCTGCGTTGTACAGGATCTAAAAGAAGAAGAAGAAGAAGACTAGAGATTAAAAGCTTCCCTGTATTCTTTGCCTGGTCTCTGTTGCATTCTAAACACTTCCGAGGTAGGTTAGCAAAGGAGGAAGGCTGGGGCTCGTGTACCTTTAGTTGTTGAGGGAATTTCAGCCCCTTCTGCTCCTAATAAAAGAGCAGAAGCCCTCAGGACACCAGGAAGACATTTTTTTAAAAAAATAAGAAATGGGGAAAATATATAATTTACCTTAAAAACCAATGTAAACAATTAAAATTATTAGTCAAATTGGAATAACACTTATCGTTTCTCCCCTGGTCTCCTTGCGAGCGAAAAATACGGTATTTCAATTAATTGATTGTGATTTAATGTAAACTGTGTTATTGTTACTGTTGTTAGCCGCTCTGAGCCCGGCTTTGGCTGGGGAGGGCGGAATATAAATAACATATTATTATTATTATTATTATTATTATTACTACTACTACTACTACTACTATGCACTTCCTTTCCAACTCTCCAATGTCCTTTTGGAGATGCAGACATCCCGCTGTCCCCCCCAAATGCTTCTTCAGAAGGATGGAGCAATCCCAGCCCTGCACAGTTTACGATACAATATGATACGATAATCTTTATTGTCATTGTCCCATACAGAACAACGAAATTGAAAAAAATCTACATCAGACATTCAGAAACCAACAAGCCTGCTATCCCAGCCTGGTTAGCCCCCTAAAAACTCTGATACCCCATCATTAAATACAATATACTGCCATAGAGACTACCTTACACTGTGTTTAAAACCAAAATCGCATTTGGATAGAAACTGTTTCTCAAGCGGCTTTCCGGCTCAGAAACTCTAAGAAACATTTTTAAACAGCTCAGAAACTTCCCGATTGGCCAAACCTACAGCCGACACCTTTCTGGATTGCTATTACCTGAGCGTCCTTCTTTGCTACCTGCTCATCCGGTCTTTGATTCTCATCTCTTCGGCCCTGTGATCACATTGAGAGAGGTTTTAAAAGCTAAGTAAAGTAAGAGCACCCGTCACATTAAACAGCATTTGGAGCCAGTCCTGTGTCACAAGCAAACGGGAGATGGAGAGCAGACAAGACAAGGTTTCCTTTGCAGGAGGGCACAAGACTTGGGGCACTCCTGTAGCAATGGATTTACGTGCAAGTGGTGCTGTGGGTTAAACCACAGAACCTAGGACTTGCCGATCAGAAGGTCGGCGGTTCGAATCCCCGCGACGGGGTGAGCTTCCGTTGCTCGGTCCCTGCTCCTGCCAACCTAGCAGTTTGAAAGCACATCAAAGTGCAAGTAGATAAATAGGTACCGCTCCGGCAGGAAGGTAAACGGCGTTTCCGTGCGCTGCTCTGGTTTGACAGAAGCGGCTTAGTCATGCTGGCCACATGACCCAGAAGCTGTACGCCAGCTCCCTCAGCCAGTAAAGCGAGATGAGTGCTGCAACCCCAGAGTCGGTCACGACTGGACCTAATGGTCAGGGGTCCCTTTACCCTTTACCTATATAGGTTGAGCAGGCATTACCAGGCACCAGTCTCCCATGGGTGATGCCCCCACCCCAGGCAACAGATTTGGGGGCAGGAGAAGGGTCAGCTGAAGGAAAGGGCTGTGGTGGAACATCTACTTTGAATGCAGAAGAAGGGGCGGAATTTGGTAATATGGCGCCCTGGGCAGGAAATTTGGTGCCCACCGCTAAATATTTCTTCTTTTCACAACAATTCATTTGGGTACAGTTGCTTTTTATGGATCTTTACATGGTACCCATTAAAATATAGGTTTTATAATCATCATTATTTTGTGCCCCTTTGACTTGGCACCCCGTGTGAGGGAACAGCCCACACTGCACTAAATCCAGTGCTGGCAGAAGGCTCTGGGTTCTGTTCCTGTCATTTCTAGTTGGAACTGGGGAAAAGTCTTGCCAGAAGTGCTGAATAATTCCTGCCATTCAGTGTAAGGTGGACCAGTGGTTTGACTCAGGGCAGTTACCTACGCTCCGAACTGTGTATTTATAAGAGCCAGAGTGACCAGTTATATAAGCCAATGCAGCTACAGAGTTCAACAGTTATCCTACGCACAGCCTCTTCACCCCTTCTTCTGAACGTGCTGTCATGATCGGAACTCAGTGCAGGAGGGGATCACAGGATTTGGACCCAATGTTTGCATTGGGCCTGTTGAAAGAGAGGTGTAGAATCCCAAAAAGAAAGAAATATCACAAATAAGCTAACGGATTTGGGAATCTTGGAATCCCAACCTGGCCATAAACGGGCAAGGCACAGGTAACAAGAGAATTGCTGGAGGCTCTCTTACATCGGCCAGAGTTAACAGGGCTTGTCGGAAGTCGCCAGATGTGTCGGAGCTGATGTCGTCCCCGAGGCTCTTCTTATAAACTGGAAAGAAAAAACCCATAAGCAAAATTCCAGGGACCAGGAGCAGTAAGGAATGCCATGCGTACGACAATTCACATGAGGAACAAGGAAAACTTTGTGTTTGTGCTCCTTGGAGAAAAAAAGGTGAGATAGGGATGCAGTAAATGAATAAACATAAATTCGTATTTCTCGGCTGGCTGGCTTAACGCAAGGCGGTGGTCAAGTAGTGAACCGCCTCTTCTGAAACTTGCCTGCGCATCACCCAACACACACATTCCTCCTTAATCGACGTTTCTCAAGCTTGGGTCCCCAGCTGTTGTTGGACTACAACTCCCATCATCCCTAGCTAGCAGGACCAGTGGTCAGGGATGATGGGAGTTACAGTTTAGCAGCTGGGAACCCAAGCTTGCGAAACACTCCCTCAATTCAAGAGATACACTTCCTGTTGCGACTCTTCATGATCCCATGGACCAGAGCACGCCAGGCACTCCTGTCTTCCACTGCCTCCCGCAGTTTGGTCAAACTCATGCTGGTAGCTTTGAGAACACTATCCAACCATCTCGTCCTCTGTCGTCCCCTTCTCCTTGTGCCCTCTATCTTTCCCAACATCAGGGTCTTTTCCAGGGAGTCTTCTCATGAGGTAGCCAAAGTCTTGGCGCCTCAGCTTCACAATCTGTCCTTCCAGTGTGCACTCAGGGCTGATTTCCTTCAGAATGGATAGGTTTGATCTTCTTGCAGTCCATGGGACTCTCAAGAGTCTCCTCCAGCACCAAAATTCAAAAGCATCAATTCTTTGGTGATTAGCCTTCTTTATGGTCCAGCTCTCACTTCCATAGATCACTACTGGGAAAACCATAGCTATACTGGCCTTTGTTGGCAAGGTGATGTCTCTACTTTTTAAGATGCTGTCTAGGTTTGTCATTGCTTTTCTCCCAAGAAGCAGGCGTCTTTTAATTTCGTGGCTGCTGTCACCATCTGCAGTGATCATGGAGCCCAAGAAAGTAGCTGGACAGCTGGACAGAATTCTGAGGGCCAAATGGAAAGGGCTGGAGGGCCAGAGATTCCCCCCGCCTGCTTTTAGAGGACATCGCCAAGCAATTAACCACAATCGTTCGCTTGCAATGCCAGCAGGCCTTGAAGAAGTCCATCACGGCTCAATAAATGTGCTCTCCAAACTTGTGTTATTTGCCTGGGCTCCCCATTAGAATACGACGTGCTCAAGCATGAAGCTAAATGCACTCCTAGTGAAAAGCTTTACCCACTTCACCAGGAAAACAGCCATAAATCTTCCAGATATTAATCAAAGCCATGAGCCTCGCTGCTACCCCCAGAGCTGTACCGGCTCCAAGTATAGACTCCGCTGGGCTGGCTGCATTAAACTGTCCAATCCATCATGCTCAGCTTCTCTACAGCTCAGCAATTCATCTTTTTGAAACGCAGCAGAAGAGGATCCTTTCCAGGAAAGGACCTCTAAGAACCGAAGCAATCTGGCGATGGGTTGCAAGGAGGAAGACCTGCCAAGCATCCCAGCAAGCAGAAAAGTGGCCAGCTGACATAAGCCAAAACTGAGTAAAGGGGATGAGGGTTAAATACAGTGGTTCTCAACCTGTGGGTCCCCAGATGTTGTTGGACTACAACTCCCACCATCCCTGAGCTCTGGCCTTGCTAGCTAAGGGTGATGGGAGTTGTAGTTCAACAACATCTGGGGACCCACAGGTGGAGAAAAGCTGGTTTAATAGCTACTCGCTTGTTCCCTTGGTTTCATGACAATTACAGATACGAACCGGTTGACTATAGACACAGAGTTTGTTTGGACAAATATATTGATATCCGGAAAGCATAAATACACAACGTAGTGGGTTATTGATAACCATATTTAGATTAGGATAATAATGTCACTTATATCTATATAATAACCTATAGCATTTAAATTTGACTTTACTTAATGTGTTACATTGCTGTTTTGGTCCATTTTCCTCTTCTCTCTGTTTCCCTTTCTTCACATTTTCTTTTCTTTTCTTTTATAAATGAATACATGAATAAATGAATATTCAGATTAGGTTGCTGGAGAAGACCCAACAGAATGTGTATATGTAGTTGATCTTAAGAGAATCAAGCCAGGCGAGGATACGAACACTATCAAGAAAAGGGATCTGACTGCCCCAAAACTTTGCACAAAAGGTATTGAAAGTGTGATCACGCCTGAATGCTCTTGACAGCACCAAAAAGCACAAAAATCATCCTGGACACACATGCAAAAGGATGTCTAGAAGGGCCCCAACTACATAAGTACTAGAGGACTGGAGAGGAGTTTGGCCCCATTGTTAAAGTGGCTAATTGACACCATGGAGCCGGGCTTAATGAATCTTGCGATATATATTCTCAAAGGGCAAAGCAGCTAAGATTTATAAGGGCCTGACACATTACTCCAGGCTGTTTAAGAGATTGCTCAGATACCTCAGGATAACTTTGCCAGATTTACTCCTTAGATTTATGACATTATTGACTCATCAGAGCACCAAATAAGTCAGCCTCCAGGAAGCCTCTGTTTGCAGGGAAAGACGATGCTCAAAATCTTGGTGGCTGAAGGAGACGGCATTCCACTGCAACAGACTAGCTTCTGCCTGCTTCATCCTCTCCACACCAGCCCAGAATTGCACTCCTCAGCTATCCAGCAAGAAAAGGTCTTCTCCCCACCCATCCTCCTGCAATGACTGAAGAAACCTCTTTGACCGATCTCCAGGTAGCATTGTCTGCTGGAAAAGTAGCAATTACAGCAGCTGCCTGACCACAATCCCTTCACTCAAAGTCATCGTTACCTGTGTAATATGCCTGGGCTACTTCTTTCATTTGCTTGCTAGTCCTTGAGGCCAGGATCTCGATCAGAGCCTGCTCATCCGTTCCAGTACCCTAGAAGCAAAAAGAAGAGGAAGAGGATTTGTTTAGCCTGGAAAAGAGGAGACTGAGAGGAGATCAGATGGCCATCTTCAAATATCTCAAGGGCTTTCAGATGGAGCAAGCTTGTTTTCTCCTGCTCCTCGAGGGTAGGAATCGAACCAATGGCTTCAAGCTACAAGAAAGAAGATTCCGACTCAACATTCGGAAAGACCTTCTGACAGTAAGAGCTGTCCATCAATGGAACTGTCTCCATCGGGAGATGGTGGACTCTCCTTCCTTGAAGGTTTTTAAGCAGAGGTTGGATGGCCATCTGTCATGGAGATTCCTGCATTGCAGGGGGTTGGACTAGATGACTCTTGGGGTCCCTTCCAACTAAGATACTATGATTTAGGCACTTTCCATTGTAGGGTCTCCTTGGGGATCTAGCAAGCTTCTGAAGAGCCAAAAGACAAAATGTCAACAGAGGCGATAACATCCTGAAGATTCATGGCAGCAGAAGGGAGATGGACTGAAGACAATTCAGCCAAGAACTCCTGAGCTCCTAACTGACATCAACACAAGGGCTTTAAGTGAGTGCTTAACTTTTTCACCGAAGCCACGGGGGGCTTATCATTCCCTTGACTGCACCTATCGGGATTGGTTAACACCGCTGGCGAACAGTCAATGGTGTGAGCTAACAGTTTAAATGGGCGCAGAAAGAATCGACCAATGAATTGATCAATCCATTAACTGCTGGTCCAAAGTATGGATTTTAGAACTGAGCTGCCCTCTGAAAGGATTGGTGGCATTGAGAAAGATATTTACAGCACATAGCGTCCCAGTTCATTGACACAAATGTGATGGTCCTCGTTGGGACAGAATGTCATGCCTGAATCAGAACATCTGTGTGTCCTCTGGGGCCAAAATCCAGAGAAGAGGCATGCATACACCAGAGGCAACTGTATGGAGAGGGGGAGCTGTGCTTGCTCTTCCTCTACTGAAGAGGCTAGCTGCTGCTCAGTTTTATGAAGCGGCTTGTCTCCTCCGTTAAGTGACAATTGCTGCAAGGGAAATGGCAAGCAGAGGCTCCAGCTTTGAAAGTGGCTGCAACCTCCACATGCCTTTTTCTGAATCCCAAACCACGTGCGAAGACAACTTCATTTAAAATGAGACATTCTCGCAATGTGGTATGGCCATCTTTTAATTTCCTCAAAACAGCAGCGGACGCAAAAAAAATATGGCAAGCAAAATTTCCCAAACGAGTAAATAACAGAAGGCGCAGCGCTGTCGTCGTAGACTTACTTTCATGGATTTCTTCAGTTGTTTAGCATCAAACACTGCCGGAGGCGTTACAAGAGCGACCATTATACGCTCCAAATTGCCAGAGAGATCCCCCTTCAAAGCATCTTTCATATCCTTTTCAAAAAGAGAAAGAAACAGAGCTGTCAATGTTTCTCGCTGTCAAAAATCCTATCCAGGCTCCAAGGACGGCCTGCCCTTTACAACAGAGATAAACCGTCCACTGAATCTCTCTTTTAATTGTAGCTTCATTCTCAGTGAGGACAAAACCCTATGCCTGGGCAAGACCACTTCACACAGCACATTAAGCAGCCGAAATTTGTTTCAATTGTGGTTTTAAACCTGGGCTGCACATGGTTTCATTCCATCACTGTTGCAAGCATGGCTTGTTTGTTTTGATGTATTTCATCGCTGATGCTAACGTTTACATACTGGGTTTTGAAGAATATGCTTTGTTTGCAAGGTGCCCAGCAAATATTTACTGATGGGTGGCAATGTCAATTTAAAATAATGAGAGCAGCAAGAAAATAAACACACATGAGAGAGTGCACTAGGAATGACTGCTCCTCCAGCCAAAAGATCCTTGCAGCTGGAAAACTAGGAGAAGGTTGTCTACATGGAAGAAGAGAGAGAGGGGGAGAGAGAGGGAGGGAGGGAGGGAGGAGGGAGGGAGGGAGGGAGGGAGGAGAATCCATCATGTCACCTACAGCCTGATGTGGTCCAGACATGCAAATTGATAATTAGATCTCTGCCTCATCTCGGACTGAAGAGACCTGACCTCATTGTCAGGAGCTCAGCCAACACGCGAGTAGGACTTTGGCAGAGACACATGCCCGACTAGCATGTTCTCTCCCTCCTGGTCGATTGTTCGGGAGCTTCAAAAGCTTTCTTCAGCCTGAACATCACAGCGACCGATGCAACAGACACCGGCACACTTAGGGATCTGCAGAGTGTTCGCAGTTTGCATAACAGACCTCAGCAACTCAGCATTTTGGCTAATCTACTTTATTTACATATAAACACACGCACGGAGCACTGCAACATGGCTCCCTCTCTCTCTAGAATCAGACAGCAAAGAGAAAAAGAACAAAGGACAATAGTCCCACTTCACGGAACACAGTAACACAAGCATCCTGTCTCCGTCACTTCCCATTTTGTGGAGTCAAAACATATACCATCATGTGATAGACAACAATTCCATGACTGCAATCATGGAGCAGGAATTCTAACACTCCTAACCTCCCAGGGATCCTCACTAATCCACCCTGACTGCTGATAGCATATGGCAGGCTTCCTCAACCTCGGCCCTCCAGATGTTTTTGGCCTACAACTCCCATGATCCCTAGCTAGCAGGACCAGTGGTCAGGGATGATGGGAATTGTAGTCTCAAAACATCTGGAGGGCCGAGGTTGAGGAAGCCTGGCATATAGCTTCAGGACTTGAGGACTTCTTGGATCATTCTTTGTCTAGCTCCTTCCCTTTGACCTTACCGCCTTGGGTGACCCTGCTGGGAGTACGAGATTTCCGACGGCTTCGCTCACAAGGGTCATAGGAACGTGCAAGCCCACTCACCACGACAAGGTGATGATCCAGCAAGTGAGCAGTCATATTTAATGGTGTCATCACAAGAGAACACCTCCCCCCTTATTCCTGATGGGAGTCTTTTGCAGCCTAGAGATCATCTCCGAACCATACCTTTCCTGCAGCTGCCCTGTACTCCTTCGCAATCAGCTGCCGCTGAGCATTCGATCTTCCTGTGAGGATGTCGGTCAGGGTTTTTTCATCAGTGCCTAAAATGCAAAACAGAACCGATTTTTTTTAAAAAAAGGCTAATAAGTGGTTCAACTCCCAGGCTAAAAAAATCAGAATAATCACATTCAAATAATGAGTTTAAACCCACTGCAATCTGCTACTCCCTACAACATATTTTATTGATTCGGTATTACATTTATAAAGGTAAAGGTACCCCTGCCCGTACGGGCCAGTCTTGACAGACTCTAGGGTTGTGCGCCCATCTCACTCAAGAGGCCGGGGGCCAGCGCTGTCCGAAGACACTTCCGGGTCACGTGGCCAGCGTGACATCGCTGCTCTGGTGAGCCAGAGCCGCACACGGAAACGCCGTTTACCTTCCCGCTAGTAAGCGGTCCCTATTTATCTACTTGCACCTGGGGGTGCTTTCGAACTGCTAGGTTGGCAGGCGCTGGGACCGAGCAACGGGAGCGAACCCCGCCGTGGGGATTCAAACCGCCGACCTGACGATCGGCAAGTCCTAGGCGCTGAGGCTTTTACCCACAGCGCCACCCGCGTCCTATTACATTTATAGCCTACCCTAAATGAGGTTGCATTTTAATGTTTTAATGTTGTATTTTAATCTTGTTTTTTAAGCTGTATTTCAACCAATTGTTTTATATTTGGTGTTAACCGCCCTGAGCGGGGAGGGTGGGGTATAATTAATTTTTATTATTATTATTATTATTATTATTATTATTATTAGCTTTTCTCCATGCAGCTCAAAGTGGCATGCATATTGTAGCCCTCCTTCCTCTTTCATTTTAGCCTCACAACAACCCAGTGAGGAAGGTTAGGCCAAGGGACTATGCCTGGCTCAGGGTCACCCAGTGAGCTTCAGGGCTGAGTGAAGATCTGGTCTCCCAGGTCTTAGTCCAACACTCTAACCACTACACCTCGCTTCCCTGTTCGTGCCAGGAGTGTTGTAGAAATTGGCTTACTGCACACAGGTGAAGTTTGCCTTCTTTCTTCCACCCACTTTGCTCTGGCCCTGCTCAGAAGCCATGTGGCCCTCGAAGGATTGCCCAGGAGGGAATGTGGCCCTCGGGCTCACAAAGGCTCCGCGTACCTGCTTTATGCCCAGCAAAAAAGAAAACCCTGGTCCTAATCTTGTGCGCTACTCAGGACTGGCCGCTGCCTGGCTGGGTGTCAGGAGCAGGTCAGCAAAAACTTAAAAATGCCAGTGAAGTTAACTCTTTATCCAAAGGAACAATACAGCTGGAGTGAGGCTTGAGGGAGATTTATAGAGATGGGGTGGCAGGATGGGAAGGAGCTGGAAGGCCAGAGCGGGGACCCGCAGGAAGAAGGAGAGCTTCTGGATCCTTTAACTCCTGTCAGGGAACATTGTGAACAGATTGAGAAATGTTTGAAAGCTCAGGAACGTTTAGAGGAGTGTAATGCTCAAATGATGTTGGGAAAGATTGAGGGCACAAGAAGAAGGGGACGACAGAGGACGAGATATTTGGACAGTGTTCTTGAAGCTACCAGCATGAGTTTGACCAAACTGCGGGAGGCAGTGGAAGACAGGAGGGCCTGGCGTGCTCTGGTCCATGTGGTCATGAAGAGTCGGACACTACTAAACGACTAAACAACAACAACAATGCTCAAATGTCATCTAAGTCCCAAACGGAGGAGAAATGTACAGAGGAACTCTTTGACTTCTTGCATGCTAGAGACCATTGTGTGGCTCATGAACTCTTCAGCAAATTGAAATAAATGTTAATATAAGCTTCTGTCCTCCTCATGCATAGCTGATGAAAACCTGAGTCTGTTCTGTTTGAGTAAACCTGCAGCTCTGCACCCGTGATATGAAAGCGAATGCAACTAGCTCTCTGGTAATTCTGAGAGAATTTAAGAGTTGCCAGCAGGATACATCTATGTTATGGCGGAGATTTGCAGCTGCTTGACAAAGCGTTTCTGTAGACTTCGGATATTAAAGATATTTCCTGTCAAATGTGAAGGGGGGAAAGAAACAAAACAACTCAGGAGGCCAGGCCTAGCAAGCGCAGCAACTCTTCCCCTTCCCAATAGGTCTTGCCGCAATGAGTCAGTTGCGAGGACTGAAGGTTCCCACCGTCCCACAGTTGCCTAAGTCTCCTCCTCCCTCAGGACCTTCCAGAGCAATCTGAGACTCTGTTGCTTTGTCTGCTCCGCTCTCTTCACCCCTCTTCTGGTTCTGGGAAACCAGTGGGGATGGGAGCTGGTCGCAGCAGGAGGGGGAGACACCCATGCCTCTTCGCCAGCTGGACTCATCTCTGCCTCTTGGCTCCCCTCCTCTTCAGCCTCTACTTCTACCTCTGAGTCTGGACTGCTCTCTGCCACAGCTTCTTCCTGCTCACTAAGCCCTGTTACTGCTCCAGCTTCTGACACCTCCTCCTCCCAGTCTTCTCCCTCTTCCCCCATCTGACCACTCATCATCCTCTGGCTCTGAGGCATCTTCTCTTAGGGGTTCCCCAGCTGTATCCTCCCACCGTCCCTCTGCATCCAGCCATGACAGCTGCCACAAGCCCCTCAATGGCACAAGATGGCAACCCCTGCAGAATGTGCATTGGAAGAGCACCCACCAGTCCTTTTGTGATACTCTATAGGCTGGACTGGACGACTTTAAAAGATAAATCAACGAATTCACAGAGGAGAGTTCCGTCGATAGCTATTAGCTATCAGAAGCAGATCACAAAATAAAATAATGAATTTGGGTTTTCTGGAAGGGATAAGACCAGGACATGAGCTTTAATTAATTTATGACTAATTACTGGCTGCAGAAATGCCAACTGGAGGGAGGGGGGAACTGAAGCTATCACTGAGTGGGAAATTAAGTGTGGAGCTTTAATTAAACGTGTCGTGTTAACTTATTGGATCAATGGCACAGAAGGGAAAAAGGGGAAACCGTGGGAAAATGAATTGTTTAGATAACTTTGTTCTCATTCTTGTACAAGCAACCCTGATTTGGCTGGAATGAATGGAATTAAATTCAAGAACTGCAGATCATCATTTATTTGGACCACAGGAGAATTTTAATTGCTAAGCTGGCATGGAATAATTAGCTGTTCGTTTGCAACTGAGTCAAACTCACTGAAATCAATAGCCTCAAGTTACACATGCACCGATTTCGATGTGGGCCTGCTCTGAATATGACTAACACTGGGAAGGGCCATAGTTCAGTGGTAGAGCATCTGATCTGCATGTAGAAAGTCGTGGGTTCAGTCTCCAGGTAGGGCTGGCGGACAACCTTGTCTAAAATCCCGGAGAGCTACTGCCATCGAGTGTAGGCAACACTGAGTCTGATGCCCCAATCGTCAGACTCAATATAAGGCAACTTTCTTTGACTCACAGCTGTCCATGGAGGCACAGGTCAATTCTGTATCCAGGGCAGCTGTCTAGTTATCTCCCACTTGGACTACTGCAATGCGCTCTACGTGGGGCTACCTTTGAAGGTGACCCAGAAACTACAACTAATCCAGAATGCGGCAGCTAGACTGGTGACTGGAGGTGGCCACCGAGACCACATTACACCGGTCCTGAAAGACCTACATTAGTTCCCAGTATGTTTCCGAGCACTATTCAAAGTGTTGGTGCTGACCTTTAAAGCCCTAAACGGCCTCGGTCCTGTATACCTGAAGGAATGTCTCCACCCCCATCGTTCAGCCCAAAAACTGAGGTCCAGCTCCGAGGGTCCTCTGGCGGTTCCCTCACTGCGAAATGTGGTGTTTATACAGAAATCCTAGGGTGAGGCAACATCTGACCAGATCTTCCTGCCTGCCTGAAACAGAGAAGGACGCAGAGGACCGAGACCACTTACCTATTCCCCGAATTGCTTTCCGAATTGCTTCAGCATCTCTCGATGCATTAAAGCCAGGAGCATCCCGAATCGTTCCCCTAGTGCCAACCTAAAATAGGGAGAGAAGGGAGAGAAAAAGTGTCCATTATTATTATTATTATTATTATTATTATTATTATTATACCAAAAATGGAAAACCAGCGAGGTCCCAACTAAAGAAGAATGGCAACTTAAACTGATGGAATATGCGCAGCTTGTGGATCTAACATATAGAATAAGAGAACAAGAAGAACATACATTTAAAGAAGATTGGAAAATGTTTATTGAATATATGGGGGGAAATTGTGTACACTTGAAAACGTTGGCAGCATTAAGATAAATTCAACAGTGTAAATAAGTTTTGATGGATATAATAAAGGAGAACCATGGGGCAGGGTCCAGGATGCTCAGATTACTGCCACCAGACCTCCCCTTTCATGATGTAACCATGATGTATGAGTGATGTAGTTTGGGGTGTGTGTAACATGGGGATTAGCGGCTAATAAAAGTTTGGGGGCTCTTTTGTTCGGGGCTTCCATCTTGTTCCACTTTGTGGCAAGTGGGAGTCCTGTCGCGACAGCCTTCAATAAAGACCAAGCCATTAAACATTAAAATTTATAAGCTAAAATTATCACATGGCCACTGATATATTAAAAAATAAAGTTAATTAATACAATGTGCAATTATATTCAGAGTTTGGTGATAAAGATAGAATATAGCTTGATGTAGATAGAGTCAAATAAATGAATCTCCTTTACAGTTGGTGGCTACCTTGGCTATATAATTTGCTCTAATTTTCCTAGCGGCAGTTGCAAAGAGTGCTACACGCCAGGCCACATACTTATCTATGTCTGCGAGGAGATATAAAATCATGTCAGAGGTGTTCTGGCCAGGGGACCTCGTCATTATAGGTACTAAAAATCTTTCTCCTGCTTCATTATATAAGGGGCAGCGCAAGATATAATGCATAAAGTCCTCTACTTCAGGACATCCCCTAATGCAGACACGTTTGTTTGCTGGTATGCCTCTGTGTCTCCCATCTCTATAAGCAGAGCTTATTGTATTTAATCGTGATTCTGTAAAAGCTTTCCGAAGTTGCACAAAAGTCAATTCATTAAAATAAGATGTATGTTCATAAGCCTCTCTAAATTTAAAATATAATGGGGCAGCAAACAAATCAGAGTCCTGGCCTTTTGCTTATAAGATCTGATCTAACCAGAGGAGGCCAGAGGAAATTCACTTGGGTGTGGATAAGGGGGGAAACACACACACACACACACACACACACACACACACACACAAAAACCCCAGGAGCTTATGAGCTCAGCCATTCAGGAATGTTGACTTAGTTCATCCACTGGAAATGAAGAAATAAAGGCGCAGCAGTTTTCCTGATGCCAAAATCCTGCCTGCGTGGGGCTCTGAACATGCTCAAATTCAGCCACAGTCAAGAACAATGAAAGGCACATGCAGCTCGCACATTCCTGAGATTGCTGGTGCAGCAGTGCGCACTGTGCGTGCTAGGCTGAGAGGAAGAGCTGCAAATGTGCAAAGAGAAATCCAATCCTTCACATTGTGGAGACAAAGTGCGGTTGAAGCCAGGTAGACAGTGAGTCAGGGAAGTCTTGCATGTGGGCATTACTCTGCTTTGTACACAAGCTTTGTACACATTTGCTGGCTCCAGGATGTTTGCTGAAGTGGAGACATGAGCTGCCATCTCCATCTTCTGCTTCCTTCCTGTTTCTGTAACGGACTAAACTGCCTGTGGCTCTTCAGTTCCCGCAGAGCAGCCTTCTCCTACTTGGTGCCTGCTAGCAGGGGCTGATGGGAGTTGTAGTCCAAAGCTGCAGGGAGCACACCTGGTTGAGGGACCCTGCTGTGATAACCTTGACAGAACCACAGCCTCATTGTATCTAAAGTATGTGGATGTCCTAGCCACATTCCCAACATATTTGGAAATCCTTCCACAAAAACTGGCCAGGCCAGTTTTTCAGGTCACGTTCCAGCCCTATCACCTCAGCAGGGCCCACATTGCTGCCACCAGCCCAAGACTCCCATACTGGGCTTGGCAACCCCCTGTTTTAATTTTCCACAGTGCCCCAGAGTGCTGCCACGTTGGGCATTCTGGAATATTCTGGGAAATTAAAATGGCAGCTCATTGCTGGAGGAGACTCTTGAGAGTCCCATGGACTGCAAGAAGATCAGACCTATCCATTCTGAAGGAAATCAGCCCTCAATGCTCACTGGAAGGACAGATCCTGAAGCTGAGGCACCAATACTTTGGCCACCTCATGAGAAGAGAAGACTCCCTGGAAAAGACCCTGATGTTGGGAAAGATGGAGGGCACAAGAAGAAGGGGACGACAGAGGACGAGATGGTTGGACAGGGTTCTCAAAGCTACTAACATGAGTTTGCCTGGCGTGCTCTGGTCCATGGGGTCACGAAGAGTCGGACACAACTAAACGACTAAACAACAACAACAAAATGGCGGCTCATAGTCGTGGGATGTTGCTCTCAGGTAAAGACACCAAGAGAGGGCACATCAATGTTACCAGAGAGTGACTCTCCTCAAACCTAGAGGCAGTTCCTGAACCTGATTTTTCTGTCACCCTAGGAGCTACTTCTCGAATTTCTTCCATGGCGATATTTTGCCCAGAGAGAGAACTCGGATGTGGGAAACATTTGCTACAAAGCCAAGGCTCTTGCTAGCATTGAGGAACAAGGCCCATCTTTCATAGCTTATTCTCTTCTCCCTAAAAGAAAAGTGACAGCTTTGGAGCTACAAGATTAAATGTGGGGTTTCCCCCCCCCCTCCACCTCTGGGATGAGGAGTGACCCATTTGCAAGATAACGTAGGACTCCTGCTAAGGAAAGTGGAATAAATTTCCGGAAAAATGAATGAATAAGGAGCAATGAATGAATAGTAGTGCAATCATCACATTAGAGAAACCTTAACAGTTTAACCACATGAGTCTGAATCCATCTATCAGTTAATTACCCTTGACTGAGAGGTTTGTTACAAATTCTACAAAGAAAGGAAGTGGAGCAAAAATTTTCATTATCAGCAAGATGATATTCTGAGGAGGCTGGGGGAATAGAGACCTTAGAAAGGACTACTGCTCAATGATAGAACACATGCTTTTTATGCAGGAAGTATTAACTGAGTCATGTTCATTAATTTCAATGGGTCTAACTCTGAGTAAAAGTTAGTTGAATACCACACCTGTCTGAAAATACGCCCTGTCTGAAACTAGAGAGGTGCTGCCACTCAGTGTGAACATTACTGAGATAGAAAGACTAATGGATCTGACTTTGGTGCAAGGCAGCTCCCAATGTTTCAGAATTTGCTTTTAGATGATGCCCTTCTCAGAAGAGGCTGGCTGGCTGGCTGGGATACTACCAGACTTTAAGCAAAGCTGTGATCTCCATACTAAACAAATGATTTCATTATCCGGCAATAGTTTTTCAAAATGGCACATGAGCAAAACAGCCAGAAGTGTGTCATGCAAAGGACTCAGACTTTCTCTGTTTTCTCTCTCTAAAGTTCAGTCTCCAAGCAAACAGAGATGATCCCAAATGCACAAGAGTAAGGTATGCAGACGACATGATTTTACTCACCCAAACAGAAGCCATTATGATCTTCTCTCAGAATGACTCTGGAAGAATAACCAGATGTTAACAGAATGCAGCGCGGGGCATGTTATTATAAAATACACTAACACAAGGAAAGATGTCTGTTCTTGTAAAGACTCATCTTTTCCACCGGGCTTTCTCGGACTCCTATGATCAGACCTGGATTAATGTGTATCAAACTCCTGAATCTGTTTTATTTGCTTTTACTTGTTTTTATACAGTTGGGTATTTTTAGGGTCTATTTTTAACTTAATGAACATTGTTTTTATATTGCACATAGTGAGCACTACTTAAGAGATTTTTGAAATATGAAAGGGCTTTAAAATGCTATAAAATAAAATGAACACAATTAGCAGTCCGTTCTTTCCAATACATTCCTGCGGCAATTCTCCTGATGTTGCTGCTGAGGGTATCCAAACCCCGTTCTGCACCTTTTAAGATTCACAATAACTCTACATCTATAAATCTATAGTGAGGCCTGTGCACACACTGTGAAACTGGCAACAAAAACCAGCTCCCTCTGACTGTTGCGGTCAGATAGCTATGTCTTCCTGCACTCCGTTCCACCACAACTGTTTTAGGCACCATTTTGCCTGAATGAAGCAAACCATTGTTTGTTTCCAAACCATAGTATCACATCTTGATTTGAGAAGAGAACTACAGCTTGTACAAGCCACAGTTTGCTACATTTGGACACAACATCAACAACCCTTCCAACTGCTGTTTCAAGTTTGCAAAGTCTCTATTCCCATTCATCCCACCCCCCTGCCCCCCAAATACAGTGGTACCTCAGGTTAAGTACTTAATTTGTTCCGGAGGTCCGTTCTTAACCTGAAACTGTTCTTAACCTGAAGCATCACTTTAGCTAATGGGGCCTCCTGCTGCCGCCGCACCACCAGAGCACGATTTCTGTTCTCATCCTGAAGCAAAGTTCTTAACCTGAAGCACTATTTCTGGGTTAGTGGAGTCTGTAACCTGAAGTGTATGTAACCTGAAGCGTATGTAACCCGAGGTACCACTGTAAAAACAGGCTTCTGAATAACTCACCATTCTGGCCTGAGTCACAGGCCACAGGGAATGAATAGGAGAGGGAATACACTGTATATCTAACATCCTCCCACCCATGGTTTATTTTATTTTTTTACCCAGAGAACTTTGGAAACTGTCCAAGCTCAAATACGCAACACAGGAAAAGGCGTATTGACTCAGATCCTTAAACAGGGATGTTCGTTTGCCACAAGCACACAGGACTTAATGCATAAAGTTAGCTCAGTGTTTTGCTTGGGAGAAATTTGCCCCACCCAACCTGAAGTTATGGAAACAAGGGTTGCAGAGGAGTAAAAGCAGTTAGAGAACTTTCCTCTGCTTCTCAAAACCAGGCTTAGTGAAGAAAGGACACACCAGGGACAATGAGGGAAAAGCCATCTCTTCAAATGTGGGTCTTCCCCAGCACAGGTGGGGTTCTGGTTTAGATAACAAATGGGGTATGCACGCAAGGCATACACCTCTCCAAGCAGGGCTCACTTCAGCACCTGATAAAATACAGTGGTACCTCAGGTTAAGTACTTAATTCGTTCCAGAGGTCCGTTCTTAACTTGAAACTGTTCTTAACCTGAAGCACCACTTTCGCTAATGGGGCCTCCTGCTGCTGCCGCGCCGCCGGAGCCTGATTTCTGTTCTTATCCTGAAGCAAAGTTCTTAACCTGAAGCACTATTTCTGGGTTAGCAGAGTGTGCAACCTGAAGCGTATGTAACCTGAGGTACCACTGTATGCTGCTTTGAGGCGGACTCTAGGCAGTTCCAGATTACTGTTGTTTTTTAAAAGTGATTCAGTCACATGCCAACAAATTAAGGTTGCACACAATCAAAGGCACTACTGATCAACAAATCTGCTTTTAAAAAAATTGAAAAGGAAAGTAGCATTGCAATTTACTAGAACAGTGTTTCCCAACCACTGTTCCGCGGCACACTAGTGTGCCGCGAGATGTTGCCTGGTGTGCCGCGGGAAAAATTAAAAAATTGAAAGATTTTTTTTTTTAGTCAAATTTTCGATTGGGGCGCCGTCACTAGATGACCCCTGGGGTTCCCTCCCTCCCTCCCGCTCTGCGCCTCCCTCCTCCTCCTCCTCCGGGGAGGCCCTTCCTGGCTCTCGGCCAAGGCTTGGCGGCTGCCACTCACTCACTCGCTCGCCCACCCGTCCCTCCATCCCTGCACCCGGCCTCTCCCCCTCCGTCCCTGGCGCGGGGGCTGCTGGGATCCGTAGTCCCCTCGCCCTTGGGCTCCGCGCCTGCGCGGGGTGCGCAAACTACGTTTCCCAGCGTGGCCTGGCGGGCCGGGCATTTTGCTTGAAGCGCTCTTCTCCCGGCCATGAAATGAGCGCAGCGGCGGCAGCCGGGCGGGCAGGGGCTCTGCCGCGCAGACCCCGCGCAGCCTGCCTGCGCCCCCGCGGAGATCGGGCGGCAGGATGGAGCCCGGGGATCCCCGCGGAGGCGGAGCGGCGGAGGCGGAGGCTGCCCCCCAGGTAGGGCTGCGTCGGGGTTTTTTTATTTTTGCAATGCTGCATCCGCGCCGGAGGGGACGCATCGGACCGCGGGGAGACCCCTTGGCGGGCGTGCAAGGCAATGCATGCGTGCAGGCGTTGCATGGAGTGCAGTGCAATGCAATGGCAACACGGCGCCCTGCATGCATGCATGCAACTTCCACCGGCGCTCCGGACTTGGCAGGTGAGGGGGGTCCCCAGTGGGCGGCAGAGAGAGCCGGGAGGGCGAAGGGGAGCCGGGGGAGCAGCGCTGCTCCCCGAGCCGAGCCCGGGGGGAAACTTCGGCGTCGTTGCGCCGGGTGTTGGAAGCGGAGGCTGGCGGGGGCCCCTCACCTGCAAAACCTGGTCACCTCTCATATATTTCGTGCATTGCATTCATCGCCCGCTTTCTCCTCCAAGGAGCTCCCGGGGGCGCGCGTGGTTCTCCCCGTGTTATCCTCGCAACAACAGCCCTGCGAGGTGGGTTAGGCGAGTGGCCCAAGGGAGCACCCAGGGATTGTCCTGGCCAGGTGGGGTGATTTGAACCCTGCTCTCTGCCCGGTCTTCGTCCTCATTTAGCCCCCACATGTGCATGACTGTGCATGACTGAGGTTTTCCCCCCTCGTCTTGGCTATGGTGTGAGTCTGTGCTGTTAATTAATGGGGTTCTGCCTTCGGAGAAGATGAGCCAGCCCTCAAGGAGGTGATTATGTAATTTGCTAGCAATTCATGTCCCTCCCGGCGTGACGCTGCGCGCTGACGTCACGGGGCTGTAATGGTGGTGTGCCTCGAAATTTTTTTCATGAAACAAGTGTGCCTTTGCCCAAAAAAGGTTGGGAAACACTGTACTAGAAAATATGGGATAAGCCATTGCTTCACACAGTGCTGTCTAACCTTCCCACAAACAGATCACAATTAAAGGTGTCTAACCAGCCCAGACAAGGGACGCGGGTGGCGCTGTGGGTTAAACCACAGAGCCTAGGACTTGCCGATCAGAAGGTCGGCAGTTCGAATCCCTGTGACGGGGTGAGCTCCCGTTGCTCGGTCCCTGCTCCTGCCAACCTAGCAGTTCGAAAGCATGTCAAAGTGCAAGTAGATAAATAGGTACCACTCCGGAGGGAAGGTAAATGGCGCTTCCGTGCGCTGCTCTGGTTCGCCAGAAGTGGCTTAGTCATGCTGGCCACATGACCCGGAAGCTGTACGCCGGCTCCCTCAGCCAGTAAAGCGAGATGAGCGTCGCAACCCCAGAGTCGGCCATGACTGGACCTAATGGTCAGAGGTCCCTTTACCTTTAACCAGCCTAGACACCTTGTGCAAACGACTCAGGAGGAGTGAAAATCAAGAGAATCATAGAATTGTAAAGCTGGAAGGGACCCTAAGGATCATCTAGTCCAACCCCCTGAAATGCAGGAAAATGTAACTGTCCCATATGGGGATTGAACCTGCAACCTTGGCACTATGCTGTAACCGATTGAGCCAGCCACTGCTTAGCATACAGGTCATCTAGAAGCGACCTGTGGAGGTAAGCAGGGCAATGAGGATTCAGCAGCCCTTCTTTTCTTCCTGCACTGAAGCACAGACAGTGTAGATGTCGACTCAAGCTGGCTTCAGACTGTCATAGGGTTATTAAGAGTTTATCAGCCTTCACTATCTCTCAGGGCTCATACAGATTGTTGGTTTTTCAAGAGACCAAGGTGTAATGGGCAGTCATATAGCAGGTTTCCCAGAGAGTTTACCAAGTGTTGATCAACACAGTCTCTATACAAACTTAGAGCAATATTAGCAGGGAAAGTTGGGATTACTCCGCCCATACAGAATTCCATCTGTCCCAACACACTCTCTCCAAAAGCGGCTCGCTGAAAGAAAGCGTGATTAAGACTGCCACCATCACACTTTTAACCATGGCATCATATTATATACCAAGATATCCTGCCAAGGTTTCATTAATGTAGGGTTGCCATATTTCAAAAAGTGAAAATCTGGACACAAACGTTGTAAAGCCTTTTTTGGCAAAGTTGTTGATTTTTTTTCCTTCTGCAAAATCTCAAAAAAAGTAGTTTTTGAGCTATTTTAAAGGAAATTCACCAAAATATGCACTTCCAACCTAGACTGCCATATGTCCAGATTTCCCCAGACATTTCAGTGATTTCCACCCAGACACTCTTTTCAACACCCAAATCCCGGCTATGTCCAGGAAATTCTGGATGTGTGGCAGCCCCAATTAATGTCTATTGAGGATAACAGCCACAGATAGACTGATGCTCCATGAACTTCTCTAATCCTTATACCAAATCAAGTGTCCAGATTTTTTACATGGTATAGTCCTCTCAGGACCACCCTGCTCCAAACTGCAGATGTGTGCAAGTGTGTGTGTTATATATTATGAAGCTCCACCACATTCCCTGCACACGGAAAGCTTCTCCCTCAAATGCTTGCTTTCCATGAACTGAGAGGCCTTTGATCCAAGCCAGATCAGAAGTATGCAGTTCCACTCAGCTTTACCTTGAAGCATTACAGGAGTGCTGCTAACATGTGAAAGAGCTCCATTCACCCATGATTCCATCCCTATGAGTCATCATGGTCTTTCCCTGCATGTTAGCAACACACAATAGGAAGTAGATCCTGCACCTCAGAGAGTTTCAAGAAAGCTCTAACAAAAATGGGCGTGGGGAGGGAGAGGAATCCCAAACCCATGTTGGGCAATATCTATATTAGGACCGAGGCTGTTGTATCAAACCAGGCCAGAGATGGAAACCCATCGGAAGTCCTAAGCCAGGCTTGTCGGAATAGGAGGTCGGAGTTTCTCCCGCTGCACCCCTGAAGATTCCCAAGGCAACAGGAGTGTCAACTTGGCCCCGCGACCGTGGATGCCTGGACCCGAGGGTGCCATGGCCCTGGCACGGAATTTTGTGGGTGCTCAGCTTGGGCATCCAGGGCCCCAGGGAACTGGCACCTATGTTCCCCATCGAACGTTGCCTGGCATAGGCGCCGGGGCCGTGGGTGCCCGAGCACCCACAAAATTCAGGAGCTGGCACTCCTGATGGGGCAAAACTGCTGCCCCAAGCGCGCAGCGCGCACCGTTTCCAATAATCCCAGGAAGAAGCCGCGACGGCGCGCCAAGAAGGCGCGGCCGGGGCGCCTCGGGCAACGGCACCGGCCGAAGCCCGAGAGGTGAGGCACGAATGCGGGCGCCCGCCCGCCTCAATGGGGTCCCCCCGGCGCCCGAGAGGTGGAGTAGAAAGTCAGGCGTCCCTTGCTCTCCATGACTTACCCGCCAGCAACAGCCAGACGCGCCACAGGAGCCGCGAGTTTGCAAAGGGAAAAGGCGCCCCGGGAGTGTAGCCGCTGCCGAGGGAAAGTTGCGCTCCGCCCTCGCTCGGCCCCACCTGCTGGCCCACGACGCCGGGGATGGAGGCAGGGCTCACGGCCGGCCCATCCCAACTCGCTGCCGGGTTATTTCTCGTCATTCTTGGTCTCGCTGCAACCCCGGAAGAGCCGGGAGGCTCGAACTGCGGCGACGCTCCTGCGCTTTGCTAAGAGTTTGTGAGGCAGGCAGGCATCCCACAGGGAAAGCGCTCCGCTTTAGCACGACGTCTCTGCCTTTTTCTGGGCTGCACGGCTGCTGTATTAGCATCCCATGTATTTGCTCAGTGCGCGGGCGCTTGGCCAAAAAGGAAAGGGGCGCCAAAGTCAAAGGGAATTAAAAAATAAAGGGCGTTTTTACGCAGCTGCAGAGTTGTTTTTCCATTCAGTGAGGAAAGTGATAGGGGAACGCGCTGGAAAGCGTGGTATGGCAATTTCTTGACACCAAGTCGTCTAATCTCCCCCTAAACAAATCTGAATGCTGCATAGTACCGCAGTTTGTGCAAACTTATAGGGAAGTGGGTTCAACAAATGGGTGTCTGGAAGCGACCTGCGGACTGCAGGCTACTTTCCAGCCATGCAACATGCTAGAGGTGTCTAACTCCTCACCACCCAGGCACACAAGAGAAACTATCACAGTTAGAAGATTGTTGCAGGCAGGAAAAGATGGCATGGAGCAGGGCTGTAGAGAGGGGAGGCCTGAGGAGAATCACAGGGCCAGACGAAGAGCCCTGGGGGGCCACGTTTGGCTCTGGGACCTGAAGTTCCCCACAGTGCTTTATGACACTGCAAAGCTACAACCCTCCTCTTTGTAGCCTTGGCGAACACACTGGGCTGCTTTTCTCCCCTGTCTTCCATTGCCAGCTTACAATATAAAAACACAAGAATATATAACATGGTAATGGTGTTGAACAAAATCTGATCTTGTTCCCTTATGGTCTTGTACACAAGAGCCCTTATAGAGTCCTTTGTAGGTTCTCCATCAGTAGGAGAAAATAACAAGAAACCAGAAAAGGCATTATCAGATAACCTGGCAGACAGGAGATAAACAAAGCACTCAGATTTCTGTTGTAGACTGCCTTTTCTATGATGTAGGTATGATGTATCTGGGGGTGGTCTTGGGGCTACACCCCTTCTGTGATGTATGTATAATGTTTCTGGGGGTGGTCTTGAGCTTCAGAGCAGGGAATTTCAAAATGTCTATATAAGGGGAGACACGCCTTTGTTCTGGGTCCTCCTCCACTCTCCTGTGCGTGAAGGGAGCACCCTGTTGCAACACGTTAATAAAGATCAGGCTTACTAGCTGCTTTGCTTCTCAATATTCTCTGGTTGGCCTCTGCTGTTATTTTCTCCTACCAATGGAGAACCTACAAAGGACTCTATAAGGGCCCTTGTGTACCCCATAAGGGAGCAAGACCAGGTTTTGTTTATAACAATGGACAAAAACAATACTACCCCATCTCTCACCCCCGAGAAAGGACACAGATCGGCCTGTGAGAAAAGGGAGGTTTTTGCCTGGCACCTATCCTGATGTCTGCATTGCTCTTTACATCTCTGAAATGTTGGCTGAAGGCAAACGTGATGAAATCTGCCTGGCCAATCTGGGTAGGTCTGTGCAACCAATTTTGATTGAAAGGCAAGTTCAGTTGAAAAGTAACCAAATGTGGTTTTTATTAGCAAAACAAAAACCCAGCAACAATGCAGAGAAAAGGGTATCATGGAAATAAAAACCATTCGTCCCGTAACAAAATGACCAATGCTCCAGAATACATAAAAAGGCGAGTTTCAAGAAAATGGGTTGACAGCACCAAATGAGATTTACTCAGAGCAACTTAAAAGAACTTTCTCTCGGAATGGGGGAAGTATGCTTATTGAAAGGCGGTAGGACTTGTAAGCCTGCAGGCCTCAACACTTGAACATTTGGTGACAAACAGCAATATGCAATATCCATGTGCCAGCAGTTGTACAATTTAGGAGAACGTATGTGTGCTTATTGTCTCTTGTTTCAGCAGCATTGCAATCATTATTCGTATAGCAACACCAATGTGCAAGATGCTCTGTACTACTGAGATGGATTTTCCATGGTTCCCCTACAGTTTTGGCAATGCCATGCATACACAATGTTGGCATTCCAGCACTAAATAACTTGGCACAAGATCCTGCCTGCCATGCCAGAGTAACTCTCCTGCAATATCATTTTTGTTACCGTTTTATACCACCTTTCCAAGGAGCCCAGAATGCCAGTCGTGGGGGGGGGGGTCATCCCATTTTAACCCTCACAACCACCCTGTGAGGTAGGATAGGCCTGAAGACTTGCCCTAGACCAACCAATCAGCTTGGCTTCTGAGCAGAGACTTAGTGTGGTGTAGTGGTTAAGAGCGGTAGACTCGTAATCTGGTGAACTAGGTTCGCATCTCTGCTCCTCCACATGCAACTGCTGGGTGACCTTGGGCCAGTCACACTTCTCTGAAGTCTCTCAGCCCCACTCACCTCACAGAGTGTTTGTTGGGGGGGAGGAAGGGAAAGGAGAATGTTAGCTGCTTTGAGACTTAGGGTAGTGATAAAGCGGGATATCAAATCCAAAGAACAACTCCTCCTCCTCCTCCTCCTCCTCTTCTTCTTCTTCTTCTTCTTCTTCTTCTTCCCCAAGACTCCTTGTTCCAAGACCACTCTGGCAGCTCTCGTGTTCTTCCCCAGATTCAGCAGGCTGCTGTGGGCCCAGAGGTTTCAATGTATGCAATGAACTCCACCACCCGCATTCACTTCAATGGAGGGCTGGGTTCGTTGGTCTGAATGAGGACAGCTCACAAAGGCAGGGGCTATGTGCCTTCAATGGCATTGCGTATCAGGCTCTGAAGTGGGGCAACAGGCTACACCTTGTACACAACATCCTGGTAGCGAAAGTTCCAGTCCCAATCTGTATGATGGTTTTATGTCAACACAAATGGCCTTTCTCTACCTAGGGTCAACCCACTCATGCGAATAGTCTAACAGAATGTTCAACAAGCCCCGGGGAAAGTCTTCAGTCCAGGGCACACAGGGGAACAACCTGAACACAGGTCAAAGCATTCACAAGACTTCTTCAAAGCATCACGGATGTTGCTTAATTATGAATGGCAGAATGCTGAAACTGTGAAGTGTGCGTCTGAGGGAAATCCAATACTGCCTGTTGGCATCGATCAAAACGTATACAAAGTGATTGCGTGAATCAAACAAAGTAAAGCAACGATTACAGGTCTTTTGACACTTTCAAGTGTGCGTCTACAGAAAATATATTGGCAATCTCAGCCAGGTGAAATATTCCACCACGGTCTGTCAGCTTCATAATTGTCCCAAAACCAGCTGCTATGATGAGACTGTCACAGCAGATTTGCAGCAGACCAAGCAGTAATGAGATTAGGCACACTGCATACAATGCATTTATACCCAACATTTCTGAAATCAGAGTGGTTCTTCTTCAATATCCACAAATATTTGCTCATCTCCTATGGAGGTCACTGCATTAATGTATGTGCAATCTGATCTTCTGTATGCTTACTCAGGAACAAGTTCCTTGTTGTCAATGGTATGTATATCCAAGTAGGTATGCTTAGGCACTAACAGCAGAACGTAATTGTTCTACAGTCTATTCCAGGCACTGAAGTTCCAATGCATGTGTGAAGCTCCCTCGTAAAATGATTTCCCCATTCATGTCAAGAGAGGGAGCCAACCCACAAACATATACTCCTTTCCATTTGTACATTGGCTCACCCCACTGAAACAATTGAGAAAGCCTGCTCTGCTTGGATTTCTGGGTGTCCAGTGGAACACTCATGGAATTCTGGACTGGAGAAAATTCAGAAATGTATGACAATTCAGACATTTGAGAAATTAACATTAAGTGGAAGAGAAATTAACATTAAGTGTTTCTACGGAGGAAGAAAGCACTTCTTCTACTTATGTGGAGACCGGATGAATATTACCCAGCACATTTTTGGCACTAAATAAACAATGGGAGATAGCCTGCTATTCTGAATACAACTTAGTTGGGCATCACCAAATATATATGGCAGTGGTAGTTCTAGTAATAGTGGTGATCAGATCTTACTTTTGCTCAAAGAGAATGCATTATACATTTGGCTTAACATGTTACCTGCACCATGACAGCATAACACACAAAGGAAGGAAGGAAGGAAGGAAGGAAGGAAGGAAGGAAGGAAGGAAGGAAGGAAGGAAAGAAGGAAAGAAAGAAAGAAAGAAAGAAAGAAAGAAAGAAAGAAAGAAAGAAAGGATAATTAGCAACTAAAATGAACTTTAAAAGCTGAGACTTCTGTCATGTGTGACTGGCTCAAAGAGAAGCCCTTAAATCACTTCCCGCTTCCTCTAATGCTGCTGCAACGTGCTTCACTTTCACTCAGGAGCTGGAGGAACCGGTGTGTAGATATGGTTGAACCTGAGCAGGTTCCAATGTGACTGATGCAATAGTGGCTGCGAGAGGAAGCAGTGGACCACAACAATTACTGCCCTGTTGCTTCTTCCACCTCCAAAGAAGCCTCATTTGCATTCGGCACCCTTCTAGTGTTTAATCAACCCCATTGTGCAGTGGAAGATACAGGAAACTGAGCACTGGAGGCTGGATGGGTGTGTGAATGGAATGCTGTCATCCAAGAGACTCAATTCACCGCCTCAACGCAGGCCTTCTTCTCAGTGAGGTAGCTCCGTTGCGGAGTGGAAGCGTGCAAAGACGTGTCGCTTGTTCACCGCTCAAGCAAACAATGACCAAAAAGGTATCGCTCTTCCCTTTCCCCACCACCCACAAAGACCGTTACAAAAATATCAGGGATGGTTTCTTTTTAAAAAAACCAACAAATCATACTTTTCCCCCACCCCACCCCGGCTCCAATTTCCTTTGTACAATTTATAAAAAAGATATTACAAAAAGAAAAAGAGAAAAGTTGTGCACGGGCTACTAGACTTCTGTTCCGTCGTGTAAATTGTTGTGGACTTTCACCGCCAAGTTCACCTGCTTAACCTTTGCCCCTTGGGCCTTGTAGGCCCCATCGCTTTCGCAGAGTACGTTCAGGTTCTTCACGGTGCAATACTGTCTGTTGACGTTCTTCTCGACGCCCTCCGTGTTCCTCTTGGCGGCCTCCACTTTGGTGTTGAGGGGATACTGCTCCACGGCGTCCCTCGCCGCCTTTTTCTTTTTCCTGTGCTTCCGACACTTCCTGGTCACGAAGCAGAAGACGAGGAGAACCAGCAGGAGGAGCATGATGGCCGCGAAGGCGCTGCCGATGGACGCCCCCGTCTGCGACAGGGAAGCGGCGGCCACCGCCTCTTGCTGCTCCAGGTTGAGAGACTTCATGTTCGTGCCATTCTTGACCTGGTCTCCTTCGTTGTCGTAGATCAAGGAGTCGTCTAGAATCAGGCCACCCTTGGGGCCCGCAAGGTCCCGGCGGCTGCGTCGCAGCTGCTGCACCAGAGAACGTGGCACCCGGGGACCCGCGATGGTCTCAGGGCCGATGACGTAGATCACTTGGAGGTACCACTGATGCCCGGTTTCCACCTGTTCGAAAAGACACAAGGAGCGCACAAAAATCAACTTTTAAAAAAAGGCTTCACTAGATGCTTCAGTGAAAACCCTCACTGCCCAGCCCCCAAACCTAACTTTTCAGTTACTAGATAAAGGGAATTAATCGTTATTTGTTTATTCCTTATGTTTTGATAGCACCTCCTTAAAGGCACTCTCAGTGATAAAGATAGAACAAGGAGCACTCAACTGCAAATGGAGAGAGAGGAGCGGTAGAATTCCAAAAACAGAACTATAATTCCAGACAATTGCCCTTCGTAAACATAGTACCCAGGAACATTTCCCCAAAGGCATCTATGAGAAGCGGTCGTCTGACAGTCATGCTCCCTTACTTAAGCATATTCAAGAAACAGATGCCAAACTTTAGAAAAGTTCCCTTTCATTTTCAGATTAATTTTATATATATAAAATTTGGTTTCTCAAATTACAGTTTTATAATCACATATCCAACATACAACATAAAGATAAGATTCCATAGAATCTCCTGGACTTCCCTCCTCCCCTTTCCTCCTGCATCTTTTATAATAATCCAAATCTTTTACCTCTCCATTATATCCAAAATTCACGATTAAACTACAAGTGTTATTCCAATCCTACCAACATTTTTAACTGTTTACAATGGTTTTTAAGGTAAATAATAAATTCCCCCCATTCTTTATTAAATTTTTGGTTTTCCTGATTTCTGATTCTTCCGGTCATTTTTGCCATTTTGGCATAATCCATCAACTTAATCTGCCATTCTTCTCTGGTTGGGACTTTATCTTCTTTCCATTTCTGGGCCCAGAGAAAAGGACAGATCCTGAAGCCGAGGCTCCAATACTTTGGCCACCTCATGAGAGGAGAAGATGGTTGGACAGTGTTCTCGAAGCTACCAGCATGAGTTTGACCAAACTGCGGGAGGCAGTGGAAGACAGGAGTGCCTGGCGTGCTCTGGTCCATGGGGTCACGAAGAGTCGGACACGACTGAACGACTAAACAACAACAGGTATAAACCCATTTAACAGAGGATTGACACTACTCCCTTGGGCAGATGACCCACCTGCCCACAGTGCTATCTCATCTAAGGAAGATGGCAGTGCCTATGAGCACACACCAGCCTTTCTCAACCTGCTGCCCTCCAGATCTTTGGAACAACAACTTGCATAAGCTCTACCCTTGCTGTGATGACTGGGGCAGATGCAAGTTGCTCTGCAAAACATCTCAAGGGCATCATTTTGAGCAAAGTTGGCATACCCAGATCCCCCGCTCCCCCTCAATTTCCACACACTGAGCAATGAGAAGGCACAGATTCTAGAGTTCCATTGAACAATCAATTTATAGAATTAAAACCATGACATTTGCCTGGGACATTAACTTGTATCCTACCCACCTTGTAGAGGGCATCCACCTTCATGATGAAGCCGTCCACTCCAGGCATGCTGCTGACTAGGTGGAAATCCGGCAGCTCAGAAGCAAAACAGGCATCGAAAGGTACATCGTGGAAGTATTTGTCAGTCGCTTCTGGCTGAGTCCTGTCCTGGAATTGGAAGGGAGCAGGAGCCCATGATTAGAAGGTAAATGGAGACAACATGCTCTTAAGAGAGCAGGCCTACACAGATATGCATCATTGTCCAAAGATGGCTCCCTGGAGAAGCAGGCAGCAGGTTGGCCAAAGGGGAGAGGTATACAACTACTGTGTGCTGATCTGTATCTTTTTCCTCCGAGCTAATTGTCCCAATCTATTAAGTTCAGTTTGTTTAACTCAAGTTCTAGGCCAACAGGACTTTTGACACTTGTGTAACTACTGTCAGTTTGCATTCCTTGGTGCGGAAAGTATTGATCTGATGTCTAGAGATCTTTCCTGTTCTAATTACAGTGGTACCCCGCAAGACGAACGCCTCGCAAGACGGAAAACCCGCTAGACGAAAGGGTTTTCCGTTTTGGAGGCGCTTCGCAAACGAATTTCCCTATGGGCTTGCTTCGCAAGACGAAAGCCCATAGGGAAATCTCCGGGGACCTCTTTTAAATGCTAGCAGTGGGGAGCAAAGCCTTTCCCCCCCCTCCGGCCTTCAGAAGAGGTCCAGGAAGGCTGGCGGGGGCCGAAAGGCTTTGCTCCCCACCGCCAGCATTTTAAAAGCAGTCCGGGATAGCAGGGAAGCGCTTCCCGCTATCACGGACGGCTTTTGAAGGCAGGAGAGGTCCGCGAAGCCTGGTGTGCGGATCTCAGCGCGCGCAGGCTTCGGCATGCCGGCAACTCACCGCAAGCAGCAGCAGCGCTGCCGATGCTTGCGGAGAGGTCCGCGAAGCTTGGGCGCGCTGATCTCAGCGCGCGCAGGCTTCGGCATGCCGGCAACTCACCGCAAGCAGCGGCAGCGCTGCCGCTGCTTGCGGAGAGGTCCGCGAAGCTTGGGCGCGCTGATCTCAGCGCGCGCAGGCTTCGGCATGCTGGCAACTCACCGCAAGCAGCGGCAGCGCTGCCGCTGCTTGCGGAGAGGTCCGCGAAGCTTGGGCGCGCTGATCTCAGCGCGCGCAGGCTTCGGCATGCCGGCAACTCACCGCAAGCAGCGGCAGCGCTGCCGCTGCTTGCGGAGAGGTCCGCGAAGCCTTGGCCGGACAGCTTTTGAAGGCAGGCGGGGGGGAGCAAAGACTTTCACCCCCACCAGCCTTCAGAAGAGGTCCTGGACCTCTTCTGAAGGAGGGCGGGGGGCAAATGTCTTTGTCCTCCCTGCCTGCCTTCCCAGGGGCTTTTAAATCCTCCGCTGTCCGGGGCGATTTTAAAATGCCGCCCGCCAGCATTTTAAGATCGCCCCGGACAGCGGAGAAGCCCTCCGCTGTCCCGGGGTTTTTTAAAATGCTGGGGGTGGGAAGAAAAGCCCTTGTCCCCCCCCAGCCTTCAGAAGAGGTCGGGGGACAGACTGTCCCCGGACCTGGTCTGAAGTCGGTTTCCCTAGGAACGCATTAATTGATTTTCAATGCATTCCTATGGGAAACCGTGCATCGCAAGACGAAAAACTCGCAAGAAGAAAAAACTTGCGGAACGAATTAATTTCGTCTTGCGAGGCACCACTGTAATTCAAGAGGGTTCTGGAAGCTTCTCTGTGTGAAAGAAACAAGCAAAAGGTTCATGATTGGGTTATTCCTTCAGAGAAGCTGAGTACAGCTGCTTTAAACTGGTTCTCTAATCTCTTTCTATCAAGGTCATGCAGACTATAATAGTAAGGCAAGAAGGAGCCTGAGTTTCACTTTCTCTTTCTCTTTTCCTTCTGGTGTGGTGTTTAAGCCAAGTCTGCTGCAACTGGATTTCTTATGGACAGGGCCAATCCTGAATGTATTGGATTTGTGACCATGATGCTCATTTGCCTTCAGTAGCAGTCAAGCTCTGCTGGATGAAATATAATTGCCTCTGGTCTATTTTGGGGGAATCCTGCAACGTGTTTAAGTTATTACTCTGCTAACTATACAGTATATTGGAATCTACTCTGGATCAATATTGAGTAGAATTTCAATGACAACTACAATACTAAAACCAACAGAACTACTGTCTGAGGAGAGAGGAACAATGATCAGTGTGGTGTTTCCTCTTAATTCACCACACTTACTGCTTCTCTCATGGAACTAACAGTAATTTGCATGTTTGGATTTGGATTTGATATCCCGCCTTTCACTCCCTTTAAGGAGTCTCAAAGCGGCTCACATTCTCCTTTCCCTTCCTCCCCCACAACAAACACTCTGTGAGGTGAGTGGGGCTGAGAGACTTCAAAGAAGTGTAACTAGCCCAAGGTCATCCAGCAGCTGCATGTGGAGGAGCGGAGACGCGAACCCGGTTCACCAGATTACGAGTCTATCACTCTTAACCACTACACCACCCTGGCACACTGGCTATTTAGGACCACTGCCAATCGAGCCCAGTGCTGTCTGCTCTTGATTGGCAGCAGTTCTTTGGGGTCTCAAGTAAAAGGGCCCTTCTCAGCTGTTACCTGAAATTAGAATCACAGAATTGCAGAGTTGGAAGAGACCATGAAGGTCAATTCCCTGCAACACAAGATTTTTTTTGCCCAATATGGGGCTCAAACCCCTGACCCTGAGGTTGAGAGTCTCATCTTTCATCCTTTTTTTTCCAACTTCAGATGTTTTGGACTACAATGCCCATTGTGCTGGCTGTGGCTGATGGGTGTTGTAGTCCAGGTGGGCAAAGTCTGGTCTAATTCACCTTTGAGGTCGCTTCCAGCTCCATGATTCTATTGACATTTTGTTGTCTTTTAATAACGTCCACCTGAGGCAAATTTGACCTTGCCTGATGCTGGGGGCCAGCCTTGGGGTTTAGCAAGTAGTTGCACTGCACTGTAGTAACCTATACAGTGGTACCTTGGGTTAAGTACTTAATTCGTTCCAGAGGTCCGTACTTAACCTGAAACTTTTCTTAACCTGAAGCACCACTTTAGCTAATGGGGCCTCCTGCTGCTGGCGCGCTGCCAGAGCACGATTTCTGTTCTCATCCTGAAGCAAAGTTCTTAACCCAAGGTACTATTTCTGGGTTAGCAGAGTCTGTAACCTGAAGCGTCTGTAACCCGAGGTACCACTGTAACTTGGTAAATGTGTCTTCAGAGGATCCCCTCTGGATATCTTTTCTGTCCCCCTGCCAGACTTGTGGTACAGCGGCTGTCCACATCCACCCTAAGCCCAGGGTGGCTGCCCTTCAAAGCCTTTCTCCAATATGCTAGAGTTACACAATGTACCAGCAGCAGAAATCTGTGCTTCAGGTGTTTGCTGGGTTGGATGCAGCCATACTGCGGACCCTCGTTGTAGATAGTCCCCGTCGGGTCAAAGAAAGGCACATAGCCATCCTTCCCTGTGCAGAGGTAGACTTTTTCCAGCTGCAGTTTGTAGGCAGAGTTGAGATTCTGCTCAGGATTCCACATCACGCGGCCGTAAAGGATTTGGCCTGAGGAAAGAAAACACACAGGGCTCAGGCTCAGTCAATATTTGTATTAAAACATATATATTTAGAGAGACCAGGAGTTTGTGTTATGAAAGAGGAAGGAAAACTTTTCTCTATGCCATGTATAATTTTATAAGCTTCCCCCATTTTCATCTATTTATTTTTGACAAAGTAATAATCAGAAATAAATAAGAATAAAAATGCGCACCCCACCAATGAGACCATTCCATTGCAACTATCCAACCTCCCAAAATTTCAGCACCTCTGGCAATTGTTTGACCTCTTTCCCTTTTAACAGTACAAATTCTACAAACACCCTTTCCATGTCTCCTCAAAATCATGTCTCCCCCCATCTTAACCTTAATGGCGCTTGCTAATTTATAAACTTTTATCATGTCACCGCTTACCAACTCAGGTTCCATTTCATTTAGACAACAGCTTTTTATCACTGCCCCTCCTTTTTCTGCAGTTTCTGCTGGGCAACAGGTGATGCCAGGAAACTGCAACCCAATCCAACCAGGAAACGTAAACTCTACCTTTTGAAAAAGCTCCTTTATAGTCCATCTCTGCCATGGACATTTCTGATTTGGTTGGGTCCATCAGAAACACTTTCTCATTGTTGCAGAGCTGAAACTCCGTGTTCAGGGAATACACCACGGGGACCGGGCGGTTAGTTTGCTGGAAGGCAATCGGGATCAGGAATCTAAACAGGGGAGAGAGGAAACAAGAGAGAAACAAGAGGAAACAAGAGGAAACAAGAGAGAAATGGCCCGTGAGACAATTTCAGAATTAGGGCAGAGTGGAAGGCACACATTCCCCCCAAACTGTCCTGCCCTACTCCCCTTTGCAGCCCCACAATCAGGGCCGGATTTAGGTTTGATGAGGCCCTAAGCTACTGAAGGCAATGGGGCCCTTTATATGTCCAGCTGTCCTTTGTCAACAACAGATTGTCGCTGTTTTTTGTGTTGAATGTATGCTATATGGTAATTTATGGACCTAATACAGTAGGTATCGAAAGCCATTTGCACATGTTGCCCTGCAACCAGTCCAGGCAGAATGTAGGCACCCTATATATAGAAATGAGCAAACCTGTGATATTTCAGGGAGCAGGCTAGCAGGCGGGGCCCATAACTTACATCATAGGAGCCTTCACAACACAAAACACTGTTGCTGTATGTAGGCTTTATTTTATTTGTTTTTTTATCTTATACAGTGGTGCCCCGCAAGACGAATGCCTCGCAAGATGAAAAACCCGCAAGACGAAAGGGTTTTCCGTCGCGGAGGCGCTTCGCAAGATGAAGTTCCCTATGGGCTTGCTTCGCAAGACGAAAACGTCTTGCGAGTCTCGCCATTTTTTTTTTGCTTCCCCCCCTTTTCCAAAGCCGCTAAGCCGTTAATAGGCTTTTAACAGCTTAGCCGCTAAGCCCGCTAAGCGCGCTAAATCACTAATAGCACTAATCCGCTTAGCCGCCAATGGGGTTGCTTCGCAAGACGAAAAAACCGCTAGACGAAAAGAATCACGGAACGGATTCTTTTCGTCTTGCGAGGCACCACTGTATTTTGGAAATGTACATCCACTTGTTTTTTCCTTTACAGTGGTACCTCGGGTTAAGAACTTAATTTGTTCTGGAGGTTCATTCTTAACCTGAAACTGTTCTTAACCTGAGGTACCACTTTAGCTAATGAGGCCTCCTGCTGCCGCCACGCCGCCGGAACATGATTTCTGTTCTCATCCTGAAGCAAAGTTCTTAACCCGAGGTACTATTTCTGGGTTAGCGGAGTCTGTAAGCTGAAGCGTCTGTAACCTGAAGTGTCTGTAACCCAAGGTACCACTGTAATTTTCTTGGGGGCCCCCAAGAGAGTGGGGTCCTAAGCTATAGCTTGTTTGGCTTATACGTAAATCCGGCACTGCCCACAATGGCCGCTGTCAACTTGGACAACTGATACCGTGACACCGATTGTCCTGTGCGCTTTTGCCTCTGGGTCTGTCAACAACCTGAATGTGGCCCCCACCGTGTTGCCCAAGAGGCAATACGGCCCTGAAATTGAAAGAGGCTCGTAGTTCTTAATATATCTCATGTCTCCTACAAATTGCATGTGTCCCCCCCCCAAAAAAATAAAGCCTGTTGCCCCAGAGCAAGGCTAGTCATGCCCCCGCCTGCTCCACTGGATGGGTTGTTTATTGGATTTGGCCAACAGTAATAAAATGAGAACATCTAGCATTATTACCCTTCTGGGAAAGAGAGAATAAAATTCAAACCGTTTTCTCCCCTGCCCCGAATGCTTTCAGTCTGACTGCTGGTGTGCTGGTGGCGTTAAGCATCGGCTTCATCTTTTTGAAGCGCAGCACAAAGGAAAGGCTGTGATCCGAAGATCACAGATTTGAGCCTGCTGTTAGCCTGCACAGTGCCGGACTTCACACGCCGTGTCGGACTATCAGCCAGATGCATTTGCAGGAAGGCTGTCAAAAGCTTGCTTTGATTTGAACAAAACAGAAGCACCGTCGTGCAAAGACGGCTGTGCCAATATTTCCTCTTGGAGCAGGGAAAAAGAGCATTGCGCATCTCAGGAATTGTATTATTCTTGAGTCTTGGAAAAAAGGGTTTAAACACATCTCCCTCTTAAATTTCCCCATTTGTGTTTCTCATTTGTCTGAATGAACCTGCAAAGTTCTGCTTGTCTTTTACGCTAGCGACCTGGACACATAAAAGATGCAACATTCAAATAAGAAATCTGTAAACAACCAATGAAATCAAGCTGCCTGAGAGGCCATGTAATCTCCTTCCTTCAAATGTTTCATTTAAACTGTTTACTGTTTATTATATACTAGCAAAGCGCCTGTCACTAGAAGTGGGGATGTACCGTATTTTTTTGCTCTATAAGATGCACCAGACCACAAGACTCACATAGTTAATGGAGGAGGAAAACAAGAAAAAAATTATTCTGAATCTTAGAAGCCAGAACAGCCAGAGGGATCGCTGCGCAGTGAAAGCAGCAATCCCTCTTGCTGTTCTGGCTTCTGGGATAGCTGTGCAGCCTGCATTCACTCCATAAGACGCACACACATTTCTCCTTGCTTTTTAGGAGGGGAAAAGTGAGTCTTATAGAGCAAAAAATATGGTATTTGCTAGGATGCCTTAATGGGGCAGTGTGCTTTGCAAGAAAAGGCTTGTTGAATAACACCCACCCCACCACGATTGTCATGAATGAGTTTTGCTTGCCGCACACTCAGCCTCTTGACCCCCCTCTGCTATTGCCTCTGAGTCTGGACTGCTCTCTGCTGCAGCCTCTCTCTGTTCACTAAACCCTGTTGCCTCTTCGGCTTCCGACTCCTCCCAGTCTGTCCCCTCTTCTCCTTTTGACCACTGATCAATCCCCTGGCTCTGAGCCTTCTTCCCCTGGAAGTTCTGCAGGTGGTGCCTCCAACCACTGCTCTGAATCCAGCCAGTCCACTCAATGGCCAAAGAAGAACGTGGCACGGCTGGGAGAGTAGAATGGGAGGAATCGCCTTCTGCATGCAGGAAAAGGTGTGCAGGTATCTGTGTGTGCATCAGTCTCTCTCTCTCTTTACTGATGAATATCCCCAGGCATGGTAAATCAAGCCACCAATAAAATAAGCATCTCCTTACTTTTCTGGAGCATGAGCAGTGCAGGGTAAAGGCTTGTCTCCTGGATCAACCCATGATTGCGTGGGCTGCACTGTGCATGGTATTAAGTAGATGGTGTATTCTCCCGAGTAATCCTTCCTGGAAGCAGAGAGGAAGCACCATAGTTACTGTATTGATTTGCATTGCTATTTATATACCACTTTGTTTAAGGGCCTAGTGAGCTTAGCCAGGTGAACAAGACAAACACAGAAATGGAACAGCCTTCTGGGCAAACAATTTACCAGCAGCGTTTGAACCACATATAGGCCAGAATATAGGTCATTGGCTGCAGCTTGATCTCTAGAAAAAAACTTCAAGTAGGGCCTGGTTCTTTGATCAGAACAACTATAGGATGGCTTTGGGCATCAACAGGATTTGTGTATCCTGTTGCTACACTTTTGGGTAGCATCTAAAGTGGCAACTCACTGCAGAGAAATGTGCATCTTCCCACGGGCTGGATAGGTGAGTTGCCACTTCAGGAATTTGATCAAACACCAAAAGAAGATGAAGAAGCCTCTCTCACATGCAATCTTCCAGGTAATGCTCGTAAGAGATTCCGCCTCCTGATGCTCCCTGCTACAGATTTGTTTTCTTTAGTGCACATTTTCTCACTTCGTAGATGCTGCAAAAAAGACCTCTTTGCACTTCCCCACACAAGCGGCGGGAGCAAAGTGTAACCACTGCACGACCTGATTGGCTAAAATAGTTAAGGAGTAGCACCAATTTCTGTATTTGTGGGATAGAATTCTTAAGAAAATAATGCGGCTGGCATACTATTCAGCCATCTTTAACTTCCCAGTCCTGGGGCTAGGTGGAGTGGAACAGGTCCAAATTCACCAGTTTCATTGATGCAATAGGTGCTTTAATTTCTAGCTCACCATCCCTTGAAATTAAAGAGAAAGTTCGAATCTTAGGTCCTATGTCTTCTCTGCTCTGCAACTCTGGTCCAGGCAGAGTGTGGAAAGGACAGGAAATCAGAGAAAGTTGCTCTCATGGAAGGAGAGCTGAACAACAGCCCTCTCAAGTACAAAGAGGCAAGGAGTGGTTCCATAATCCCACGGGAAACCTACTGCCATGAGCAGACTCAGCCACACTCCTGACTAACCTCCAACCCGGAAATGTCAGTGAGGCAGTTAGGTGTGCAGAACCCTCAACTGCCTTTCAAAACCACCATTCCTTTTTTGGCAGGAGCAGCCTTTATTTTCTGCCTCAGCCTTTGCTTTTCTCCTGCAGGATTCCCAAAGCCCTTGTCCCCCAAATTCCTAATAACTGGCAAAGCCCACCCTCCGTCCCACACAGTCCCTCCAAAGTCCTAGTGCTATGCATTAACTCATTCCAGGATCATTCCCCTGCTGCCCTCAACCCTATTATGTCCCCCTGGTTCTGCAAATTCACCCTGACAGAAACCTAGCACGAAACTGAAGACATCCTGGGCAGCAGAAGGATGGCAGCAGCTTCAGTAGCAAAACATGGGAGGTTTGTTTTTGTGTGTCTTACCTGCTGTAGGAGCTGGTTGCTCTCCAGAGCTGATAAGGGGAATCAAAAGTCTGGCCACTCCACAAAAGCTGCAGGTCAAACTCCATCCCTCCCAAGTGATCAGGAGTCATGATGAAAGACTTTGCATCTGGCAAAGTGTGGTGTTCCATCACAAAGTGCCCTGCATAGAGACGAAAAAAAGGATGTTCTGATTGATGACGATAATAGCGTTAGCATGATTTTGCTTAATCTAAGGCTCATAAGGATTTAGCTTCTGAGCAATCTATGAATACCAGGGCTTAGCCCTGGAACAAGTAAAGGCAAAGGAAAAAGGTGTGCCTTAGAGGTTGTAGGGTGCCATCAGGAACAATGCTGTATTGTTTTTAACACTCGATTGGGAGCCGCCCAGAGTGGCTGGGGAAACTCAGCCAGATGGGCGGGGTATAAATATAATTATTATTATTATTATTATTATTATTATTATTATTATTATTATTATTAATGTGGGTGGTGCTGTGGTCTAATCCACTGAGCCTCTTGGGCTTGCAAATTGGAAAGTCAGTGGTTCGAAACCCCGTGATGGGGTGAGCTCCCATTGCTCTGTCCCAGCTCCTGCCAACCTAGCAGTTCAAAAGCACGCCAGTGCAAGTAGATAAAAAGGTACCACTGTGGCGGTAAGGGAAACGGCGTTTCCATGCACTCTGGTTTCCGGCACGGTGTTCTGTTGCACCAGCAGCAGTTTAGTCATGCTGGCCACATGACCCAGAAACCTGGACAAACACCAGCTCCCTCGGCCTGAAGTGAGATGAGCGTCACAACCCCATAGTCGCCTTTGACTGGACTTAACCATCCAGGGGTACTTTACCTTTTTAACTTAGGGTGCCATCATCCTGCAACAACCAGCACCTGTCCATATCTGGGATGAGGCGTAAGAGTCAGGGATTCTAGAAAGTGTTACCTTCATCCAAACAGGTTTCCTTGAGAAATCAAGAGCTGTTTACCTCGGAACTTGGCATGAGTCTTGAACTCAATGACTAGCCGACCATCCTCTCGAATGTAGATCCTTATTATCTGCAGCCTAGCAGAAAGGACGCTGTCGGTCTGAATGCCTGGAGGAAACAAGAGAATCAGCTGTCTCCTTCACAAAGGGATAAAGGAGCATTAATCAAAGTGCACTGGTCCTCCTGCCACAACCCAGCGACAGAAAGAAGAGAGCTAAGCCAGTTTTTACAGTTGTATTTTATTTTTCCAAGAACGTGAATACAACAAAAATAACAAGTACGGTTCTTGTGTCCAACAAATCATAAGTAGAAAAGAATGGGAAACATGAAAAGGAAAGGGGGGGGGCAGGATTTGGTGAGTCCAATCCTATCTAACTTAGAAAGCTTCTGCAGAGGTTTCTATGAGTAGCTGGGAGATTTTCCTTCTCAATGGACTCATTTACAAACAAGAGAAAAGGAAACCAGCAAGTATCAAAGGCCCCAGGTTCCTTATGACCCCTAGCACTGAAGACTGAGAGGATCAGAGACCAAATACAAGGGCTTCAAACATACAATGTAGGGTCTGATAGATCTTACTGCATTCAGCAGGAAGCATACTAAGTGTGTATGAAAAAGTGTTGGGCTCAGCTGCAGAGGCAAAAGACCCAAAGAGGGAGACGTGGGACCCGCCCGTTTTGTAATTGTGGAATCTTGTCAAAAAGACTAACCCAGGATCGGTCAACATTAAGACACTCATACCACATGTAGAGAATGGTCCCCCTAGTTGAACAACCGCGCCAACAGTTGGGCAACATCTCCTCCTTCATGTAGCTCAGTTTAACTGGTGTCAGGTGCCATCTATGAGTTAGTGATGCCTCCCATATTGTTTCAGATGTGGTTTTAAAAGGGGATGGTGTCAAGTCGAGTCAAGGGTAGTGGTGTCTCCCAAATCTCACTCCCAAACCAGCTTCAGGCCATTAAAGTCCCCCTAAGCATTGGGTTTTTCATTTGATTTAATATTTGCATTCCTCTTTTCCAACAACAAAAGTTGAGCTCAGAGGGGCTCACAATCATCACCATAGCATTATTTTAAAAAAGAAAGAGTAAATGCACTTTGCTATTTATTTATTATTTGGTAACTGATATTTATTGAGTTTTCCATTTTAACAATCCAATCAAACCACGTTATATATTCCAAATTATACAATAATCAAACAGTCCAAATATTGTGCCAAATTATAAATTTTTGGGTGGGCTTCCCATGCTCCGAGGTCGAGGTCCCCCTGCACTTTGCTATTTTTAAGCCTGACAAGGGTCACTTATTTATTTGGGCTGCAATCCTAAGTCTCATTAAATCCAGTGGCTTCTGTGTGCTGTTTGTTGACAAGGCTGATCTCCAGCCTTGGAGTTCAAGGTAGCAACGTAGGGGTCCCAGATCCATCTAGACTCTGACCAGACCTATATCCTGCTTAGCACCACAAGGTTCCTGCACCCCATGCTTTCAACTCATGGGACCAGACACACCAGCAATGTTGCTTCATAGCACACTTTTGCGCCACAACCACTCACCTGTTCTCCAGAGGACTGTGTCATAGAAGAAGGAAAACTCCATCTCAGTGTGATGTTCCAGAGAGGCCCATCCTCTAGGCGCAGTCACATAAATGTAGGAGACGTAGAGAGGGACATGGACAGTCAGGAAGGACTGAGCTGAATCACGAACCTATCAGTGAACACAGAGTGAAAATGTTTGCATTTTTCCCCATCCAGGCTTTCCTCCAAAGGAGCTCAGGCAGCATATATGATCCACCCAGTTCTTCCTCAGGGAAACCTAATGAAAAAAGGCTTGGCTGCGGCTAGACCATGAGGCTCTTAATCTCAAGGTCATAGATTTGAGACACATGAGATTTTGAAGGTGTATGATGCCACCACCTTGCTGAAGCTAAGCAGGGCTGGCTCTGGTCAGCGTCTGGACGGGAGACCTCATGGAAGCCACAGGCATGCCACTTGGATGCCATGACAGGAGAAAGGTGGGATATAAATGCAGGAAAATAAATAGCTAATAAATAAGCATTCATCCTGCGACTACTTGAATTCCAAAGCCCTGTCCCACATTGTTAAGCGGAGCCCCTCTGACCCTCAAGAAAATGTCACCAGTTGCAAACCAGTTGAGATTGCCTCTACTTGGGGGTTCCAGAGCCAGTACATTTCCAAGCACATTTCCAAGTGTTGGTGCTGACCTTTAAAGCCCTAAACAGCCTCGGTCCTGTATATCTGAAGGGGCGTCTCCACCCCCATTGTTCAGTCCGGACACTGAGGTCCAGCGCAGAGGGCCTTCTGGTGGTTCCCTCGCTGCGAGAATCCAAGTTACAGGGAACCAGGCAGAGGGCCTTCTCGGTAGTGGCACCCGCCCTGTGGAATGCCCTCCCATCAGATGTCAAAGAGAACAACTACTACCAGACTTTTAGAAGACATCTGAAGGCAGCCATGTTTAGGGAAGCTTTTAATGTTTGATGCATTACTGTATTTTAATATTTTGTTGGAAGCCACCCAGAGTGGCTGGGGAAGCCCAGCCAGATGGGCGGGATATAAATAAATTATTATTATTATTATTATTATTATTATTATTATTATTATTATGCTCCTTAGTGGAACCGACCTCAAGCAAAAGCAGAGTTTGCATTCAGCGGTCAGGACTTGAATACAAGCCAGGACTGCAAAGGATGGAGCAGCTCCTGATTCTTCTTCTAAAGATTTCAAGTAACTTCCAGGGGGCAGCCCCACTGAGTTGTCAAAAGAGGAGGCCTGTTCTGGATCTGGCTCATGAATTAGATCCAGGTCATCACCCCTGCCTCTTTAGTAGGGTCCAGCGGCACATTTACAAATCGAAGGGACTCTCGTGGGCACCACAGAAGGCCAGTTTCACAGAAGAACAACCGATGATATTTACTGATGACTTCGTAACTTGTAAAGTAGCACTATACGCTTTGGCAGCTAAAAAGGTCAGGAGAAAAGAACTAAATAAAATAGCGGTCAATTGCAAAGGTGATTTGGACATTCAAGCTGGCACATTCTACCTGAGAACCCCTTGCTATTCTATCGTATACAACAAATAATTTTAAGGAGAAGTGATCATGGTTTATTGTATCTGCAGTGCCTGATGTTTTTATGGTTTTTATGCTTATTGTTGCTTTTCTTTTTGTTCCCATTGTGAATGATGCCATGGCCTTTGGCTAGTGCAATAAAGTTTATGACGATGATAAACTGATGATATTCCAAACCGACACCCTTGCCCCGAAACTGGCAAACTATCTACACCACTTCCCCCAAACCAAACAGATAAAAAAGCAGGCAGATGCCTAAAAAAGGAGGGAGCGAAAAGCCTTCCAGAAAATCATTAAAAAATTAAAATTTGGGAGCGGCAGAGGGTCTTAACAGGGCCTCAAGTTGGGGGGGGTGCCCTGGTGTCCACAGGAATCATACAGCAGCCGCCAGAATAGTTCTAGCCAGCAAATAGAAAGGCAAGACAGTACCCTCTAAATAAATAATAATAATAATAATAATAATAATAATTTATTTGTACCCCACCCATCTGGCTGGGTTTCCCTGGCCACTCTGGGCGGCTTCCAACAAAGATTAAGAATACATTAAAACATCAGTCATTAAAAACTTCTTTGAACTTATCCAAAGAAGAATGGATTTATAAACCAAATGAATACACAGAGTTGGCAAAATTAACAGCAATTATAAGCTCTCAAACAAATCAAAATTTAAAATCAGAATGGAAATGCTTCGAAGAATACATGGAAAAATGCTGCTCTTAAAAGAATATGTTAATATGCATAAATGTGTAAAGGGGATGTGTGAATGTAAATATACAGCTAGCAAGTATAGATTAAGTATGTAAGTATGTAAAGGTGAAAATAAAATCAGAAATGGTTGTAAGAGATGAAGACGAAGGTTTATAGAAATGCAATGAAATAATTAAATTAAAAATTAAGGAAGTTGAGCCGTGGTAGAGGGAGGTCACGGGGGTGGGTAAGGTGTCTTGTTTTAGTTTGTATATACAGTGGTACCTCGGGTTAAGTACTTAATTCGTTCTGGGGCTCCGTTCTTAACCTGAAACTGTTCTAAACCTGAAGCACCACTTTAGCTAATGGGGCCTCCTGCTGCTGCTGCGCCACCGGAGCACGATTTCTGTTCTTATCCTGAAGCAAAGTTCTTAACCTGAAACACTATTTCTGGGTTAGCGGAGTGTGTAACCTGAAGCATATGTAACCTGAAGTGTATGTAACCCGAAATACCACTGTATAGCATGTGTGTTTCTATGTGTATTTGTGGTATCTGTATGTCTTTGTTCATGTATTCCCCCCATAAAATATTTTAAAAATTAAATAAATAAAAATAAAAATTTGGGAGGGGCAGAGGGTCTTAACAGGCCCTCAAGTGTGTGGGTGGGTGGGGAGAAGGTGTCCTGGTGTCCACAGGAATCATACTGGGGACCCCAGCATTCAATCCAAGAAACCCAATAGGAGATTTTCCCAACTGGTCCCCAGCTGGGCAGCATTACCTGAAAGTCGGCAGTGACCGATCCTCCGCAGACGTCAATTAATTCTGTCATGTCATAGTACGCGTCAAAAGTCCAGATGCAGCTCTTCAGGTTCAGGTGCTTGTACAGCTGGATGGTCTTTGGCTCTCTCACACTGGGGTCAAACTGGTATGGTCTATCGTATCCGGGTCCCAGAATGATGCTATTGTAGGTCACTTCATCTAGGAATCCAGCTTCTGGGATGGAAACCAGGGGATACATCAAGGTTTTGCTATGTTACGCATTGGTTATACATCAGATCTGCTGTGAAATACATTTCATGTGGGCTTTATCCAGCCAACATGCTTAACTCTAATTAATGCATGAAGGGGTTAAGACCAGAGAGTAAGCTGTCCTGCCAGGCTTAGCTAGGCCACACCCCCTCACCTTGGGAGGAAGGTCTATCAAACTCTTTGTTCTCCCACTTACCACCTTTATTCCACCATGTGGACCTCTCCATTAAGGATGTCTAAGGTGGATGCTTCAAGCTTAGACCGCATGGCTTTAAGAAGCCACTTTTGTGTTTCTATACCTATAATTTAGAAACACTTAGCTTTGGGGAGCTAACCTCTCAGTTTTGCTGCCTGACCTTTCTTGCTGCTGTATGGAAAAGCACATGAATCTAACATGTGAAGATTTAAGTAAACCATTTTCAGCTTACCAAACATGTGGTCTCTTTCTATGCAAAGGGAAGTGGGAAGCTTTGGAAGAAACTCAGAAGGGGATAATTTAAAGGTCCACCAGCCTATATTTCCACTTTGCTGCAAGTTTTTTCTTCTTCCAATCTCTGCTGGGGCTCTCTCACCAAAGAGTACTTGCCCCAATCTAGGCACCCGGGGAATTCTCCTTTTATTTTACCTACCTTTTATTTCCTTTCTCCTGTACCAAAAAACAACATTTCGTGCATAAATAGGCAGATAATATCTGCTATTTACAGCATCGGGGTCAAACTGCTCATTGAACACACAGAATGTTTGTTTCAGCATCCAGCATCCTGCAAGAAGCTGACCTGCAACCCTTTTCAAGAATGAGGGCAGACGAGGATGGTTGCCTTTTTCTCTGCCTGCATCTTTGTGCAAATGCCACGGGGTCTGGAGACATGGGGCTCGAGAAACATCACAGGCCAAGCCCCCTATGCCCATTGATCTATGCCCACCTGGAGGTGGTCTTCTGGGCCTCTCTACAGGGACCCCTGCCATCAAGGACCATCAAGGACCCAGCCATCAAGGACCAGCAAGAAACTGCTGCTTCACAAATGCGCACATTAAGTGGCAGTGGCTCATAATTGATTACCTGAGATGCCCTTAAGATCTTGGATGCTGACCAGGTTGGAACAGACATGCTGGTGCCTGTAGATGGACTCCGACAGGAGGAAGTGCAAGTTGTGCAGAGGCATCGTGGAGATGAGAGGGAGCATCCCGTCCTGGTGTGGAATCTGCACTGAGATATGGATTCTGGAAAACCACAAAGCGGCAGGAGTTGAAGTGGGGAGAGGAGAGAGGATGCACTGGGTAAAAGACACACGTATTGCATAAACATAACAAAATGCAAATTGCACTGCCTTGCAGCACAGGGCCCTGTTTTAATCCCTGGAAGGACTAGGAATGTTTCGTTCCTGAAACCCCGGGGAGCAGCCGCCTTTGTTGTTGTTTAGTCGTTTAGTCGTGTCCGACTCTTCATGACCCCATGGACCAGAGCACGCCAGGCCCTCCTGTCTTCCACTGCCTCCCGCAGTTTGGTCAAACTCATGCTGGTAGCTTCGAGAACACTGTCCAACCATCTCATCCTCTGCCGTCCCCTTCTCCTTGTGCCCTCAATCTTTCCCAGCATCAGGGTCTTTTCCAGAGAGTCTTCTCTTCTCATGAGGTGGCCAAAGTATTGGAGCCTCAGCTTCAGGATCTATCCTTCCAGTGAGCACTCAGGGCTGATTTCCTTCAGAATGGATAGGTTTGATCTTCTTGCAGTCCGTGGGACTCTCAAGAGTCTCCTCCAACACCATAATTCAAAAGCATCAATTCTTCGGCGATCAGCCTTCTTTATGGTCCTGCTCTCACTTCCATACATCACCACTGGGAAAACCATAGCTTTAACTATACGGACCTTTGTCAGAAAGGTGATGTCTCTGCTTTTTAAAGCAGCCGCCTAGCAAAGTAGAAAAAACTTTGCTGGATGGACCAATGGCCTGTCTTGGCATAAGGCAACTTTCCAAGTTCATCATTTCACACATGTCTACTCAGAGGCAAGTCCCACCAAGCTTGATGTGTCTTATGGTTGTAGCCATAAAATTAGTGGCCAGCATCCAGAATTGCACACACTTCAGATCTGCACATACAATCAACATTGTTCAGCTTGCTGGTTCACTGCCAAATGTAAGAGAGGACCTACATTCAGTTAACAGCGGGATGTCGAGGTGTGGAGGAGCTATTTGAATCCGAGACTCATTCCGAATATAGCAATGCATGAGGGGCTGAAATCTAAACAGCTCCCAATTTTCTCCCCCCAGCTTGCTGATCCTTTTGAAAACAGATTCACCAAGCTTGCTTATGAAATATTTTCACTGATACTTTATTAGCAAAATTTTTTGGCCCATTTTCCGTCTTCGTTTTCAGCTGCAGATGCTTTCATTAGCAATAGCCTAAATGTTGAAGTGTTTGGAAATTTTTTAAATGTAGACCCCTGGAAATTGATTGCAAATGTGTTAACTCTCCCAACACCACCCCAAGTGGCATTACATGCCTGCTGTTTCATCTTTTGATCTTCCCTTCATTTAAAAAACATGCAGTAAAACTTCCAAATAAAGAAAGCAGCGACCATTTATACCTTGCATTCCTTTCTTTCTTTGGGTCAAGGAGAAAAGTTCTGGGTCAATGAAAGAACCGAGTCATGTTCAGAACAGACCTCCTCAAATCAAGGGGCTGAAGATTTTAATAGTTCTGCTCTGAGTATGACTAATGTTGGATACCATCCTTTATCTTTCTTTCTCCCCCCTGAGAATCATTTGGGAGCATTTCTAAAATTAGCATCCCATACTATCTGTACATTTGTCCCCCTGTTCAAATTTAGCTCAAAATAATCCCCTAATACTTTTTCCATTTTTAAATAAAAAAAATGGTCCTCTAATAGATCTTCATTTAATCTTCATCTGAAAGTGGTTTGTTTCTCATTTTGCATTTCTAAAATTAATGGATTATGATCTGATATTGTTCTTGGCCATATTTCTATTTTCCTCACCTTTAACTCTAATTCTTTGGATAGACAAATTGCATCTATCCTTGCAGTGCTTTTATACGCATTTGAATAAAAAGTGAACTCTCTAATAAATGTTTGTTTCTCCAAATATCTATTAAATTCAAATTCTCTACCATTTCCCTGAAAGTTTTTGGAAGTCCTCTACCTGTTGGGGTGTTCCTTGTGCTTAACATCCAGATACTTCAAAGTGGCAACGAAGGACTGTGCTTGAAACCCCCGGGCTGTTCCAGCCACTATTGGTGTGTGGCAGATGGCGCTGTCTGTCCCAATTGTGACTATGTTGCTTCTCAGTGGGGTGCCGGCGTGGCCAACCTTGTCCACGGCTTTGGCCACGCAGCGAACGTGGAATCGTCGGCTGAAGTAAATGCTGTCCAGCACCTGGGAAGGAAGGAGAGAAAAAGAGAGAGAGGAAGGAAGGAAGGAAGGAAGGAAGGAAGGAAGGAAGGAAGGAGAGGTGATTCTCAGCCTAAACAACTGATAGCCTTATACAGTGGTACCTAAGGTTAAGTACTTAATTCGTTCCGGAGGTCCGTACTTAACCTGAAACTGTTCTTAACCTGAAGCACCACTTTAGCTAATGGGGCTTCCTGCTGCTGCCGCGCCGCTGGAGCCCGATTTCTGTTCTCATCCTGAAGCAAAGTTCTTAGCCAGAGGTAATATTTCTGGGTTAGCGGAGTCTATAACCTGAAGCGTATGTAACCTGAAGCGTATGTAACCCGAGGTACCACTGTATATATTTTAAAAATTCTTCAATATATTAATAGAACATTATTACTTTTCTGTCCATCCACATTTAAAGAGGCTTAACTATGCCACATACATATTAAAACAGTAATACAGAAATATAAGGAGATGGAAACAAAGCAGAGAAAGATCAGGAAGCCAGCTATGACACTCTCTGCTCTGATCACCAGCCTCTCCAGTTAGAAAGATCAAAGGCAGCAAGGGAGAAAAGCTCTTGCTCGTCAAAGGCAAAGCTTTCATGCAGGCATAGTCTCTAGCTGTGTGCATGCATCCCATTGGGGGAAAGTACATAAACTGGTGGAGAATGAATGGTCCCCTGCTGGTGCAACTGCTCCCATAGAGCACAGACTTGAGAATAGCTGCCTAGATGCTAGATTGACATGCGTAGGTATCCAGAGCTATAGAATCGACTGTGTTATCTTTGAAAATGAAGAGTTAACTATTTGCCGCTTGCATTCCTTTGGCTGTGAAGCCCCCTTGACAGCCTCTGCACATACCATGTGATTGACACTGGTGAAGGGAGTGTTGTCTGTAATCGTTTCAAAGGGAGATCTGGCTCCATTCCCGTCCGTGGGCGTCGCCACTTCCCAACTGAACTGTATGGAGGACTGGTTTATCCCGGCATCACCGCAGCGCTCTTTCATCACCGAGTACTTGGGGAAGTGAGGGTCGCAAGGCGTCACGCAGACCAACGGGTAGCCCGGAGAGGGAGACTTCTTAGCTCCTTCTTTGGCTTCTTCTTCTACGTGATCATACTCGGACAGCGTAACCACCTGCAGGGACACAATACAAGGCTTGGGACTCCAGGGAAGGGACCTTGCAACTGCAGCTAATGGCTAATCCCAAATAACTCAGGGATCCGCAGGTTAAAGCCACTTACAATAGGAGGAGCTGGCAAAATGAGGCTCCCAGCTGCTTCCTGGTCCAGAATGGTGACGATTGTAGTGGTGATCTCCCCCAGGACAGCTTCAACAGGGTCATCTGGCCCTAACACCAGGGAAAAGGACTCGTGCCACTCCCTGTCTTCATTGGACATGATCTCTACCTTAAATACAATGTGGTCCACTCCTGCACAAACAAACACGAGAGAGAGGTTGAGTCAAACTAGCTTGTCATCTGACGAGACTTTTAAATGCTTCCACAAAGCAATGCTGAGGTCAGATCCACTAAATCATTGTGATTAACAACACACACACACACACACACACACACACACACACACACTCCAGGTTTTATCGTAACCCCTTTGGCTCTAATGATGTGGCTCAGGAGCCTTTAGAAAACTAAAAACTACAAAATACAGCATGCCATCTGATGGATTGCTTGGCAGATTTACTAACAGATGCCATGTGAGGATTAATGGCGCCTGTCCGACTTTAATAAAAATCTGTGATCCAAAATATACCTCCCATATTATTGCTGGAGGGCACGTCTGCATTGATTCTTTACGATAAGCACAGAACTCTTGGCCTTGCAAGATTTTCTGTAAGGCCTTTAAGAGTTGCTGTGGATTGACGCATTGGAAAAGGGCTGGGGAAACCTGTTCTGAGAGAAAAGCCTCACATCAGATGGGGTGAACTGGGCCGCGAATGGAAGCAATGGGGGCCTTGGGAGGAAGGGAGGCTGAAAACAAGGGAGCCAAGGGAACTGTAAGCTGGGAAGCAAAGGAAGGTTGTGGGGATAAGCAAAAAACATGGACCCCAGGAACAGAAAACCACGGGGACAACCCAGCCACCATTCAAAGCAATCTTAGGTCCCACTGACTTCAAGAGGACAGCTTTGAGCACATTGATACTCAAGCGAAATGAATGGGCCTTTAATTTCAGCAGGAATATATCCCATGTGTTCTGCAGGAGCTTGGGAGCTGGGCAGCACTGGGATGAAGGAAGTGGACTGGGTAGAGCTAAGGGAACGGAAGGGCTTTAAGGAAGGAGAGTCCTGTACATCTCCTTCCAGCAACTCTTGCAACCAAGCTGGTGCCAAACATACTGCTCTGCTTTCCTTTGGACCACATCAGCAAGGCTGAGAGGAGGGTCCTGTTGTCTGGGCAGCTCAGGATCTCAATACAAATGGCCCAGGCTTGCACCCCAGGGAGATCACTTTACTTCAGAGGTGCTACTGCAGCAAAAACAACATGGGAGGCAGAAGTTACGAGTTAGCGGTCTCTGCAGCCACAGCAGGCGCTGTGAATCTCCAGTGGGTTGACTTCACCCCTGGAGGCGCACTCCATTGTCTCTCGAGACAGGCAGATGCCAGCAATTTTGTTCTATGTCTTTCGGATGTTAGCCTCTCCGGACCGCCCCACCCACAATGGCCTTCAAAGAAAATACACAAGCAAGCTTATTTTTTGCCTCCAAACAATGTCCATTACTGCAGAACTCGAGGACTTTCTGTGCTTTACCAGGACTGAACTTGAGGACTCGACTCTTTGGGTAGTAATCAATCCCAGACTGAGCAGAGCCGTCCCGGGTACTGCAGCGAACTTTGGAGGTCCTGTTTTGGTCCCCTCTCCGCAGCACCTTGACATTCAAGAAAGCAACCCCTTCAGGCCCAGGAGGTTCACGGACTTGGTAAGCAGCTTCCTCAAACTCGATGGTGGGAGCTAGAGAAACAGAAGAAAAATGGAAGCTGCTTGTTTGTGTCTCCAGATGTGAAGAACACTTTGAGTTAGGTTTATACAATTAAAACTATACATGTGTCTGCTGGAACTATGTAACCAGAATATTGGAGCCAAGCGCTGTATATATAATAACCGTGGCCAGGTTTCTACATGTTAAATTATGGGGAAACTCCCATAAACTAACTAAATATGACTTAGTTAGGAAAATCTGGGAGCAGACAAGCCCAATTAAGTTGAGAGCGCTGTTGAAAAGCAGAGATAAATACTCAGAAGTTATGCACAAGAGGAACGTGGTGACCCAGTAGATAAAAAAGGAATTATAAATATCTGGGAAAGGGATGGGTTATATGGTATTTTTACGTGCACTCAGGCTGTAAATAAATACATAAGAAGTTAACTGCGGGTAAGATTTCTTATGAATTGCAGTTAAACGTTACTACTTATCAACTCTTGTGAGCCATTTGTTCTACAAATTGCATTTAAAGGCCAATAGTTATTTGTAAATGTTTGCAAGCTATTTTTGAGTAAATTGATTGTTAGGCACTTAAATATGACCTTTTAACCTCTGTGCCCTGGCTCCCGCCCAAGAACAATGATACAGGCACTTTCTTGTAGGTAAAGAAGCAGAGTTTTATTCTAGCAGACTGACGGTGCAAACTTGACAGCAGGAGGAAAGCAGGAAATTAGCACAGATGCCCCGAGGCTCCAGCAATGTGGCAAGGCTCAAACCAACTACGGAGAGAGGAGCTTCAAGGTTCCCCAAGCACAATTCGGGGACAAGGCCAGGGGTCAACTGGTCCAGTGGGTCCGAAAACAAGTAAAGGCTAGCGCATACAGGCCAGCTCCTCTTACCATCTTCATCATTGGAGATAATAATGGAGGCCATATTATTCTTGCCAACTGTAGCCCCACTCCAGTGGTTTCCAAGCGGGTTGCTCAGGTGTATCTGGAACTTCTCCTCCGGTTCAAAGGCAGAGTCGTCATTAATAAAGATAGTGCAGTTCTTTACCTAGCGCCAAGGATGCCAACGGTTAAGGACAAGGAGGTAACCTGGCTAACCTGTTTATTAAAAACACAAATATGCTGCCTCTCTTGCAAAACGTTCATGGCAGCTCCCAGCACAATAATAAAAAAATACAAGAAATCAATAATAAGTAGGAATATCTGGGAAAAGGAAGACTAACATTAACGGTTAGGCAGGCCAGGTTTTAGCATGCTGCAAACCATTTAGAGAATGCTTTAAAATATGAAGTGTTATATACAGTGCTTTTTTCTGGGGGGGGGCGGCACAGGGCATACCCCTAAACATTTTGTGAATCTAACCGGAGAAGAAACCATTTTTTAAAAAAATAGTTTCTTCTCTAGCACAGTGAATCTTCAGTTCCATTGAATAGCACTGTGAATCTTCAGTTCCGTTGCTACCCCCAATGGCGACTTCATTTCCTTTCCCGGTGTTTCCTGAGTCTTAGACAGAAGCGAGCATTTAATGTGTGAAGCAGTGTGGAATGTGGATGTGTGGAATCAGGTAGTGCACACAACCTCGTGCCAATGTGGAAGTTACTGTGAGCTGTCAGCTGTGTAATATGAGGTAATGCATGTTCTTTGTACTTTTGTCAATTTACTGTATTTACCCCCCCCCCCCGATTTGAACTATAAAATGGTGGTTTTCTTGAGTCAAAATGAGAGTGCCCCTAAACATTTTTAAAAGAAAAAAAAACACTGGGTATATGTCAGGTCAGGGAACTGCCATCAGCTCAGAGGCGAGAGGTGGAAGGGCAGTTGTATTATAGGGAACCTCCGAAAGTCTTGCGAAGCAGTTCCTCCTCTGGTGAGGAGGGAAGCTCCCTCTCCAGTGGAGAGGAGGTGGTGGGACCAGGGGATGCTAGGGAGAGCCTCAACACCGAGCCTGAGCAAACCGGAGGGGAGGGAAGTACCCCTTTGCCAGCGCCCACTCTGCGCAGTAGGTTTCGGCACAGGGAGGGGAGGAGAAGGTTGGGGGTCAAGCGACTGTTATGCTGGGGGAGGTACAAGGACCGCCCACTCCCAGATTCTGCTAGCGACTGAGCCAGACGTGAACTTGCAATGCTCTTCACTGTAAATAGTTGCACTAACAATAAAGCTGGAAAAGACAGGTCGGAGTCTTGCTTGTTTGCTCTCGAGCAACCACAACAGTACCAAATAACCTAAGTAAATAAATGTCTATCTGTAAAAAGAAAGCACTTTGCAGTGCAGTGAAAGGGAGTGGTAAAGATGGGCATTCCTAGGCAGGGAGTTTCACAAATCGGATGTGTCCACCAATTCATTGGCTGTTGTTTCATTCTGAGCTACATCCACTCACCTTCTCCCCTTTCAGAAAAGTGACGCGCGATTCCTCCGTGTTTCTCCTTTCCTCAAAGTCCTCCATGGCTTTCGCTGTCTGGCCCTGGGTGTAGCACCTGACAGACGACTCATAGCTTAAGTCTCCGGTGCGGATGATGGGAATGTGGAGGATGCCCTCCTTCTCTTTCACAGGGTACAATTCTTTACTAAATTTCATGTTCGGCACTGCGGAGGGAAGAAGAAGAATCACTCAAACTTCTGTGGGCCTACAGTATGCTGAAAAATAAGGGCATAATTTCTGGGAAGCTGCAAGTTCAGGAATGCGTGACTCCTCTTTTAATTAGGTCACAGGGGGTCTTGGTGCCTTGAATAGGGGACAGTGGGGTCCAGGCCTTCTGCCACCAGGGTAGGTTGTAGACAAGAGGGAACAGGTAAAAGGTAAAAAAGTAAAGGACCCCTGGATGGTGAAGTCCAGTCAAAGGCGACTATGGGGTTGCGGTGCTCTTCTCGCATTCAGGCCGAGGGAGCCGGCGTTTGTCCACAGACAGCTTTCCGGGTCATGTGGCCAGCATGACTAAACCGCTTCTGGTGCAACGGAACACCATGATGGAAACCAGAGTGCACGGAAAAGCCGTTTACCTTCCCGCCGCAGCGGTACCTATTAATCTACTTGCACTGGCGTGCTTGTGAACTGCTAGGTTGGCAGGAGCTGGGACCGAGCAACGGGAGTTCACCCCGTTGCGGGGATTTGAACCACCAACCTTCTGATCGGCAAGCCCAAGAGGCTCAGTGGTTTAGACCACAGCGCCACCCACATCCCTAAGAGGGAACAACTGACCTTATGAATGCTACTCTGCAGTGCTTCATCTTCCCATGGCCGGAGAATGTGGTACAGATTTCAGGCCCGGCAAGATGAGGCAATCTGAGAACCTAAAAGGTGGCTGCTCAGGTTGGCCACTGGATCAGACCAACAGCCTATCTAGTCCATCATCCTGTTTCCCAGATACCTCTGGGAAGCCCAGAAGCAGAGCATGAGCACAATCACCCTCTCTCCTCATCATGTACCTCAGCAACCGGCATTCAGGTGTGAACTGGCATCCAGGTCTGAATGCCTGTGAACCTGGAATAGCCAATGATATTCTGATCCTCCCTGCATTCATCTTTATCCCCTTTTAAAACCATGTCAGCTATTGGCAGGCATCCCCACATCCCATGATGGTGAATTCCATAAATTGACTATCCACTGCTTGAGAACTGGAGCAAGTTGTTGCTCAGTGTAAGCTGGATTGCTGCATACTGCCTTAAAAATCTTGCTTGGAGCTATGGAACCACTTTAAGGGCAATTCCAGTGCTCAAAATTGAGTACTGGCATTGCCTTCACTTCATATATCTAATTTTTATTTAGCCTCTAACAATATTACCATCGTATACATTTTTTTTAAGATACAAAATTTCTTCTTGATTTCCAACCACTTCTTTCCTGATGTTTCTTTTTTTAACTTTTTATTAGCTGTTTTATAACACACACATGTTTATTATCTAAACCCTGCAACCGTTAAATCTTTAGTAATCCACTGCTTGTATTTCAAATCCTGCCCGCGACATCATATATTGATGTTAATTTGATTAGGTAATCCATCCGGGATCTCCATTCCTCCTTAAACACTTTGTCATTATGTCCTCATAATTTGGCAGTTAATTTCACCATTTCAGCATATTCCATCAGTTTCAGAAGCCATTCCGATGGGCTTCTTCACTTCCAGTTGCAGACAATAAAGAAACAAATTCTGCATGTTGTGTATTCAAACACATTACGAGTAAGAAGCCAGTGTGCATGTACACATTTTTAAATGCCCATCAGCCCTAAGCTTGCCAAGAAAGTTGCCTTACAGAAGCTCAGTTACATAGCTTAGTCGGTAGAGCATGAAACTCTTAATCTCAGGACTGTGGGTTTGAGACCTACATTGGGCAAAAGATTCCTGCATTGCAGGGGGTTGAAACAGATGACCCTTGTAGTCCCTTCAAACTCTACAATTCTATGATTTTATGAGCGCCAGTCACACTAAAATATTTCTTTGTTGACCCTCTTACCATCCTGGAAGGTGTCATTAATGGCCACCATTGCTTGAAAAGGCTTGGCCAGCTCTGCTCCTTGCGGCGAGCTCAGGTAGACGACAAATGTCTCCACCCCTTCGATGACTGGGTACTGTGCATCATCCAGAATTGTCAAGGTGCAGTACTAGAGGAGATGAGAGAAATAAAAAGGCCTACTTTCTTAATATATAAAACCGACCAAACAGGCAGTGCCAGATTTACGTATAAGCTAAACAAGCTATAGCTTAGGGCCCCACTTTCTTGGGGGCCCCCAAAAAATTTAAAGGAAAAAAACCTGGATGTACATTTCCAAAATATAAGCTAAAGTATATATAAAGGTAAAGGTAGAGGGACCCCTAACCATTAGGTCCAGTCGTGGCCGACTCTGGGGTTGTGGTGCTCATCTCGCTTTATTGGCCGAGGGAGCCAGCATATAGCTTCTGAGTCATGTGGCCGGCATGACTAAGCCGCTTCTGGTGAACCAGAGCAGTGCACGGAAACGCCGTTTACCTTCCCGCCGGAGCGGTACCTATTTATCTACTTGCACTGTGACGTGCTTTTGAACTGCTAGGTTGGCAGGAAAAGTATATATACTTCTTCTTAATTGTATTTCACTGTTAATATACTTCTTAATTGTATTTCAGTTCAACAATTACTTTGATAAAATACATATTTTGTTATTTGCAAATGGCTTTAGATACCTCTTAGGTCCATAAATTACCATATAGTATACGTATATTCAACACAAAAAAAAACAGTGACAATTTGTTGTTGACAAAGGACAGCTGGACATATAAAGGGCCCCATTACCTTCAGTAGCTTAGGGCCTCATCAAACCTAAATCCGGCTCTGCAAACAGGTGAGAAGGAATGCCAGAGGATATGAGAGGAGTAAATGGTGTTGGGCTCTTCTAGATTCACAAATGGCACTTGCTTTCATCTGTGCATCACTGCTTATGTCAGATGCATGAAGAAACAGCCAAAAACATCTGGACTGTTAGGTGTACCTGAGCAAAGTTCTGTGCATGTCTTTCCCAGACTTCTGATACCTGGGGCACAGTTTGTTTTCTGGATTATGTAACAGGAACCACACTGAGCCAGATGTTCTCAGATGACAACTTTCAGGAAGAATTTGGGGGAGGCCAACTAGGGGCTCAAACACAGTAATTTTTGAAAAGGGAGGGATCTCACTGTCTGAAGTTCCTTCCAGCAGCTGCTGGCAGGCGGTCACCATTTCCCCTTGCCAAAAACAATGACAAATGACCACACAGCATTGTTCTTCCAGAAGTAAAGGTAAAGGTACCCCTGCCCGTATGGGCCAGTCTTGACAGACTCTAGGGTTGTGCGCCCATCTCACTTAAGAGGCCGAGGGCCAGCGCTGTCCGGAGACACTTTCCGGGTCACGTGGCCAGCGTGACAAAGCTGCTCTGGCGAGCCGGCACCAGGGCAGCACACGGAAACGCCGTTTACCTTCCCGCCAGTAAGCGGTCCCTATTTATCTACTTGCACCCGGGGGTGCTTTCGAACTGCTAGGTTGGCAGGCGCTGGGACCGAGCAGCGGGAGCGCACCCCACCGCGGGGATTCGAACTGCCGACCTTTCGAATCTGGGTGCAAAAAACGGCAGCCCGCAGGGAAGGAGTTCTGAGTGGCGGTGGCAAGTTTTAGTGTGGATTTAGGCTCATCATAAACACCCACCAATGTCTCTACTTTGGTACTGCGCTTTCTAGGTACAATTAAAAATGGTTTCGTTCCCATCTTCCAAAACACTATGCAAACCAAACTGCAGCTATCCTTCAAAATCTGAATTTCTCTGAATTTTGTTATGCAGTTATCCAAACAAAAAATATCTGCAGAAATGGGCAGTAAAATGTATATATTAGTGAAAATAAATGTATTATATTAGGGGACATTACTGTAAAAATGTGCATGTTGAGCAAAAAATAAATAAATCACGTGTATATTGCGAGAAATGCTCACTAAAACGCTGACAAATTTTTGTAAGGACTTTTTTTCTTTTTAAATCGCAAACTGATACAAAAATGTGATGATCGGAACTTCAGGCTGGAAAAAACCAAAACTGACAGTTCCATCCGTCCCTAATTACCATTTTTCCCCTGATTTAACATCTAGTTTGGCTCTTTGTTTGATCTGCACCATTTCTGTACAGACTAGACAAGTAAAACACATAAGTTGCATGACACAAATGCGTTTGAATGCTCCTTATGAGACAATGCTTAGTTTGGTCCCAGGTATTAACTGCTTGGTAATAGCAAAAAATGTAGCGATACCTCTTCAGTTCTTCCTGGGCGAAATTCCACTTTCTTGGAGCTGGGTATGTAGTCGACACCCGGAGTTGCCGATGGCGGATCCGATGTCCGAGTGGCGCACCATACGGACGTGGGGGTCGAGAGGTCAGGGCCGTGCCTAGTAACGGGGATTTCAATGATTCCTGCAAGGAAGGGAGAGAAGGGAGGAGTTTGTGGGGAAAGGTGACTACCGCCAGCATCCCTAAAGCAGGGTTTGTCAGCCTAGTTCCTTTCCAGATGTTTTGGGCTACAGTTCCCATCAGCCTCAGCCAGCACAGCTGTGCTGCCCTAAAAATAAACCTGGGGAAAGCTTTGCAGAGAGCACAGTGATCCCTCCTTGAATCAGCGTTAAAGCCACTTCTGCCCTACAGAGGAGGTGGGATTGCGGACTTCACGGCCCCAGCCCTCACGTGATTGGGGGGATTCCTGGCCACGTCACCCCCTGGCCAGCCAATCAGCTGACTCAGGCGGTGTGGCCTGCCTGATTTAAGGCAGGATGCAGCCAGGGATCTCCCTCTTTGCCGTCTGCCAGCTGTTCCAGTTTTCCCCACCCTATAAGGTTTTCGTTCCTTGACCTTGCTATGGACCTTGGTTGGTTGCCATTGAGGGGTCTGGTAGGAATTTTTCCACTTGGAAAATTGGCACCAGCCACTTGGTTTTCACCTACTTCGTAGCAAATCATCACAACTTTCTGGGTATTGGCGGTTAGCATTGGTATTGTTCTGTAGGTGGAAGAGGGGAGGTAGCGCCATCACCTGCCCCACATATTGAAGGGTAGTCCGATAAAGGATTGGGGGGGCGTGGCCCTGTCCGAAGCCTATGGAGGTGAGGGCCTAAGGCACGCCCACTATCGGTGACCCCGGGGGAGTTCCTAGTTGATGTGCATCAGCAGGACTCCCCCCTACTGGTGGTTAACCCTTCCTGGGCATCAAGTGGACAGGCTGAAGTCAGATACAGTGGTGCCCGGCAAGACGAACACCTCGCAAGATGGAAAACCCGCTAGACGAAAGGGTTTTCCGTTTTGGAGGCGCTTCGCAAAACGAATTTCCCTATGGGCTTCCTTCGCAAGACGAAAGCCCATAGGGAAATCTCCGGGACAGCGGGGAAGCGCAGCGCGTCTTCCCCACTGTCCTCGGACCTCCTCCGAAGCCTGGCGGCGGGGCGGGGACACCTCCTCCCGCTGCCCGGCTTCGGAAGGATGCTCCGAAGCCGGGCGGTGGGGCGGGAACACCTCCTCCCGCCGCCCGGCTTCGGAAGGATGCTCCGAAGCAGGGCGGCGGGGGGGGGAACACCTCCTCCTGCCGCCCGGCTTGGAAGGATGCTCCGAAGCCTGGCGGGGGGGCGGAGAGGTTTTTTAAAAACCCCGGGACAGCGGGTTTAAAATCGCCCCGGGCGGTGCATTTCTCCGCTGTCCCGGAGGGCTTTTGAAGGCAGGCGGGGGGAGCAAAGACTTTCGCCCCCCGCCCACCTTCAGAAGAGGTCTCTTCTGAAGGCGGGCGGGGGGCAAAAGTCTTTGCTCCCTCCTGCCTGCCTGTCCCGGAGGGCTTTTGAAGGCAGGCGGGGGGGGGAGCAAAGACTTTCGCCCCCCGCCTGCCTTCAGAAGAGGTCCTGGACCTCTTCTGAAGGCGGGCGGGGGGCGAAAGTCTTTGCTCCCTCCTGCCTGCCTGTCCCGGAGGGCTTTTGAAGGCAGGCGGGGGGGGGAGCAAATACTTTCGCCCCCCGCCCGCCTTCAGAAGAGGTCCAGGACCTCTTCTGAAGGCTGGCGGGGGGCAAAAGTCTTTGTCCCCCCTGCCTGCCTTCCCAGGGGCTTTTAAATCACCCCGGACAGCGGAGAAGTCCTCCGCTGTCCCGGGGCGATCTTAAAATGCCGCCCGCCAGCATTTTAAGATCGCCCCGGACAGCGGAGAAGCCCTCCGCTGTCCCGGGGTTTTTTAAAATGCTGGGGGTGGGAAGAAAAGCCCTTGCCCCCCCCCCAGCCTTCAGAAGAGGTCGGGGGACAGACTGTCCCCGGACCTGGTCTGAAGTCGGTTTCCATAGGAATGCATTAATTGATTTTCAATGCATTCCTATGGGAAACCGTGCTTCGCAAGACGAAAAACTCGCAAGAAGAAAAAACTTGCGGAATGAATTAATTTCGTCTTGCGAGGCACCACTGTATAGTCAGATAGGACCAATGCCTAAGCCAATAAAGTTGTGGCCTTATTTAGCTCATTAACCTTAATAATTGTGTCATGTGTCATTATTTCCACTGGTGGGGGGGGGGGCGGGAACTCGCCACGCAATGGATCATTATTGCATGTCTAGTTAGCTCATCAAGGAAATAACGTCAGACACCAGCCTGGAACGCAATCATGACAGCAAATATTCTTTTCTTTTTTTCTTCACCTCTACTTTAGTTTCCACATTTGCAGTTCAAAATTAAGGATTCATACAGCCATTCTCTGTTGCCCGAGTCAGGTCACTTCACTAAATTTCAGCACCATCCTAACATCCAATTAATCAAGAATAATCCCATCTTATTCATTCTCATCAATAAACAACATTAGAAAGGGGGTGGAGAGATACTACATTATATTTATAGTAAGCTGCCTTAAATTGTTTATAGGGATAAATAGGTAGTCAAAGACTATGAAAGAGTAGCTAGCTTATGTTGAATATCACCTTGAAGCAAATATTCTAACTGCCTCTAAATGGCGCACTCCAGCCGTATTATCTACTGAGGAATTTGTTGAGTAAAACGTGGAAAACTCCTGGCAACATTTACTGAGATGGTCCAGTTAAAGAAAGGAAGGAGGTGAAACACATACTTTGGAAACAAATTGGCTAATATTTATCAGTTATTGTTGTTGTTTTAAAAATACCGAGACATTTTTAAATTTTGTATTCTTTATCGAAGAATAAAAAGTGCAAAATTACAAGTGCACTTGTAAAAACACTGATGCGTGCTAGATGCAGACAAATATGTTTTATCTTAACGTGATGGAGGACACCCACCTGCCCATCACTCAATGTCACCATGACAAAAGGCAATAGAACTTCAAAGGGTAGAATTTGGCGCAAACTCTTAGGGTGCTCTCGATTCCTCCTTTCTTCCTTTGCAGGTGTGACTTGCTTTTAAGCTGCACCTGCAAAGGAAGTCTTTTTCTCCTTGGCAGCCCAGCTTGAATCCAAGCACTTGTTTCAGATGCAGAAGACGTCTGGTTCAATCCTCAGCATCTCTGAGTAGGCCTTGCCTGAAACCCTATAGAGAGCCACTGCCAGTCAGACAATACTGAGCTAGAAGAACCAATGGGCCAAGGCAGCTCCCTTTGCCTTAATTTGCTGGCCCTTGGAAGAAATAGCTCCTAGGCAGGTAGCCTAAAAGTCAATGGACACAAAGATTCCTGCACTGCAAGGTTTTGTATTACAGTAGATGAACCATAGGGTCCCTTCCAACTCTACAATTCTATAAAAGAAACCACGGTTTCTCCGGTTAATTAAACAACCTTAAGCCGTTTAAACTGGAGGGGAGGTTATTGTTATTGTTATTTTTTGTGTTTTGCACACCACCCTATGATTCTCGGATGAAGGGAGGTATCAATGTAATAGATAGATAGATAGATAATACTTTATTCGGCTATAAGCGCACAAGGTAAAACCAATCAGTAAATAAAATAGCATTTTAGAAGAAGAAGAAGAAGAGTTTGGATTTGATATTCTGCTTTATCATTACCCAAAGGAGTCTCAAAGCGGCTAACAATCTCCTTTTCCTTCCTCCCCCACAACAAACACTCTGTGAGGTGAGTGGGGCTGAGAGACTTCAGAGAAGTGTGACTGGCCCAAGGTCACCCAGCAGCTGCATGTGGAGGAGCGGAGACGCGAACCCGATTCCCCAGATTACGAGACTACCGCTCTTAACCACTACACCACACTGGCTCTCTAATGTATCAATGTAATAAATAATAATAAGAGCTGAACTTGAACTCGCATCTGCCCCCATTAAAGTGGGCAGATGCCAGACAGATGCTTGGAAGTGGGGACATTTGGTGCCTTCTTTAACTATACAGTGGTACCTCAGTTTTCGAACATCTTCATTGATGAACATTTTGGTTTATGAACGCCGTAAACCCTGAAGTAAATGCTTTGGTTTTGTTTTGTTTTGTATTATTATTAAAATAATTCAACATTAATACATACATGTTACGAATATACAAACATGCAAACATACATTTCATACAATCCTTAAGAATATTCATACATACCCACACTCAATCCCACAAATACTTCATTTTCCCACCACCATCCCTCACCCCTCACCCCACCCTTGTGATAAACTTTCAATCTACTCAATTGCAATTTCTTTCCACTTTTACTACTTTCTTTCACATACTTTTAAACCAATTTTCTGCTTCTTTTTCTGTTTCACATTGTTATCCATCTTATTTCGTATTCCAGTATTTATAACGGAACTTGTTTTTTCTAATAGGAGTTCTGATTTTTCAATATAATTTATATTATATTAAATTAAAGTAATTAAATGCTTTGGTTTTCGAACACGCATTGGAAGTCGAACATGCCACGTGGCTTCCGCTGAGTGCAAGGCTGTTGAGTCTTCAGTTTTTGAACGTTTCAGAACTTGAACGGTTTTCCAGAATGGATTACGTTCGAAAACCAAGGTACCACTGTAGGCTTATGTACTCTATGGAAATAAACTTGAGCCCCATAAGAAGAGAGCAAGGGTAAAATAATAATAGTCTCTCACCTGCATCCTCGCTGACTGTAAAAGTAGCCGTTCCAAGGGACACTGTTGAGGCATCGTTGGGACCGCTGATCATGACCTTCGCTGAAGCGATGCTCCCTATGCGCGCGTTCTCCGACGCGTCGGCAAGCGCGATTTCGAATTCCTCCTCCTCTTCGTACTCGCTGTCGTCAATCAGCTTCACGTCGCAGGTGGTCATGGTGATGCCAGGCCCCAGCACCACACGATTCTCATTGGACATCCCTCTGGACTTGAAGTCTGATCCAGACTCTAAGGCATGTGCACTGCTCCCTTTGGCACTTTTGGGGACTGTGTAGCAAACTGCAGACACGGTGCTGCTGGAGTCGCCTGTAATGCACAGCACAGAGTTATACAAAAGTTGCTCTCCAGGACAACTGGTTCAGAGAATCAGAGTTGTACAGGTGGAAGGGACCACGTGGGTCATCTAGTCCAACCCCCTGAAATGCACAACTCTTGCGCCCAACATGGGACTCAAACCCACAACCCTAAGATAAAGTGTCCCCTGTGTGGCATAACTCTTAGAGGGTTGGACCCTGGAGACCAGGGATAGAATCCCCACTCTGCCATGAAGCTCACTGTGTGGCCTTGGGCCAGTCACCACCTCTGAGTCTGACCTACCTCACCGGGTTGTTGTGAGGATGTAATGGGGATGTGTATACCACCTTAGTCTCAATGGAAGATAAAGGTGGGATATAAATAAATATAAAATTTCTACTTTTATATTACTTTATACAGAGTTTAGACCCTTGAGTGCAGACTTACTTTTGCTTAAAAATTTGCTAATGAACTGAAACAAGATCCTACCTTTTGCTTCATACTGTTGCCTGCTGGTTGTTCGTTTGGGATGATATATGACTTTAATGCAAATCTAGATTCCCTTTTAGGATTTCTATTGCTAGGCTTTGGTATGAATTGTCCAGTCACAGTGTAACATTACATTTATTTCTGAGATATATATTTTGGCCAAATATACTGAACTGTTAATGAAGGGGCTTGGAATGCTGCTGCTGTGTTTCAAAGTGTGCAACCATAAAAAGTAAAGGTAAAGGACCCCTGACAGTTAAGTCTAGTCGCAGACGACTCTAGGGTTGCAGAGCTCATCTCGCTTTACAGGCCAAGGCAGCCTATGTTTGACCGCAGACAGTTTTTCCAGGTCATGTGGCCAGCATGACTAAGTGGCTTCTGGCTTAACGGAACACCAAAACCAGAGCAGCGCACAGAAACGCCGTTTACCTTCCCGCCAGAGCGGTACCTATTTATCTACTTGCACTGGTATGCTTTCAAACTGCTAGGTTGGCAGGAGCAGGGATGGAGCAACAGGAGCTCACCCGTCGCAGGGATTCGAACCGCCGACCTTCTGATCGGCAAGCCCAAGAGGTTCAATGGTTTAGACCACAGCGCCACCCGCATCCCTTAGGATTGTATTATTTACTGGAAGTCAGTTTGCACCTGCTTCCCGTCCACTGCTCTAAGCTGTCATGCAACACACCTTTCCTTTCAATGGGGGCAGAGAGGATGCCAGCACTCTCGCTGATGTGGTAGACTTTCTTGTCAAACTGCAAGGTAGGCTCATCTTCTGCATCGTTGATGAAGACTTTGGCCTCGGTGATGTCCCCCAGCAAGGCATAGGCTGGCATGCTGAGCTCCACAGTGAAGCTCTCCGTGTTCTCAAAGACATTGTCATCGTTTATCAGGATAGTGCAGGATTTCGTGTCCTCCCGTTCATCAAACTGAACCTGTGTGGAGCAAGGTTGTGCATTGACTACGTGCAGAGAGGTATAAAAGGCTGAAGCAGACCTTAACTGGAAAACAGGCATGCTGCTGCTGTTTTATGAGTTCCACGGCAGTGAGACATTATTTGGAAACGGTCATTATTGACTCGAAAGTGAGGAGAAATTAAAGAACCTTTTAATGAGGGTGAAAGAGGAGAGCGCAAAATATGGTCTGAAGCTCAACATCAAAAAAACTGAGACCATGGCCACTGGTCCCATCACCTCCTGGCAAATAGAAGGGGAAGAAATGGAGTCAGTGAGAGATTTTACTTTCTTGGGCTCCAAGATCACTGCAGATGGTGACAGCAGTCACGAAATTAACGCCTGCTTCTCGGGAGAAAAACAATGACAAATCTAGACAGCATCTTAAAAAGCAGAAACATCACCTTGCCAACAAAGGTATAGTTAAAGCTATGGTTTTCCCAGTAGCGATGTATGGAAGTGAGAGCTGGACCATAAAGAAGGCTGATCGCCGAAGAATTGATGCTTTTGAATTATGGTGCTGGAGGAGACTCTTGAGAGTCCCATGGACTGCAAGAAGATCAAACCTATCCATTCTGAAGGAAATCAGCCCTGAGTGCTCACTGGAAGGACAGATCCTGAAGCTGAGGATCCAATACTTTGGCCACCTCATGAGAAGAGAAGACTCCCTGGAAAAGACCCTGATGTTGGGAAAGATGGAGGGCACAAGGAGAAGGGGACGGCAGAGGATGAGATGGCTGGACAGTGTTCTCAAAGCTACCAGCATGAGTCTGACCAAACTGCGGGAGGCAGTGGAAGACAGGAGTGCCTGGCGTGCTCTTGTCCATGGGGTCACAAAGAGTCGGACACGACTAAACGACTAAACAACAACAACATTATTGACTCAGTGTTGCAATACCCCTTAAGCTGCCCTGTATGCTTTTCTACTCTTGCCTTTCTTAATCCAATTCTGTGGTCCAGTTCCCCTCCACACTAAAACACATCTCCCCACCCCAGAGATTGTCAGGGACCGTGATGAGGAGGGCTGCACTGAGGAAGAATGGTGGGAGCCACCACCACCCACCCATCCCGATCCTGCATCTTCCTAGGAGCAGGAGGACAGTATAGATTTGGAACAGTGGTTTGCAGAGGGGCACAGTTCAGAAGCAGAAGCTGGGAAATACTGGATGGGGAACAGGTAGAGAAGAAACACTGGGAGAGAGAGGGTTAACAGATTCATAGTCGTTGGACAGCATTCCTCCACCACCCTCCCCAAGGTCAAGAAGAGCTCAGAAAGTCTCAGAACAGAAAGTGCAGAGGGTACAAGCTCAGATTATAAAACGTAGGAGTGACGTAGATTAATAGGGACGGAGGGGGTGTGAGCCTTAATTGGGAGCACCGCCATTCTAGGTAGATGGGTTCTTTTGTCTCTCACTGTGATTATTAAAGAATCTAACTGGTAATACGTTCCTTTCATTTGATCTCTTCTTATTTACTGCCATGGGGGAGGAAGGCGATTCCCCGAAGTCTGACAGAGATACAGTTAAACAATGGGATGTTAGGGACTTTGGGGCATAAACCGGGGCTCACAAGGGCCGAGAAGGAAATTTCGTTTACTGAGATACCTGAGATGCTCAGGCGCAGTGGGAAGCAGAACTGAGGAACATCAGTCTCTGTGAACGGCAGACAGTAGGAAGCACCTGGGGTTTTCCAGGTCTAGCAGCCTGGACTTCTTCCCTTATCTGAGCAACAGAAGACCATCCTTTCCCTGATGGACTCCAGCCCTTGCCTTCAGCTATCTCTGACTCATGTCCCCAAACCTGACACCTGACTGCAAGTATGCCAAACTGAAGATGCCCTTCTAGGTCTGGATTTGGGTACAGCTGGCCTGGTCTTGACACTGAACATGAGCCGCCAAGCCCAAACTGGAGATGCTCAGTTTAGGTGACGGCTCCTGACTCAATACTCTCTGCCACGTTTTTCACAGCTGGGTGAAAGGAAGAGGTTCAGCCCAGGAAGCTTCTCTGGGCTTGTTGCCATGCCCACCTAACACTTCACCCTTTGGGTAAGACATTGTAGAGCAGGGGTCAGCAAACTTTTTCAGCAGGGGGCCGGTCCACTGTCCTTCAGACCTTGTGGAGGGCCGGACTATATTTTTTAGGGGGGAATGAACGAATTCCTATGCCCCACAAATAACCCAGAGATGCATTTTAAATAAAAGGACACATTCTACTCATGTAAAAACATGCTCATTCCTGGACCGTCTGCGGGCCAGATTTAGAAGGCAATTGGGCCAGATCCGGCCCCCGGGCCTTAGGTTGCCTACCCATGGTGTAGAGCAGCCTTTCTCAACCTGTGGGTCCCCAGATGTTTTTGGACTACAACTCCCATCACCCCTAGCTAGCAAGGCCAGAGCTCAGGGATGATGGGAGTTGTAGCCCAACAACATCTGGGGACCCACAGGTTGAGAACCACTGGTGTAGAGCATTCCACTGTGGATTTTTTCCCCAAGGTGTGCAGTGTTTTCCCTGAACCCACCTGGCCTGCATATTCCACGTAGTCCTGTTCTCCTGGCTGTGAAGCTGAGCTGGAGGTGGCAGTTCCCTGCTCCGTACGGCACAGGACAATAGCATATTGTTTGAGGTTACCCGTCCTCTTCACTGTGACACTGATGGAGCCTGCCTTTTCACTGACATTGTAGCTGGAAAGAGAGAGAGAGAGAGAGAATGAGTTTTCCCCCCTCCATGTAACCAAGGAGATGCAGCCCAGAGGCTGTGAAGTGCACAGAAACCAGTGGGGCTGAATACTGCTAAATTGTGAATTCATGTCCCCCTGATTTCAGGGGGCTTTACGCATGCTGAAGTCGATCGCTACATTCAGTTTGTATCGGTTTAATTAATTTCAGTGCATTTGCTTCCTCTCGTTCAGCGAAGAATGTGCAATCTGCCTTAATTAGGGTGATTCGCCATAATTGAATTGGCGCGATCTGACGCCGGGGGAAAAAATAAGTAAATAAAAGCGCCACGACAAAATTCTTCTTGTCAGAAATCTAGTTAGTACCAATCTGGTTGAACAATGCATCCTGTAGTGTGTTGCTCGTTATCAGCTAATCACATGTAAATATTATCTGTTGTAATCTGATCTGTGCACTGCCTTGAGTTCCCCTTGGGAGATTAGGCAGGATAACAAAATATGTAAGTAAATAAAATAAACGAGCAAATACAGAGGCTGAAGTAAGAGAGATCCGGCTGGTTCGTTCAAGGCAGCAAATGGAAAGTCGACCCCATCCCCCCCCCATCCACAACACACATGCAGACCCACCAGTCTTCGTCTGGGGCAGGTGGCACAATGGGTCAGTGCATCTGGCTGTTAACCAGAAGGTTGGTGGTTCGAGCCGAGCCAGGTAGCTCATCCTGCTTGCCCACCTGGTAATCCTGCCGCTTTCCCTTCTTCTTGTCAACGGCACACTATTTTTCTGTCCCTGTACCTCATACATGTGTTTCCCTTCCCAAGCTACCCGCTTGGTTCTTCAACTCTACAGTCTCCTTGGGTTGCGAAGACTCCTCCAACCACAAGGGCCATTTATTCCACACACTCCCTACCTCCTGGGTCTTCTTGCTGTTCAACTTCCAGTTCCCAGGTCTCTCTACCACCTTTGCCCCGGTCCCTGACTTCTGATAACAGCACAAAGCTGACCTCCGGAAGTTTCCCCTCCTGTTTAAAGTGACCTCACCCCCCTCCTGTTTATCTACCATATTTTTCGCTCTGTAAGACACACCTTTCCCCCTCCAAAAATAAAGGGGAAATGTGTGTGTGTCTTATGGAGCGAATGCAGGATCCTTGGCTTCAGCGAAAGCAATGCGAAGCCTCCGGAGCGCAGCGGGAGCGCTCCTGCTGCGCTCCGGAGGCTTCGGGCGACTATCCCTCTTGCTCTCCTGGCTTTGCTTCACTGGAGAGGCGCTGCACAGCTTTCACTCTCTGCGCAGCGCCCCTTAAGCGAAGCGGGAGGAGAAATGGAAGGGGCTCCGCTTCTCCTGCCGCTTCGCTGAAGGGGCGCTGTGCATATAGGGAGAGAATTTTTTTTCCTTGTTCTCCCCCTCTAAAACTAGGTGCGTCTTATGGTCGGGTGCATCCTATAGAGCAAAAAATACTCTATACTCTATTTGAAATATTTATAGATTGCTTTTCTATTAAAACAACACCCAAAGTGGCTTACAAACAATTAAAACGACAATCCTCAAAGGCAAGCAAGCTTCTAGCCTCCGACTGTTTGTGAACATTCCATGACATCACAGCAGCAAGGACTCAGCCAATGGCTGAAGCAGATTAAAGTTGACAGGCAGCTGCTAGAATCTTTCACATTCTGAAGTGTAGCATGCCTTAATTTTCTGTGCTGCTCAGCTGAGTAGCTTACCTGGTGTGCTGAAAGCTGATAAGAGACCACTGGATATGGAAGGTATTGTCAGTGACCACACTGGGTTTGCTGTCCTTTACAAGAAACTGAAAACTGTCTTCTGTCTCTTGAGTCTGCTCCTCGTGTAGCACATACTCAATCAATCCCAAATTCACTTCCTCTGTTAGGAAGAGAGACGCCTTAATGAACTAATCTTCGAAATTAACAATTTTTGCATACGTAGATACCAGCCTCCCCCAACTTGATTTCCCTCCAGATGTTTTTTTTAAAATGCTTTTTATTAAGTTTTCTTTAACACAAACAAAACAAAATAAATACACTAATGTTCTACAATCTTATGTACACTTATTTTCCCAACGCTCTATCGAGCACAGACTTCCCTCCCTCCCTTCAGATGTTTTTATATTAATCTTTCCTTTTTTACAGATTCATAACATCATCCTATTCATGTCATAAGATTTATCTTAATCCTACTACAGTCTTTAAACTTCTACAATTATTACGTATATACTCCACAAATTTACTCCATTCACTTCTGAACTTTGTTTCCTCTTAGTTACGGATTCTGTGGGTCAGTTTTGCTAATTCCACATATTCAACCATTTTTGTCTGCCACTCTGTTGGTATTTCCTGAGTTTTCCATTTTTGGGCTACTAAGATTCTGGCAGCAGTCGTAGCATACATAAATAATCTCTGATCTGCTTTTCTTATTTCATCTCCTATCAACCCCAGCCAAAATGCTTCTGGGTTTTTTGGAAAGTATATTTAAACAATTTTTTCAATTCGTTGTAAATCGTATCCCAATTTTTTTTTCATTTTCTCACACGTCCACCACATGTGAAAAAATTCTCCATCCTTCATTCTACATTTCGATCATGCTTTACTGCTCATTCTGTACATTTTTCTAGCTTGACAGGTGTTAAATACCAGCAGTACATCATTTTCATTATTATTATTTTTAAAGTAGTACACACCGTAAATTTTAAACCTTCGTTCCAGTTTCACCCAAGCGTCATATTCGATGTTATATCCAAAATCTATTGCCCATTTTATAATTACTTCTTTTGTCAGTTCATCTTTTGTGTTCCATTCCAGTAAAAAGTTATACATTTTCGATAACCCTCCAGATGTTGTTGAGACTCCCATTCCTGCTTTAGTAGAGCATGCTTTTGAATTATGGTGCTGGAGGAGACTCTTGAGAGTCCCATGGACTGCAAGAAGATCAAACCTATCCATTCTTAAGGAAATCAGCCCTGAGTGCTCACTGGAAGGACAGATCCTGATGCTGAGGCTCCAATACTTTGGCCACCTCATGAGAAGAGAAGACTCCCTGGAAAAGACCCTGATGTTGGGAAAGATGGAGGGCACAAGGAGAAGGGGACGACAGAGGACGAGATGGTTGGACAGTGTTCTCAAAGCTACGAACATGAGTTTGACCAAACTGCAGGAGGCAGTGGAAGACAGGAGTGCCTGGTGTGCTCTGGTCCATGGGGTCACGGAGAGTCGGACATAACTAAATGACTAAACAACAACAAAAGAATCTTGATCCTAGGGTCGTGGGTTTGAGCCCCATGTTGGGCAAAAGATTCCTGCACTGCAGGGGGTTCGACTAGCTATCCCTTGCGGTTCCTTCCAACTCTATGATTCTATCAGTCCCTGCCACCATGACCAATTTATTTATTTACTTAATTTATATACTGCCTTATACCCGGCGGTTTCAGGGTGGTTCACAGAATAAAATCAAGACATAAAACCACAAAATACATAATAAAAATAAAAACAACAACCCAATAGCCCCCCCAGCATATTTTAAAAGGACATGGGACGTAAATCAGATCAACCAAAGGCCTGGTTAAAAAGGAATGTTTTTGCCTAATGGTGTACAATGAAGGCGCCAGGCAAACTTCCATAGGAAGAGCATTCCACAGACAGGGAGCCACTGCAGAAAAGGCCTGTCAAGAGATGATGGGAGCTGGAGTTGAACAACATCTGGAGGGTAGCAGGCTGAGGAAGTGATATAAGTCATAAGGATATCCTGGTTTCTGGATGTGGCTTGCAAATTGATATAAAATGTTTGAATAAAGCTGGAACGACACAAAGAACTACAAACAGCCCTGATGGATGTGGCTTGGAGATGGCTCTGAGATTTCTCAGCCTCCTCATTCATTCATTATGCAATTTGCATTCCCTTTCAAAAAAAATGCATGCAATGCAATGCCTTCAGTCCCTCCTTGTGAAATTCAGAAGCCCCACTGTGTTGTTCCAATTTGTGGAATGTGGACGGGACTTAAAACCAAACACATGTTGAATTGGCACAAACCAAATTTAGACCGATTGGTTCTTCCCTGGCCTCCAACATACCGAAAAATAATAAAGGTAAAGGTAAAGGGACCCCTGACCATTAGGCCCAGTCGTGGCCGACTCTGGGGTTGCGGCGCTCATCTCGCTTTATTGGCCAAGGGAGTCGGCATACAGCTTCCGGGTCATGTGGCCAGCATTGACTAAGCCGCTTCTGGAGAACCAGAGCAGCGCATGGAAACGCCGTTTACCTTCCTGCCGGATTGGTACCTATTTATCTACTTGCACTTTGACGTACTTTCGAACTGCTAGGTTGGCAGGAGCAGGGACCAAGCAACGGGAGCTCACCCTGTCGCGGGGAATCAAACCGCCGACCTTCTGATTGGCAAGTCCTAGGCTCTGTGGTTTAACCCACAGCGCCACCTGCATCCCCCGAAAAGTAATACAGTGCAGTTAAAACTGTGATGAAGCACAAAAAAGGGCAAAAGTCTTTCCTAGCATTGCTTTCCTACCTTGAGTAAATGTAGTCACTGACACTCCCGGCTGCAACTTCTTCTCCACATAACCGTGCTCTGGCCCAGCTGTTATCTCATAGATCAGCTGTTTGTCTTCTGTATCAGGATCCATAGTCAACAACTCTTTCTTGGTGATCAGATTTTTTGCCTGGATTGAAGACACGAAGCCAGTGTTTATACACTTATAGAGATGGTATCAACACTTCCTGGGTCTGAGCCTGAAAGCTGGAACTAAGAGTTTATTCCAATGGATAAAGGCTATTCCCTTGGGCTACATTCGTAAATCTGAAGAACTGGCTCCGAAATCTACCCTTCTCTGAAGGCACCAGAGGAAGAGATGAGTTGCTTTGGAAGAAGTGGGAGGGAAAAGGAGGGCAAGGAAACTAGAAAGGAGTTCTGGAAAATCAAGGCTCCACTATGTGGTCAGTTTAGCAGTTTGATTGTTTATCTATTTATCCAGTTATTCTTACCCTGTTGCTCAGCCAAGACGATTAATAAGTTCAAACCCACTTGGCTGCTATGATGCCTGTATCTAGGAACACAGAAAGCTGCTTTAGGCTGGGACCACAGAGTCCATCTAGTTCAGTGTTGTCTACACGGATTGGCAGCAGCTCTCTAAGGTTTCAGGCAGGGAATCTTTCACATCCCTACCTGAAGACATTGAAGATGCCATTTCCCTATATCCACAGCAGAACATGTGATGGGAGGAAGCAGAAAGCAGGGTCCAAGGCTGGTATCAGTTTTACTGGAGAAGGAAAACTCTGATCCTTAACCTCTGCTGCTTTGCGGCTATACTCACTTGTGAGAAAGGCTTTGGGAGTAAACCTCCAAGGAAAAATCTGTACCCACCGCCTTGCGGGGTATATTTGGGAGAAGAAAAGGCTTAGGGAATAAATCCTACACAAATCTGGAATGGAGTCCCTGGAATGGACGGCGCTTCGTACACCTCCTTCCAGCAACTCCTGCAGCCAAGCTGGTGCCAAACTCTGCTTTCCTTTACGATACGATAATCTTTATTGTCATTGTCTCATACAGAACAACGAAATTGAAGAAATCTACATCAGACATTCAAAAACCAACAAGCCTGCTATCCCAACTATCCCAGCCTGGTTAGCCCCTAAAAACTCTGATACCCCATAATTAAATACAATATACTCCCATAGAGACTACCTTAAACTTGGTTTAAAACCAAAATTGCATTGGGATAGAAACTGTTTCTCAGGCGGCTAGTCCTAGTCTTTATAACCCTGTAACTTCTTCCAGAAGGCAGAAGCTGAAAGAGATCATTTCCGGGGTGCACACTATCCTGCGCTATCTCTGCAGGTTTCTTATGGGACCTGGAAGCGTAGATTTGATCCAAGGTGGGAAGAGTGCACCCAATTATTCTCTCCGCAGTCTTTACAACCCTGGACAGCATTGTTTTTTCCCTGGCCGTGCAGCTCCCAAACTACACACACTTTGGACCTCAACAGGGATGCTGGGGTGGGGGATTCTTGTTGTCTGGGCAGCCCATGACGTCCATACACACTGCCCAGGCTTGCGCGCCAGGGAGGTCACTTTGCTGCTGCTAATGCAGCAAAAACAACGCTGGAGGCAGCATTTACGAGTTACCTGTCTCTGCAGCCACAGTAAAGGTAAAGGATCCCTGGATGGTTAAGTCCAGTCAAAGGCGACTATGGGGTGCGGCACCCATCTTGCTTCAATTGCACTCATCTTGCGGCACTCAATTGCTTCTGCCACAGAATCCAAATGGATGTGACCAGAAAACACCACCGCTTACAACAAAATCTAAACTACCAATAACTAACTTAGTTGGTCTCTAAGGTGCTACTGGAAGGAATTTTTTATTTTATTATTTTATTTTGTTTCGACTACGGCAGACCAACACGGCTACCTACCTGTAACTGGCTCTTGAAGGTTTGAACTAACACCAAGTAGGGTGGGAAACAGATGCAGGCACCAACACCTATCCACATAGCAGAGCTTCGAATTTATTTATTTTTAAAAAGCACCTGCCTTCATTTCCGCACCTTTTAATTGGTGATGGAAGAATTGCTTGATTAATCACAGCAATTAATCAACAAGCGCTTCAGGAAGGCAAATGCCAATAGCAGCAGAGTAAGACATCGGAGTGTGCAGGTCTACGGAGTGGGTGGGAAGGAACTGTGCTGTCAGGGACCTTAGTCCTGCAGCTTAAGATGGATGGCTTTGTTTAGCCACAGCTGCTGATGCAACAAGCAGTGGAGCCCTGCTCCATCCATCACCGCGGCTGGCAGCATTAAGGAAGAAACACAACTCCCCCTTCGCTTAAAGCACTCTTAACTCCAGAACCACCACCCCCGTTTTTTCAGTCAATACCACATGGCAAGGTTTATAGATTTCATGCCCCAGAAGATCTGGGCAATGAGGCACAGCTGTAAGGACAACCTGTGGGCATTTAATCATCAGTGATGCTGGAGAGTAAGCAAGGAGGCAAGATGCTTCTCCAGCATGCGTTTCAACCCACGTAACATTTGGTGTGGAAAAGCTCCATGCCAGGCCTGAAATAAAAGAGGAAAGATGGAGCTCTTCTCCGGTGAGTCGGGAAAAGGTATCTTCTGTTTGGAGAGGGGGTGCATCAAAATGCGAAGTGCCTCCGCTTGAAAGAAGAATTGCACGCACTCCCATTTTCAGTTGACCACAGAGTGAGTTTGGGGCTTGTTCAGAATGGGATTTGCCCAGGAACTTGGGTGCTACAGACTCCACTTGGCCAGGCAGCAACCCCAACCCCACAGCAAAGAAGAAGAAGAGTTTGGATTTGATATCCCGCTTTATCATGACCCTAAGGAGTCTCAAAGCGGCTAACATTCCCCTTTTCCTTCCTCCCCCACAACAAACACTCTGTGAGGTGAGAGACTTCAGAGAAGTGTGACTGGCCCAAGATCACCCAGCAGCTGCATGTGGAGGGGCAGGGAAGCGAACCCGGTTCACCAGATTACGAGTCCACTGCTCTTAACCACTACACCACACTGACTCTCAAAGGTGGGGAGGGCTCACAGTGCCAGCCTTGTCTCTAACAGGTGTGTCGTTCGCAGCTGGAATTATGGCGTTTGCCATTTTTAATCTACCTAGCTGATTCATATCCTGGCTTTCCACCATTTAGATCTTCAAAGTGATTTGCAAGCATGTTTGAATACAGTGTCGGTGGAGGGCTGGAGCGGCGTATCCCATTTCACAGCCTGAGGCAAAACAGGAAGGTGCCTCCCTGCCCCTGCTGGAGCCTCCCTTATGTGGGTTCTGCAGCAGCGCACATAAAGTGACAACAGCAGGTTCAAGAAGATCTCATGAACCTCTTGTGAGAACTTGCAGAGCGCTGCATTCTGGGTTTCTGCCATGCAAGGCGGCTTCTTCAGCCCACCGCATGGGTAGACCAGCCCTGGCAAGGGCTGCCTTTCCACATAGAATCACAGAATTGTAGAGCTGGAAAAGACCACAAGGGTCATCTAGTCCAACCCCGAGCAATGCAGGAATCTTTCACCCAGTGCGGGGCTCGAACCCACAACCCAGCCTCATGCTCTACCAACTGAGCTATCCAGCATAGAACATCTTCCACGTAGAACAAAGGAACAGAATCTCTCGCCCTTCTCCTGATATCTATGAGGACCCTAGTTGTCTTCAACATCACTGATTGTCCATTTCCTGACCTTTCCATAGTTAAACCAGGCTCAAGGCAGCCCACAGCATCAGAAAATTAACACCCTTCACTCTTAACAGTTGCAAAAATGTAAACAAACTGCAAATGCTCATAAACAATAGTCTAATGAAAACATCTAAATAAATACAGAATAAATTTAAGCAACCCCCACATACTTCATATTAAGTTTTAACAGGGATGGCAAATCCAGAAGTGGGGCAGGTAAGAATATCTGGGTCAGGAGGACAGGGCTCAAGCCCAAGTAGTCCTCAAATTATATTGCCAATGCAACTTTCAAGACCTGGAAAAGTTGCCCATTTTCTGTTCTGCGCCTCTGACACCAGTAGCCCTTCCCAATTTTCTCCACGCACCAAAACGTGTGACCTGAAAACAAAGCAAACGTGAAAATCTACCTTGCCATCCATGTACTCCAGCCACTGCAGGCCCAAGTTTGTGACAATTCTCGGGGTTCCATCATCCACAGGAAGAATTTCCACTCTGAACAACTGGGGCACAGCAGTCACAAGCTGAGAAAACATTTGTGCTGTTATTTCACAAAATGTATATACCGTTTGAACGTAACCCCTGCCCTCCCTCTCGAAATATCCAGGAAATATTTCACGGGATTGATTACACCGTTTCTGCTACTTGCATTGCGTCCTTAGGGCAGAATTAGACTGACTAACCCATAATAGTTACACTGGCAGCAGAATCAGATGGTACAACTCTTGCTGTACTGTATCATTTCAGACTGTCGGAAAGGAGAGCACATGTTTGAACAGTCCCCTACGAAATCAAGGAAAACAAATGCATGGTTTCCCAGCCTGAAAACTTACAGGACAGGGAGAAAAGTTCTCAACTTGGTTTCCCTCCCCCCTTAACATGTTAGCTTTCTGTGGATATGGAGGTCTCTATCCATCACCTGCCACCCACAGGGAAGCGCTGAAATTTGCGCTTCTCAACCTGAAGTTGTACAAGCTACATACGATACTACCGCATGTCGGGATGGACTCAGAATGAGCTCTAAAGCCAGCACGGTTTTCCCACCAACCTCTTTCCCATCCTCCTCCACGACGAAAAAGGGATTGGATCCGTCGGATGCAGTGAAGGTGAAGCGGTCCTCCAGGGAGTTGCTCCCGTCGTGACTATAACTGATCCGGTTCTGGAAGACATCCTCCATTGTGAAGGTGTGGGTCTGGCGATAGCGGTGCCCATCGCTGGTCCGTTCGATCAGGCCATGCCGTGGCGGCTGCACGATCGTGAATGTGATGGATCTGGCCTGTGAGCAAGAAGGGAATGTGTGAAGGGGACCTGAAGAGCTGGGATCAAGATAAGTGGAGACTATGCATGTGTGAAAACTCTTCCTCTGCTCCTCCCTTTTCAACCCCCTCCTGGTTCTGGGAGGCAGTGGTGCAGGAGATGGTGGGGAAGCACTTGGACCTTCACTTGTCTGACGTGCCTCTTCCTCCTCTTCCTCCAACCCCTCCTTGCTCAGCCCTACAGCTCTGGAGTACCCCCTGCCTCTGACTCTTGCCTCCCGTCTGGTACAGGGCCCCCCACAAATCACTGCTCCCCTCTCCCGAGTCAGACTCCTTCCCCCCTTTCCCCTGGGGCAACTCATCCCTGACACAGGACATTCTTATTCCAAATGGATTCTGCAGAATTCTGCAGTGCTCCAAGGAGGAAAGACACAAAAAGGGCTTCACCTCTGTGTCCATGTCTGTGGCTTTAAGCTCAAACTCTGTGATAGTCTTCCTCACTCCTTCTTGCACCCTCATCCCAGGGCTCTGCACAACAGGCAAAGAGTCGTCTACAGGGTTAATGGTGATGTCAAAATTCTGGCTCACCTACAGGGGAAAACAGATGAAGCAAAAATAAAAACCAGATTCCCATCTAACGCGACTTCCATGGACAAACTCTGCCTGAGCATTTGGGGCACTCTTGAAATTTTGCAGGCGGAATTCGGTTGCATACTGGCAAATTCAGGTTCCATTTTGTTGTTTAGTCGTTTAGTCGTGTCCGACTCTTCGTGACCCCATAGACCAGAGCACGCCAGGCACTCCTGTCTTCCTCTGCCTCCCACAGTGGAGTTTTGGTCAAACTCATGCTGGTAGCTTCGAGAACACTATCCAACCATCTCGTCCTCTGTCATCCCCTTCTCCTTGTGCCCTCAATCTTTCCCAACATCAGGGTCTTCAGGGTCTTTTCAGGTTCCATACTTAAGTGGATTTGGCAATCTCTTACACAACTTGCCAACTTCCCCCTTTCCCCATAAAATTCGACTGAGTTACGGGAAAATGCCCTGGAAAGTGTGGGTAAAATGATTGCTTCGCACAACGTTGACCAACCTTCCTACAAAAAAATCAGAGTGTATGTTCAATAAACAGCTGGCTTCAGATAACCTCCCTGCAAACTTTGTGCAAACAAATATGGATGGGCGCCCGCCTGGAGCTCACTTTTGCCAAGAACAAAAGGAAATCCACTCACCTCGTGTGTGCCATCGGAAACGGAGAAGGCAAATGTGTCAGAATGTTTCTCCTCCTCGCTGGTATGGATGTACTGGATGTTGCGGGAGACCAGGTCTGCCTGTCTGAAGGAGCTAATCCTTCTGCCTAGAGTAGCAGGAAATGGCAGGGGAAAGAAAACAGCAGCAAGCTGATGATTCTGCAGTCTTATGGACTAGAAACTTCCCTTGGAGAAACAAAACTGTTTAGGGCTGCCCTACTCATGATTCGCGGTTGGGTAGATGAGTCACCTACCCCTCAATCAACCCAAAGAAGAATGCAGAGTAGTTACATTTGTATAACTCAAGCACAAAATTCATTTGTCGTTCGGGACATAACCCTGGACATATCAGTGTCCGAGGTGGGAAATCCAAACAGCACCCCTTCCCGCAGGAATTGCTTCCTCTACATATGTGTGCACACACGCAAAAGCGGTGGAGAAGGGTTGGTATAGCACAAAGAGAAGGAACAGTTCCTCAAAGGCTGTCCAATTTTGATTCTGTCTCCGCCCATCCCACGTTAAGTATAATTGTATACTGAAATGGAAAATAACTCTGCAATGGGTCTGCATGCATACTGTGATGCATGGCATGGAAATTTCCACTGAAGCTAAAGAAGAGCTGAGAAGAGAGCCTAACAGATTAATAATAATTATTTTTTATACCCCACCCTCCCTGGCCAGGGTCGGGCTCAGGGCGCCTAACACCAAATTCTGTGGGGCTGTATCATGGGACTGTATCTCTGTGCCTCATTCGCAAGGCGCCAGGATGTATTACAAGTCTATGCATATGCTAATCTGTTGGCTTCCATCTTGGGTGGAGTGACTGTTTGTTCTCAAGCTACTGGAGAGAATGGATGTGCCAATCTCTTCTCTAGGAAAACAGCCTCAGGCTAATGGAGGCTTGAATGCAGAAGAGACAGAGCTTTGATTTTTAACTCTGGGTGGAAGATGTTCATAATCTAATATATTTTACCTATGCTGGGATCAGTATAAGACATTGTGCATCTATCTGAATGTAACTTTATTGTTTAAAATAATATTAATAATTTATACCCCATCCATCTGGTAGAAATGTTTATTTTGGTTCAACCTCTGTGAGTAAAACTTTTGAACCATATTTTCCAGACTAGATAATTTCTTATTTCAAAGAGTCAGTTTTAATTCACTCAACTGCTTCCAAACGCACAGTATTAATAACCTCAGTATCCCAGATGGGCTTTTCCCAATGGTTAATGTTCCTTCATCGGGGGGGAAATATTGCCCACCCCTGCCTTAAAAGCCCACAGTTAAGTCTAGTCAAGCACTTGGCTTGATATTGCTCCAAAAAACACTGAACATTTGCAAACCTGGTGATGCAGTGTGCTCTAGGTGCCCCAGCTGGGGCTGCTTAGTAATCCTGTACAGGAGATCACTTGGCTCACTGTCCTGATCCACAGCGGACAACTCGAGAGTGGTGATCTTCTTCACTGAGTTCTCGTCCAGGGCCAGTCCTGTGTTGACAATGACGGATGGTGGCAACCAATCTTCTGGGAGAATCAGAGGCAAAAGGATAAGATCAACAGCTTCCATTCTTCCGTTTTCCTGCCTCTCGTGAATATTCTAAACTAGGCAGCTACCCGGTTAATGAAATCTTAGCCAATTGGCCATATGCGTTTTAGCATATCAATCAGTTAAATTTGCATACATTTGGCATCATCTGAGAACAGGTGTTTCCTCCTGAGGAAAAGGAAAAGGGGGACTACGTCTTCTAAGATGGTGCTTGTCATCTCTACTTTTTATATAAAGGTAAAGGGAAGCCTGACTATTAGGTCCAGTCGTGGCCGACTCTGGGGTTGCGGTGCTTATCTCTCTTTACTGGCCGAGGGAGCCGGCGTACAGCTTTTGGGTCATGTGGCCAGCATGACTAAGCCACTTCTGACGAACGAGAGCAGCACACGGAGACACTGTTTACCTTCCCGCCGAAGCAGTACCTATTGATCTACTTGCACTTTGATGTGCTTTTGAACTGCGAGGTTGGCAGGAGCAGGGACCGAGCAACAGGAGCTCACCCGTCGCGGTGATTCGAACCACCGACCTTCTGATCGGCAAGTCCTAGGCTCTGTGGTTTAACCCACAGCGCCACCTGTGTCCCTACTTGCATTAAATAGTCCAAAGAACAAATCAGAGCATCCTTTTATAGTTTAGCAAACAGTTTTTAGCAAATTAACTGATTAAATGCTTTAATTCTAATTCACCCCACTCCAGTTAACTACTGCACTATTGTCTATTTTATTGCATTTCAAATATATTTCAAGCCACCTCGAAAACATATATTCAAAGTTATAGTATTGTTATAGAGTAGGCAGTCTTCTTTAAAATTATCTCTGGAAATGGAGCAAGGAACATGGATTTCTTAAACAGAAAGCCAGAGGGTCCGATTACTAACTCAGAGTAGGCTCACTAAAATCAATGGCCATAGCTAGGTTAGGCCCATTCATTGTAATAGGTCTAAGTAAATTATTTTTCTCTGATATCTGTATCCTTTGTCTGTTATGATATCACATACTCTACAGGCATGTCGTCTCTCTAATTTGTATTGTTTCTGCTATAGTTCTGCATGTTTCTCTGTTTTAGCTTCCTTTCTTTTAAATATTTTTGTGATAAAGTCTAAACAGAAATGCCGTTTACCTTCCCGCCAGAGTGGTACCTATTTATCTACTTGTACTTTGACATGCTTTCGAACTGCTAGGTTGGCAGGAGCAGGGACCGAGCAATGGGAGCTCACCCTGTCGCGGGGATTCGAACCACCGACTCCCTGGCGCCTCCAAGTATGGCTTGGAGAGACCATTGACTGAAATCCTAGAGCAATGCTAATAGTACATAACACTGAGCTAAATGGACCAAGTTCTCAACTCAGCGTAATGCAGCTTCTTATATTCTAGGAGGTGGCTGACTTTCCTGTTTTTAAGCATGGCCATCTGTCATGTATGATCTAGCTGGGATTCCTGCATTGCAGGTAGATGTTCCTTGCAGTCCCTTCCACCTGTACCTTTCTGTGATTCTATGATTTTGAATGACAAGACAGTAGTGCCCCAAGTGATACCCTCCAGATGTTGTTGGACGTCAACTCCTATCAACCCTAGCCAGTGTGGCCATTGGCGAGACTCAGCGAGGATGGGTCTCTCAGCTCAAAATCATATTGAGATTTCCACTTTGTCTACCCCTACCTAAAATATCAGGGGATAAAACACAATTAACCTGTGAAACCCTCCTGACTAATGTCATGGTAACATGTATATTACTTACTATTAGGGAAAATAAGAACATCAATTACTATTAAACGAGATGTTGAGGCTATGATGTTACAGAATTATATTCCCTGCCTTATTCTCTTAATGTCTCAGAATCCTTCCCCCCAGTGCCAGATTTACGTATAAGCTAAACAAGCTATAGCTTAGGGCCCCACTCTCTTGGGGACCCCCAAAAAATTTTAAGGAAAAAAACCTGGGATGTACATTTCTAAAATATAAGATAAAAACAAATAAAATAAAACCTAACATACAGCAACAGTGTTTTGTGTTGCGTAGGCTCCTATGTTGTAAGCAATGGGCCCCGCCTGCTAGCCTTCTCCCTAAAATATCACTGGTTTGCTCATTTCTATATATAGGGTGCCTACATTCTGCATGGATTGGTTGCATGGCAACATGTGCAAATGGCTTTAGATATCTCTAAGGTTCATAAATTACCATATAGCATATATTCAACACAAAAAACAGCGACAATTTGTTGTTGACAAAGGACAGCTGGACATATAAAAGGCCCCATTACCTTCAGGAGATTAGGACCTCATCAAACCTAAATCCGGCCCTGCTTCCCCCTCTGCCGAAACCATGTTCCCTCCTTAATTTCCTTGTTTCCAGCTAACAACAGCCAAGTTGCCTTCCTTGCGAAAGAGAAAATGAGGGTTTGCAGCAGAATCCCTTGGCCTTACCCATTACCCGAAGTGTAAATGCCTGGTCCGCCATTTTGTTTCCTTCTGCATCAGCCACATCGAAAACGAAAGCAAATGTCCCACCAGGATGCCCTTTCTCGTGGCTGTACTCCACCTGTCCTGTGGGGAGATAGAATGAGAATGAGCTTGTGCTACTGTCTTCTCTCTCCCCCCCCCCAATTTTATTGGTTTTCCACATTTATAACAAAAAAGACATTACAGAACACACAACAAAGAAAAACACTTTACAATACAGTAAGCTAAACACAGAAAAAGAATTATTTCTTCAGATATCTAATTCTCATAACATTAATAACTGACTTCCTCGCATCCCCTCTAACTGAATTTCATTATATCACCTGTATGACAGTTCTCCAAATTCATATTTCTAATAATATTGACTCCTAACATGCGTTACTGTCTTCTTGGTGTCTGTGACTAGCAGAGACACCCAAACGACAGGAAGTCAACATAATTTTGGGCAGGGTACATTATACTGGTGTAAACGATCCCTATTTCAAACTCCACTGAGGAGCGAGACAGCTACCCACTGAGCCAGCACGAGCCTGGCAGAGGGAAAACAAACCTTTTTAGAAATCCAGTTTTGTACTAAAGCATCAATCCGGGAATGTGAGACTCAACTGAACACACATACACGAGGGAACTCTTGTTGTGGAACAGGGACTGGGAGTGCTCACCCTTATTTATATCTGCCTGTGTGAAGCTTCTCACTGGCCCTTTGGCAGAGATCTGATCAAGGGAATCTCTTTTACGGATACGCAGAACTCCAAGCACAGGGTCTTTCTTCATGATGTATCTGATAGCCAGGTCATCCGAATCTGAGTCTGTGGCCTTCAAGAGCTGGTCTGTAAGGACTGCCACAGAGCCTAAATGGCAAAAGAAAGTCAAATACCTGCTATTCCTCCTTGCAGAATCATTCTGAATATAATGAATGAATCTTTATTTGCACCAGCCATAGCAATAAAACAACAATATACGTTATACAAAGAATAGAAATAAAAAGTCAATTACATAAAATACATTTTAGGGTTTTGAATCAATAGTCAAATAGTGGATCTTATTCTTATTGCCCCAGCTAAAAACCTTGCAACCTTTGCTGTCACCTGCTCATCTTGATCTGCCAAGAGAAAGGACACTGTGGCAGTGGTTGGGTAACCCAGAATGGACAACAGTCTACAGGGTATTTGATGTGAATTGTATGTGCTAATTCTTATTTGCTATTGCCCCTGCCTCTTTCTTGCCTCTAATTCCTCCACTGAAATTTACATTGGCTGCATCTGGACATTGCAATAAGCTTAGGCTAGTTTACTTGACTATATAGGGTCACATGCATTGAAATGATAATAACAGGTGTTGAGCTGTACACAAAACCATGTTGCCTTTGCCAAGCAAATTTGTAGTTTAAGCTATGGGCAAATCAGATCAGAAGGAGAGGCCAAATGATGCTGAAGAACAAAATATGGGAGAGGCAAGGTGTTACCAGAAGGATAGTTAAATTTCAGAGAAGATCTTGCATAGGGCATAAGTCATGGGAGCATTCTGAAGGCAGAAAATGGCCAATTGTGCAAGAAAGCATTGCAGGCTTAAAACTACTTGAATAATTATTCCCTCTTCCTAAGGGGACCCTGAGAATTGTAGCTCTGGGACAATGAGCTAAGAAGGAACTCAAAGAATCTCTCAACCAGACTACAGTTCCTATTTGGCTCTATGAAGAAGCTTTTGCTGTTAAAATGATATAAAACCATAATACACATGTAGTGAGTTACAGTGAACTTGGATACTGAATTTTTCTTCACAAACAGAATGTATTGCATTAAAAAAAAGTTTTTATACAGAGAGTTAAGTTCTGATTGTTCAGTTGGCTGTCAGCATCACTACCAGTGCCACAAAAAGTGCAGCTGATGCCCACCCCTTACCGGCAGAAAGTTGCAAGCCCCTGTTCACAACTAATCTGGGTGGCTCCGACTTGGACAACTCAATGGAAAACTCCACCTTCCCAGTCTGCGTGTAGAGGCCGTCAGAGAGTGAGAATCTGAACTCATCAGACTGGACACTGGAACTGCCCGGTGTGTAAATGATTAGTTCATCCAGGACATCTTGGTAGGTAAAGGTGGAGCCCTCGGACAGGGTTGGACCATTCTCCAAGGGATCCAGATGAGACTGTCTCTTGCGGAGATAACCTGAGAATAAGGTGAACACACCTTTTATCATATGTGGTGGTTGTGTAAGGTAATAAAAGCATTCTGGGAAATGATATATAATGAATTAAAAAAACACGTTTAAATTAACTTTTGTAACAAACAAAACAAAACAAAAACAGAGGCCTTTCTACTAGGAATTGTAGGTGCTGATATTCCAAGGGAGCAGAAAAGACTCCTTATGTATGTGATGATGGCCGCACAGCCCAGAGATGGAAAGAAGATAAAGTCTCTACCAGAAAAGAGTGGCAAATCTAATTATTGGACTATGCCGAAATGGCAAAACTGACTGGAAAGCTCAGGAACCAAGAAGATAACAACAACAACAACAATTTATTGCTTATACCCCCCCCCATCACTCTGGGCAGCTTCCAGCAGGAGATTAAAAATACATTAAATACAAAACTTTACAGTAATACATTAAATGCAAAACTTTAACAAAGAACGGGGGGAAATTATAACTTATCTTGGAGACCACTGTAAGCAGATGGAAACATTAGTAGGATTGCAATAACACTTGTAATGTAGCAAGTACTATGGAGTTAATTGAGTTATGTAAAACGTGGACTATTGAAAAAGATGCAGTAGAAAAGGTGTAATAAATAGGACCTATGGAGGGGAAGGTGGGAATCAAGAGATTTGGAAGAATCTTTTAACTGTGGATGTGTATGGTTGTATTGTAATAATAACAATTATTTCAAAAAGAAGACGAGAGAGTAAGCTGAACACAACTGAGTTAGGTCCTGCAGACTACATCCTTCCCACTTTCCCATGTCCCAATTGTGCTTCCTGCCATCAGTGCTATTCTTCTATAAAAAGAATGGCCAGAACTCACCATGAACGCCTCCCTCTTTCTCTTAGAAGGGCAATGGCACCCCCCCCCCCCGAGAGGTGCCGGAACTGAGTTCTGGTGTGTTTCCCCTGAAAGAAAAGCTCTGCCTACCATTGTTACTCATTCCTCAATCAATGTTTGACTAACCTATGGAATTAGCTACCAGAATATGAGGCAACAGTCACTAAGAACTTAACAGCCTTCTGAATCAAAACAATGGCTCATCTAGTCTAACATCCAGTGGCCAACCAGTAGAAAACCTGTAAGCAGGACCTTAGCACAGGACCACTCGCGGCGCGAGGCTGAAAGAGGACGTGGCCGGGGTCTCACCTAGCCATCCCACCCCGATGCTGAGGGGAGTGGCTAGGAGGCCAGACCGCAACCCGGCCCCATCCGGAAGTGGACCCGATTTCCAGAGAGATTAGATGTGACCCTTTGCCCGTGCTTTATCAGCTGCACTGAGCTTGAGGATCCTTTTAGAAACATTTGGGTTTCGTTTAGCTTGGGTTTTGGCCATCTGAATGAAAAAGGTGAGACTCTAAGCCAGCCTTTCTCAACCTGTGGGTCCCCGGATGTTGTCGAACTACAACTCCCATCACCCCTAGCTAGCAAGGCCAGAGCTCAGGGATGATGGGAGTTGTAGTCCAACAACATCTAGGGACCCACAGGTTGAGAACCACTGCTCTAAGCCATGGGTAGGCAAATTAAGGCCCGAGGGCTGGATCCTGCCCAATCGCCTTCTCAATCTGGCTCGCGGATGGTCTGGGAATCAGTGTGTTTTTACATGAGCAGAATGTGTCCTTTTATTTAAAATGCATCTCTGGGTTATTTGTGGGGCCTGCTTGGTGTTTTTCCTGAGTAGAATGTGTGCTTTTATTTAAAATGCATCTCTGGGTTATTTGTGGGACATAGGAATTTGTTCATCTCTCCACAAAAAAATATAGTCCGGCCCCCCACAAGGTCTGAGGGACAGTGGACCGGCCCCCTGCTGAAAAAGTTTACTGACTCCTGCTAAGCCAAGTTTTTTGGGGGTTAAATATAGGAAGAGCTCTGCTGGATCAGACCAAAAGCCTATCTACTCCAGCTTTCTGTTCTCACAATGGCCAACCTGATGGCGATAGGAAGGCCAAAAGCAGCTACTGAATTCAGAAACGTATAGTCTCCATGAATTGGTCTAATCTCCCTTTAAAGGCATCCAAGTTGGCGGCTGTCAACAGCATATCTTACAGCAGTCAAGGTCACAGCTTAACTGTCTTCTGTGTAAAGAAATACTTCCTTCTGTCTATTTTGAATCTTGCACCAGCTTGGATGGCTCCAAGTTCTACTGTCATCGGACCATTGGCTTGCTGGGAAAACCCTAAAAACATAATTCGAAGTGCACTTGCTCAGCAATATCAGAAACTTGTCTCTTACCATAAGTGGGTTTCTTGGTCACTACAAAGACCAGTTGGTTGTCCGGAGTGTCCAGGTCTTTCATGCTCAGGGAGGAATTTGTGATCACCACCCCTGTGCTTTCCTGCACTTTGACAGGCTCCACCTCCATTTCTGGGGGCTCATCATTTAGACGCTACAATAACACAAAGACGTTTGTGAAAGACAGTGCACTCATGCAATGCCACAAAGATAAGGGGGTGGGGGATAAAAAATGCAACTAGAAGCTGCAACATCCGATTCAAAATCGGTTTTGCAAATGTAAACACATACGAACAGCTTCGGCTGAATCTGGAACTCTGTTTGTGTGTCCAGGTTTTTTGGGTAAATCTGAATGGCAACTTAATTCTAAGTTTCTAGAACATTAAGGTATCACAAACAGCACAAAACATACCAGCAATTTGAATTAACATCCCATATTAATATTTGTGGGGTTTCATATATTCAAACTAATCGCAAGAGAGGTTTCAGATTTCTAGTGGATAATGCACACATCCTCTCTAAACTCAACAGGTTTTATGAATCAAACCCAACAAGTGAGCTCACCTTGATGGTGATGTTGACGCTGCTGGTTTCTGATTGGCTGAAGCCATCGCTGACATAAAAGCTAAAGGTGTCCGTGGAAGGCTCAATACTTTCGTGGACGCTTTGAAAGTAATAGATATGGTTCTCTACCACATCTTGAATTGAGAACGAGAGGTCTGAGCTCGCAGTGTGTCCAGGACCAAGTCGCCTACCTGCAAACACAGCATTGCCAATAGGAAATAATACTTTATTTTATTTTAAAATGGTACCACGCTTTCAGGCAGAAAGAGAAGACAAATGATTTTTTTGTCGCTGCTGTTTTTCAAAGATTAAGTGGGATGCACTGCAGAGCCTCATCTGCCAGTGTTTATTTTAAGATTCGAAGAAGCCACCTTTCTTTTTTTGAGGGTTCCAAACTTACCTGTTTTGGTGTTTTCAATGTACCCATATCTTGGGAAAGATGCAATTGTCACCACTAAGCCTTCCTGGGCAAGATCGGAGTCAATGGTTAGGGAGTGGTGAGCTCTAAGTGGTACCCTCCCTCCTTCATCCACCTGAAAACACAAAAGCAAAACTGAGGTTTACATCTGAAGTTTGCTCTAGCAATGCTGTAGCTAATGTTCTGCCGTTCCACTCCTGGCCTAACACGTGCAAATTTTAATAACATGGGGGAAAGGGCTGGAAACAGGAAAATCTCCCCTCTTCACCATCAGCTCCTTCCTAGAGGACTGAATCAAGACCAGGCAGTGGTTGATGGGAAATATCTTGCCGCATGAGACCCTGAATAGTCACTATCTTCCTTCTAAGTCCCATTCAGAATTTAAAATGGAGGGTGTTTTCAGTCCAGCCTGTGACAAGCAATGCTCCTCTTACAACTTTGAACCTGCACCCCCAAGTCCCAGCTGTTTACGCACCACAATATGGTCAGCAAAAGTGATGACTGGAGGCTTGCTCTGGCCAGCAGTGATAGTGATGGTGAACATCTGGCTGTCAAGCTGGTTGCCGTCCTCGTCAAAAACAGCAAAGTGGAAAATGTCAGTGACTGGCTGACTGAAGGCCTCAAACTCTGTGAGGTATCTGTACAGGAAAGGCAAGAGGAGTTGAGACGCAGTGACAGCCAGATGAAAGGCTTTCACATTGTGTGCTTAAGAACCTTTCTGCAACAATTTAATCTTTGCCACCGTCTTATCTGCTTGAAGGGAAGGAAAAAAGATCTCACATTTCCTTGTTACTGGGTGAGACAAACCAACTGGGAAAGCTGTGGTCTAACAACTCCAGAAGAAGAGGCAGAAACAACAAAGAACTGGATCAGAGGCGGGAGACATGTTGTTTTCCAGATGAACTACAACTCCCATCATCCCTCACCACTGTCCATGCTGACTGAGGCTGATGGAGGTTTGAAGAGCCACAGGTTCCCCATAGCTAGAGCAAGTTTTATATAGCAGGACTGGGGAACCTGTGGAGGGCAAATATAAAATGATATTTGACTCTAACTCATATCAGCATAGTCAGTGGCCGGAGGGGGAATTGGAAGCTTTCACTTCAGCTTTTTTAAGAAGCCACAGTTTCCCATTACATCTGAACTCCATAAACTGTGGCTTGTTAGAACAGTACAGGATCAAATTGTATTCTGAGCCCAGTGCATTCTGAAACCATAGTTTAAACAAACCACAGTTTTCAGAGCCCAGATGCAATGGAGAATGATGGCTTGTTTCAAAGTGGCAGTGAACATTTCCAATTTCATTCTCATGGCTTTTTGGGGGGAAGACATGAGCCCAAAGCTCATTTATGATTTCCCATTATACCTATAGAGGCCCCTGTCTTCAACTCTCTGGAAAAAAAATATTGCTTTTCTTCAGTGCTAAATTATACAGTGATACCTCGGGTTACATACGCTTCATGTTACATACGCTTCAGGTTAAGAACAGTTTCAGGTTAAGAATGGACCTCCGGAACGAATTAAGTACTTAACCCGAGGTACCACTGTACTGTACATCATACTATGTTAGAGGTAGTGTTGAGAAGGATTTGGAGTCCTGGAATGCCATCTGCCTTGCCTGCCTTAGGAGACAGGCACTTTAGCAAATAATTTCACAAGCCATATTCCCCTCAGTTATCTTTTTTTCCAAGTCCAAAAGCACCCAACAGCTTAACACTTTCTTTAAACGGAAAGCTTCTCCATTTTCTCTTCCTGCTCTATCCCATTTGTGCTGGGAGAATAATTTTTATAAGCTTTGTTTGTGAAGCGCTTATTTGCAGTAGTAATTCAGTCCACAAAACATGAAAAGATCGGCACTCAATCAATAGACGTTCTGCGAGACAGGCTATAAAAGTATTGTTGATGTTCAGTGCCTGTCTTCCCTGTAGGTGGCACTGTGGATTTCTGAATGAGCAGGGAGGGTTTAGGGTGCTTGGAAGAATTTTGCAAATCTCCGCAGGATTACCTGATTCTTTTATTGTTGATGTCTTCCATTGTGAAATTATAGACCTCAGAAAACTCCTGAGAATGTTGTCCGGGTATTATCCGCACCAGAGTTCCATACATGGGAAGGGAAATTAACTGAATCCTTATCTTGGAATCAGGAGAGTTATTATCCTAAAGATAGAAGTGAGATGAAAAAGAGCAGGAGTTAAGTCGGGCTAAAATGAGGGGAACAAGACCAGGTGGAGAGCAGAACTCTTGTCATTTAGAGTATAAATGATTTCTCTCCGTCCTCATTTAATCCTCACAACAACCCTGTGAGGTAAGTTAGGCTGAGAGACTGTGACTGGGTTCAAGGTCACGCAGTGAGCTTCACAGCTGAGTGGGGATTCGAACCCTAGCCTCCCAGGTCATAGTCCAACACTCTAACCACTACACCAAACTGGCTTCAACCATTTGTGGTTCAGGATGAGAACAGAAATCGTGCAGCAGCAGTGTGGTGGCAGCGGGAGGCCCCATTAGCTAAAATGGTACCTCAGGTTAAGAACAGGTTTCAGGTTAAGAACAGACTTCCAGAACGAATTAAGTTCTTAACCCGAGGTACCACTGTATTAAATGTTAGGCAAAATCAGAGGAATTGTGCAATGTCCCCCTCTGATCTGCATAATTTCATGCAGAAGTAAACTTATTCAAGGTTTGGGCTGCCTGGGCATGGAACTGTCTCGCACAGTATAAACACAGTCCTGCCTGTAACTGATAGTACATCTCCCAAGTTAGGTAAAGGTAAAGGGACCCCTGACCATTAGGTCCAGTCGTGGCCAACTCTGGGGTTGCACGCTCATCTCGCTTGCCTGGCTGAGGGAGCCAGCGTACAGCTTCCGGGTCATGTGGCCAGCATGACTAAGCCGCTTCTGGCGAACCAGAGCAGCGCACGGAAACGCCGTTTACCTTCCCGCCGGAGTGGTACCTATTTATCTACTTGCACTTTGACGTGCTTTCGAACTGCTAGGTTGGCAGGAGCAGGGACCGAGCAACGGGAGCTCACCCCGTCGCAGGGATTCGAACCACTGCCTTCCGATCGGCAAGCCCTAGGCTCTGTGGTTTAACCCACAGCACCACCAAAATGCGAAGTCTGAACAGCCCTAAAATTCATTGGATTCTAGGTCTTTGATGCTTAGTTAATAAATCTGCTAGAGGTTGTGGACTTTCCTTCCTTGAGGGTTTTTAAGCAGAGGCTGGATGGCCATCTGTCATGGATGCTTTCCCGGGGGTTGGGCTAGACCCCCCCCCAAGTGTACAATTCTATAAATTGATTCAAATTAGGTTGATCACGGGGGGTGGGGTGGGGGGGGTGGGATGCCCTTGATCAGGAAGCAGACTTTTGAAAGGGGAAAAAACTAATTATTTATTATTGCAAGTACCAACAATTTCATTAGCGGCACTTCTCCCCCACATATGGGGTGGGGCCCCCAACCCATTCCAAAATGAACGAAAGAATGCTTTCCTCTTCAGAACTAATGTTCTATTCACAAGCAAAGTTATGCAGATTAGTCAATTAGTCAATTAATGATTAAAACTCACGCAATGAATCAACAAGCTGCACACCCAGCCTAACACCTTTGCGGCTCAGAACTCCTTAACACACCCGCAACCCTCCTTTTTGGTTTTGTCGTTTTTTCCAAATCAAAGTTATTTTTATAAAAGATTTTGCTAGTAACCTCAACGCGCCAGCTGCAGGCCCATTTTAGTTTGTCATCTAAATCCTTAAAGAACAGGATGAGGAGATATTTTAGGTGGAAACAGTATTAAAATAGGACCAGCAGCATGAATAGTATGTCCTGCATTCTGACCGTTATACATATACATATATATTTAAACATTGTGTTAAGCAACACTCCTGAATACGCAAAATGCCAACAGAGTCTTCCAAGTTGGAGCATCACATGGGATGACCATAGAACTGGAGGAGCTGGAAACCCAAGTCCCATATACCGTATGCTGTAAGCCGCCCAGAGTGACTGGGTATAAATAATAACATTATTTATTATTGTAATCTTTTCTCTTCAGACCTTCATGGGCTAAATCCACAAAATCCAGGCACACATACATACAACTCACAGTATGTATCCAAAGACCTCACCTTCTGAAAGAGGAGTGGGACAGTTGCCATTCCCCCCACCCCAGATTTTGGTAATGGAGAAATGGAAAATTTGGCAGAGACTCTTAACCCAGTGGTGTAGCGTAGGTTGCCAGTGCCCAGGGCCACATGGAGGGGGTGGCTGGGTGGGAGGGAGGGAAATAGATGGAGTACACATGTGATTTCAACTCCCTTATGGCATCCCACATCACCCAGGAGATTGGAGCCACAGAGGTAAGAAAAGAAGAGTTGTTCTGTTGTCTAGAGAGGTCCCTTCCTGGTTCACAAGGAGAAGCCGTTTTCAATGAGCCCAGCGACGGATGGGCACAGCTGTATTGAGGCACCTCCAGGTGTTGACATTTTGCGCCCCCTGACAATTTTGCACACAGGGCAACCACCCCTGTGCCCCCATGCTACGCCACTGTCATAACCTCAGGGTTGTGGGTTTGAGACCCACCTTCAGCAAAAAGATTCCTGCCTTGCAGGGAGTTGGACAAGATGACCCCCCACGATCCCTTCCAACCCTACAATTCTATGATTTGGAGGAGAATGCTAAACCACCCTGATTCAGCCATGGATGTAGGGGTGGCGAGAGCTCGGCGGTAGAGCTCATGTGCTGCACACAGAAGCTCACGGAGATGCAGGATGCAACCCTTGGCGACTCCAATCAAAACCGTCAAGTTATAGGTGACAAGATGGAAGACCTTTCTCCACCTGAGTCCCCAGAGAAAAACTGCCAGATGCAGCAGACAATACTATGAGAGATGGACAAATGATCTGACCCGATGTCAGGCGGCTTCCTGTGAGCTTATGTGTTCCTTCCCAGGTGAGCCTACCTTTTGCTCAACACTTCAGCACAAGAGGAACCCTGGTGAAGTGGCAGTTCCAAGGTGCTTTTGAAAGAACAGGTACGTCAGGCCCTACCCCAAGGAGCTCACACACAGGAGAACTGGGGAAATGGGAGGTGTGAGCAGAATAGGTGATTTTTTCCCCATTGGCACATACTGTATTTTTCCGTGTATAACATGCCCCCGTGTATAAGATGACCCCTATTTTCTGGGACTCCAAATTAATTAAGGAAATGGGGGGAGATTGCCCACAGTTGTTAAGCTTTTTGGAGGGGGGTTTGCTTAGAGTTGCCAACAATCGTTCACCTGCCTGGCCACCGCTGCCAATTGCCCGCCCAATTGCCGCAGCAGCAGCCAATCGACAGCAGGCCTTGCCACTGATTCACCCACTGATTCACCGCTGACAATTTCCTGCTCGCGGCTGCCCGTCCCCGCTCTGCCCTATCCTTGTATAGGTAAAGGTACCCCTGCCCGTACGGTCCAGTCTTGCCAGACTCTAGGGTTGTGCGCCCATCTCACTCTATAGGCCGGGGGCCAGCGCTGTCCGCAGACACTTCCGGGTCACGTGGCCAGCGTGACAAGCTGCATCTGGCGAGCCAGCGCAGCACACAGAAACGCCGTTTACCTTCCCGCTGGTAAGCAGTCCCTATTTATCTACTTGCACCCGGGGGTGCTTTCGAACTGCTGGGTTGGCAGGCGCTGGGACCGAGCAACGGGAGCGCACCCCGCCGCGGGGATTCGAACCGCCGACCTTTCGATCGGCAAGTCCTAGGCGCTGAGGCTTTAACCCACAGTGCCACCCGCGTCCCTATCCTTGTATAAGGCAACCCAAAATTTTAAACATTTTTTATATAAAAAAATTGTCTTATACACGGGGGAAAACGCTACTTTGGCTTAGGTCCCATCTGCACTATACATTTAAAGTAGGATTGTGCCACTTTAAGTAGTAATGGCTTTCCCCAAAGAGCAACTTTTTAAGGATGGTGAGGGTTGTTAGGAGAGACCTTATTCTCCCTCACAGAACTACAATTCCCAGAGTTCCTGTGAAAGCTGTGCCGGATTAAACCCTGTGGAGACCCCTAGGCAGTTGGGGAAAAAATTGGGGGGGGGGGAGGCCCTCATGCGTGTGCTTTGGTGGGATAACATTGAACTAAGAAATCTTGGATGCAATTTTGCTCCAAGATTAAATCAATATTACTTTGATCTGTTGTCTCCTCTGCCTATTTGGTAAACCAGCGCTGTGTAAAAGGGGGGTTGATTATTAAACCACTCTGGGAATTAGTTGGGGCCGATGGGATCTGAAAGGGAACCAGAGTTAAATCTGTGTCCGTTTAGGTCTACAACCAAGAGCAAACGGCTCCATGCATGCTTTCGACCGCCTCCATGGTGGGCCCTCAAACGAAAGAAGCTTAATAGCACCTGACTCTGGGATTAGCTTAATTTTCGTTTTACCTTTGCACTCCACCTCTACCTTCATGTAACAGGCACGGTCCAAAACACCTGGTTAGAAATAAAGAACTCATTCTTCCCCCCCACTCGTACGCTTTTTTGGCAGCCGTAAGCAGGACACGGCAGAAAAGGTTGAAACTTCTGCCAAGCAAGAACATTGAGAGGGATGTCGGCGGTTTATGTTACAGCGGTCTCCCTCACACTTTTACGGCTTTGGAATGCAGCCGCTGGCTCCAGGTCAGCTTTTGTCTCCAAATAATAAAACGCGAAGAGAGACCAGGCTACGTGCCAGGGCTGCGTTAGAAGCTCCTTGAAACGCCGGGGAGAGCGAGCCAAGAGTCACATTTCTCAAGAAACCGCCCTTCGCACCTTAACACAATCGTAGGAAGTGTTTCCTCTGCAAGTACACGGGCCCAGGGAGTGTCAAGGAGGCTCAAACTAATGGCAGGCCCTGAGCCTGGGAAGACATCAAGGAGCCTGGACATCTTCACTGAGGCATTGCTAAAGGAAGGGAACTGCAAGAAGAATTAGCCAAATGTGCAGAAGACAAACCAGTCATATGGCAAATCCTGCCCTGCACAATAACTTCCGAGTCAAGCTTAGTTCTTTAAGGCATAAAAGTTTGCCACATACCTTCCAACATTTCTCCAGTGAAAATAAAAAGGTAAAGGGACCCCTGACCATTAGGTCCAGTCGTGACCGACTCTGGGGTTGCGGCGCTCATCTCACTTTATTGGCCGAGGGAGCCGGTGTTTGTCCGCAGACAGCTTCCGTCATGTGGCCAGCATGACTAAGCTGCTTCTGGGGAACCAGAGCAGGGCACAGAAACGCCGTTTACCTTCCCGCCGGAGCGGTACCTATTTATCTACTTGCACTTTGATGTGCTTTTGAATGTTGGTTGGCAAGAGCAGGGACCAAGCAATGGGAGCTCACCCCATTGCGGGGATTCGAACCGCCGACCTTCTGATCGGCAAGTCCTAGGGATGTCCTATTATTATTATTGGGACGCGGGTGGCGAGATGAGCGCCGCAACCCCAGAGTCGGTCACGACTGGACCTAATGGTCAGGGGTCCCTTTACCTTTACCTTTATTATTATTTCACTATTTATGGCCCACCCATCTGACTGGGTTGCCCCCGCCACTCTGAGCAGCTTCCAATACGTACTAAAAACATAATAAAACATTAAACATTCTTTTTAAAAAAACTTCCCTATACAGGATTGACTTCACATGGCTTGGGGGTTGGATAACTCCATACCCTCCAACATTTCTCGACTGAAAATAGAAAAGAGGGACATTCCAAGATCAAATCACAAACCAGGATGGCTTCTGTAAAGCCGGGACTGTCCCTGGAAAATGGGGACATTTAGAGGGTCTGTTACTGCTGTTTCTTTTCATATCCTTGGACTGTTTTGGCTCCCCAACAGCAAGTGTTCAAACAAGGACTGAGGAGGTCGTGGTTTAAATCACTGCTCAGTCATGAAACTCACTAGAGTGATTTGGGCCTTTCACTCTCTTTTATTTATTGCAACCCAGCTCTACAATTCTGTGATGCATGGGACTGTGCTGTGATATTCCACCTTTCCTCCTAGGAGATCAAGGTGGAGTGTGTAGCTCTCCATGCCCTCTCCCCAATTTTTCTTCACAAGAACCCTGTGAGGTAGGTTAGGCTGAGGGTTTGTGACTAGCCCAAGGTCACTCAGCGAGCTTCACAGGGGAGATTGGACCCGAACCCTGAACTCCCAGGCCCTAGTCTAACACTCTAACCACTAAACCATGCTGACTTTCTGGGCCTTATCTGCCTCATAAGGTCGACGTAAAGATAAAAGAAAGAAACAAAAAGTGAACAGTCCTTTGAACCTTGTGAAAGTCATTCCATGTATTACAACCGGGCACCAATGGACATTCTCCTCCTTCTAACGTTTTTAAAACAAACATTGGGAAATGGACAGAAACCATCTAAAACTATCTATAAGTAATCCACAAATTTAAGAACTTTGGAACTCCCTGCCTAGTGATATCATACAGGCTCCTTCACTGTACTCCTTTTGGCACCGGCTAAAAACGTTGCTGCTTAGACAAGCCTACGCAGATGCTTTGGAAGTTGAGGCAATTTTAATCTTTTTTAGTATCTTAACTTTTGTTATGTTTTAAAGTATGGCTCTAAATTTTCTCGATTTTCTTCCTCCTCATCCATGCAATCCAACGGAGCCTGTCTTTGCATGCAGTGGAAGTCCCTAACTCACTGAGGGTTTAAGACCCATCAGCTATCCTCACCTGGTTTACCTGGCCAATCAAAGCTGTTCCCTGGTTGTGGATGCTGTCAAATGCGGACAGCTTCTAGGTGCCACAGGTGAGAGCGGAGTGCAGGATGAGGACAAATTACCCCAAATGTGTCCCCCACCAGAGGTACTACCCCTCCCCTAACACCCCAACTGGCTGACAGGATGGTACATTATCGAGGCTAAGAGGCTGGAAACAAATGGTGCACTTACAATATAGGCAAAGTGGGATCGGGTGATGATCACAGAGCTTTTAGCAGCCACCGTGATGGCGAGTGAGCAACCGGGATCCAGCCTGGGGCCTTCACTGTTGATCAGGGCTACTTTGACTTTCAATACGGCCGTCGCTGTGGTGATGCCATCAGTCACTGAAATCTCCATAGTGTCTTCTGCTGAGGACGAACCATCATGGATATACTGCAGAGCATTCCTGGTGATTTCCTCATACGTGAAGGTATCTCCTTCTCAGAAAGAAAGGTTGAAATCAGGAGTTTCCCATGTACAACATAGTGAGAACTTGGGAAACAGCCTTACTAGAAAAATTAACCAATAAACTGAAACTGACACGGGGACAAATAGAAGAAGGCTCCCCTTTATCACATACACAGCCCAACAAGACAATGACAAAAATCCACCAACAGCATACAAATCAATATGGCTAACCTGATCCAAAACACCCACCCACCCCACTCACACAGGAAAACAAAGTCTACCACAGCCAACCACAAATGAATAACCACACCCTGGGCCAACCCCAACCTCTCTCACCACCAAAGGAACACAAGCGAACAGCAAAGAACCTGCACAAGCAACGCTGACACCAAACCCTACATATAGTAAGTAAAATAGAAACATTGCCACCCGACCCCACCCCCCATCTCTTTCCCCCTATTCTTCCTAATGTCTTAACAAATGAACCTGATTTGTAAAAAAAAATGTGTTATGTGGGGGGGAAAAAGATACCTTTGTAAATCAAGAAAATCTTTAATAAAAATACATTTAAAAAAAGAAGAAGGAAGGAAGGAAAGAAGTTGGAGGGGGTTGCCCAATAAATAAATTAACCCCCCCCCCCAAAAAAAAACACACCACATGGTGAGAACTGTGGTGCAAGGGTTTGTTTTGTCACAAATACACAGGCACCGAAAAGAGAGACCTTCCAAGAAATGTGAACCCCTTTCTTTAACGATTTTCATGACCCAAATCAAGACCTTGTTATGCCAACCGCTCAATCTTCTCAGTGGCGAGGTTATGTTAAGTGCAGTCGTACCTCGGAAGTCAAATGGAATCTGTTCCAGAAGTTCGTTCGACTTCCAAAATGTTCGGAAACAAGACCCGGCTTCCGATTGGCTGCAGGAAGCTCCCGCAGCCAATTGGAAGCCGCGGAAGCCCCGTCGGACATTCAGGTTCCAAAGAACGTTCGGAAACCAGAACACTAACTTCCGGGTTTGAGGCGTTCAGGAGCCAAAGCGTTCGAGTCGCAAGGTGTTCGTCAACCAAGGTACAACTGTAATAGGTTGGAATACTGACTATTCATTGGATAGAACAAACACCATTAGATGTACTGCCAGATAAGTGTTGAATGGTTCTTGTATTTGTTTTGTTTAAAAAGCAATAAAATTTGTTTAAAAAAATACACGAGCCAGGCCACTGTGACACACAGGGGATGTCTACATTCCAAGAAAAATAAGCACACACAGTTTGCCGTACATGCCACACATTTTTCCTTACAGATAGATGTGTCTTAGTCTACAAAAAAATATAATCACACCTGCCTACCTGCACTCAGGCGGCTTGGGAACGTGGAGCTGTGCTTGAAGAGATCTCCATGATGAGGAGGATCCACCACCTCAAAGAAAAGGTCATCAGGAGTTGTGTCCACATCGCTCACTGTCAGCTGTATCCCTGAGGGATCAAAGTAGGGGAAGCAAAATGCATTTATTTGGGTTTTTATCCTCTCAGAAAAGCTGGAGTATTTTAGTATGAGCAGCTTACAAAGGGAGAAGAGTGAAGCATATGACACAAAAGCAACACTCTAAACAGGCACATCCCCAACCAATGCTAAAAGCACAGAAACCAAAACACTTACAGTATTTGACTAAATTCTGAAAGTTGTCAAAACAACTGATAAATGCAAATGAGAGAATGTGTGCAAATGAACGCTATCAAAAGGTGATTTTTTTGCATATTGCCCAGTTAATGTTCACTGTCTCCATGCGTTACTGGAAAATGTGACTATTTCCCACATTGACCAATGAATGTGCATAGGTGAATATAACATGATTAGGAAACCAGCAGTGAAAGAAATATTACGTTCATGATCAAGAATGTTGAAGAATTCCGGCGGACATAAAGGAGAAAAATGCTGAAACCTGCTTACTCGTCCCAGATGCAGAACAGAAGTCAGTCAGCAAATACAGTCCTACCTTGGTTTTCAAACAGCGTAGTTCCCAAACGCTCCTGAACGCTGCAAACCCAGAAGTGACTGTTCCGGTTTGTGAACTATTTTTGGAAGCTGAATGTCCGTCAGGGCTTCCAGGGCTTCTGATTGGCTTCAGGAACTTCCTGCAGCCAACCAGAAGCTGTGATTTAATTTTGAACATTTAGGAAGTTGAACGGACTTCCGGAACAGATTCCAACCAAAACCCTGGCAGTCACTGTAACAAAGCTAGATGGACACATGTTTTGACTCAGCACGAGCGAGATTCCAATGTTCCCTGCTTTTCCCAACTAGGATTACACACATATATTTTGTTTACCACAACTAGGAGGAAAGCAGCTGGAAAAGCGGAGTACAAGGTGTGGTGTGGCAGGTAAAGAAATATTCTCCAGGTGGCTTTCTGAAAAACTGTGCCTTGCTTCTTAGATGTCAGCAGCAAATCAAGGTTCCTGACCCACATCTCCTCTACCAAGCACCCAGTTCCTCCAGTTGCCACCAGCTTAGGGTTACCAGATGTCCCCAGTTTCCGGGGACAGTCCCCGGATTTGCAAATCTGTCCCTGGAAAATGTGGCAGCGGCAGCCTCAGCAGCCTGGAGCCAGCCTGGTAGCACAGTTGGCTCTGGTTGGCTTCAGGAGCTGCTCGCTGCCACCGCCACTGCCAAGGGGGAACCGGGGTCATCAGGCGGTACAGATCTCCTGCCCCCTTCCCCCTTTGTTTTGACAGATTGGGGGAAGCTTGGGAGTCGCAGGCAGGCGGCCATTGCCCAGGAGGGGCGCAAGGCACGCGGTTTCTCTGCCAGGCAAGTAATAATAATAATAATAATAATAATAACAATAATTTATTATTTATACCCCGCCCATCTGGCTGGGCTTCCCCAGCCACTCTGAGCGGCTTCCAAAAAAAATAAGAAAGCCCTTCTTTTACACCCTGTGAAACATAAATGTGCAGAGTTTTTTAAAAACTGGGAAACCCTGCGACTCCCAAGCCTCCCCCGATCTGTCAAAACAAAGGGGGAAGGGGGAAGGAGATTAGGGGAGGCTCGAGAGATGGGCGGGCGGTGCGCCGTTGCCCAGTTTTAAAAAAACTCTGCACATTTATGTTTCACAGGGTGAGAAAGAAGGGCTTTGCACCTTTATACAATATGCATGTGTGCTTGGGCCCAGGGTCTTTTGCCTCACCATCCCCACTACTGACTCCCTGTTGCTAAAAGGTAAAGGTAAAGGGACCCCTGACCATTAGGTCCAGTCGCGGACGACACTGGGGTTGTGGTGCTCATCTCGCTTTACTGGCCGAGGGAGCTGGCGTACAGCTTCCGGGTCATGTGGCCAGCATGACTAAGCCGCTTCTGGAGAACCAGAGCAGTGCACAGAAACGCCATTTACCTTCCCGCCGGAGCGGTACCTATTTATCTACTTGCACTTTGACGTGCTTTCGAACTGCTAGGTGGGCAGGAGCAGGGACCGAGCAATGGGAGCTCACCCCGTTGCGGGGATTCGAACTGCCAACCTTCTGATCAACAAATTCTAGGCTCTTTGGTTTAACCCACAGTGCCACCTGCGTCCCTTTTGCCTCAACATCTCCACTACTGACTCCCTGTTGCTACTCAGCTTAAAAAAAAAAGTGTCCCCAGATTCATTGGAAAAAAACTGGTAATCATACACCAGCTAATTTATGGAAAGATCCTAAGTGGACTGCAATGTGTGTGAATTGCAACTGGGTTGTGGGCTGCAGCCTGAGTCTGCTGGATTTCTTGTTCCTTCTCCTTACCAATAGTGGCTCTGCCTCCTTGGCTGACCTCAAGGACTGGAGCAGTGATCTGGAATAACGGCGATCCATCATCAGTGGAGAGCAAGTGGATAGTAAATGTCATCTCAGGGCTTGTATGTTCTCCATCTGAGACTGAAGGGAAAACCATTTAAATGAATTTGCCTTATATATAAGAACCAGCCCTTAAAAAAACCCCACAATTCTCCCCTACCTACTTGCAAGTGAAGTAAATGACTCGCTGCAATTCAAAGTGCCAGTTTTGACCTATAGTGTTACAAATGGCCTAGGATTGGGGTATTTTAAATATGGCATCTTACATGAATCTACATACCTATATGCACCCTCAAAGATCATGTGGGTGGCTCCTAGGAACGGTCTTCTGTAGTGGTGCCCTTGCTGTGGAACATCCTCTCCAAACATATTTGCCGTTTCACTGTCCTGTAAACACCAGGCTTACAATACAGTTGTACCTTGGATCCCGAATGCCCCGGAAGTTGGACATTTTGGCTCCTGAACGCCGCAAACCCGGAAGTGAGTGTTCCGGTTTGTGACTGTTCTTTGGAAACCGAATGTCTGCCACAGGTTCCGCGGGTTCTGATTGGCTGCAGGAGCTTCCTGCAGGCAATCAGAAGCCGTACATTAGTTTCGAAGTCGAACGGACTTCCAGAACAGATTCCGTTCAAATTCCAAGGTACGACTGTAGTTTCATTCACCAAACCCCTCTGGTGGGTTTTAATTGCCGTTGGGTTTGGCTGGATATGGTGTACTGCTCCTTTTGGGGTTGCATATTTGTTGATATGGGGTTGTTGTTTTTTACTTTGTTTCCCACCCCCCTTTCAATATTGCTAAGTAAACCGCCTTGGACATTAACCTAACGTTAAGGCAGGATATTGTTAAAATCATCATCATCATCATCATCATGCAATCCTCTTAAAAAACAACAACACAACAACAACTATAATAGCTTCAGTAACTGTTCCCCCCCCCTAAAAATAACTGTCTTCCATTATCTGTAGGAAAGTTGCCAATACGTATTAGGTCAAAGCTTTACTTTCTTATTCTGGAAATCCGTTATTTCCTGGAAGAACCCAGCTCTGGAATCCTGAGGCCCACATAGCTGAAAAGCACTGCAATAGAATGAGGACATTCGGCAGCAGCAAGGTAGCTGAGACGGGTGTGCTTAGGAGCTTTCTCCTGCCTACTGCATGTCCCTGCATCTTCATAGCTGTCAACTTACAGATTTATAATAATAATAATAATAATAATAATAATAATAATAATAATTTATTATTTATACCCCGCCCATCTGGCTGGGTTTCCCCAGCCACTCTGGGCGGCTTCCAAAAGAATATTAAAATACTGTGATACATCAAACATTAAAAGCTTCCCTAAACAGGGCTGCCTTCAGATGTCTTCTAAAAGTCTGGTAGTTGTTGTTCTCTTTGACATCTGGTGGGAGGGCGTTCCACAGGGAGGGCGCCACTACCGAGAAGGCCCTCTGCCTGGTTCCCTGTAACTTGGCTTCTCGCAGTGAGGGAACCGCCAGAAGGCCCTCGGTGCTGGACCTCAGTGTCCGGGTAGAACGATGGAGGTGGAGACGCTCCTTCAGGTATACTGGACCGAGGCCGTTTAGGGCTTTAAAGGTCAGCACCAACACTTTGAATTGTGCTCGGAAACGTACTGGGAGCCAATGTAGGTCTTTCAAGACCGGTGTTATATGGTCTCGGCGGCCGTTCCCAGTCACCAGTCTGGCTGCTGCATTCTGGATTAGTTGTAGTTTCCGGGTCACCTTCAAAGGTAGCCCCACGTAGAGCGCATTGCAGTAGTCCAAGCGGGAGATAACCAGAGCATGCACCACTCTGGCGAGGCAGTCCGCGGGCAGATAGGGTCTCAGCCTACGTACCAGATGGAGCTGGTACACAGCTGCCCTGGACACGGATTTAACCTGTGCCTCCATGGACAGCTGTGAGTCCAAAATGACTCCCAGGCTGCGCACCTGGTCCTTCAGGGGCACGGTTACCCCATTCAGGACCAGGGAATCCTCCACACCTGCCCGCCTCCTGTCCCCCAGAAACAGTACTTCTGTCTTGTCAGGATTCAATCTCAATCTGTTTGCCGCCATCCATCCTCCAACCGCCTCCAGACACTCACACAGGACCGTCACCGCCTTCACTGGTTCTGATTTGAAAGAAAGGTAGAGCTGGGTATCATCTGCATACTGATGAACACCCAGCCCAAACCCCCTGATGATCTCTCCCAGCGGCTGCATGTAGATGTTGAAAAGCATAGGGGAGAGGACAGAACCCTGAGGCACCCCACAAGTGAGAGCCCAGGGGTCTGAACACTCATCCCCCACCACCACTTTCTGAACACGGCCCAGGAGGAAGGAGCGGAACCACTGTATGACAGTACCCCCAGCTCCCAGCCCCTCAAGACGGTCCAGAAGGATGTTATGGTCGATGGTATCAAATGCCGCTGAGAGATCCAGCAGAACTAGGAAACAGCTCTCACCTTTGTCCCTAGCCCGCCGGAGATCATCAACCAGTGCGACCAAGGCAGTTTCAGTCCCGTGATGAGGCCTGAATCCCAATTGGAAGGGATCCAAATGGTCCGCTTCTTCCAGGCGTGCCTGGAGTTGTTCAGCAACCACTCGCTCAATCACCTTGCCCAAGAATGGAAGATTTCAGACTGGGCGATAGTTGGCCATCGTGGCCGCATCTAAAGATGGTTTTTTAAGAAGCGGTTTAATAACCGCCTCTTTCAACGGGTCTGGGAAGGTTCCCTCACGGAGGGAAGCATTCACCACCCCACGAAGCCCATCGCCCAGCCCTTCCCGGCTAGCTTTTATAAGCCAGGATGGGCAAGGATCCAGGAGACAGGTGGTTGGTTTCACTCGTCCAAGCAGCCTGTCCACATCCTCGGAGGTAACAGATTGGAATTGATCCCACGCAATTTGACTAGACAGGACTCTAGCACTCTCCCGCCCTGGCCCTGCTCCCACGGTGGCGTCTACCTCTTCCCGAATCTGAGCGACTTTATCTGCAAAAAACTTTGCAAAATCATTGCAGGAGATCATGTGGCCCGTACTGGGCCCCGATGTAGCAGGTGGTTCCGCTAAATTGCGGACCACCTGAAAAAGTCTCCTGCTGCTGTTTTCTGCAGATGCAATAGAGGCGGCGAAGAAGGCCTTCTTCGCCGTCGCTACCGCCACTTGGTAGGCTCGACACTGAGCTCTAACCTGTGTCCGGTCAGCTTCAGAATGGGTCATCCGCCACCGGCGCTCTAGCCGTCTCAACGATTGTTTCATTGCCCTCAGATCCGTGGAAAACCACGGGGCTGTCCGGGCTCCATGCAATCGGAGAGGGCGCTTCGGAGCCAAACAGTCAATAGCCCTGGTTAACTCCACATTCCAGCGGGCCACCAGGGAATCAGCTGAAAGGCCATCAACATGGGATAAAGCATCCCCTACCACTCTCTGGAAGCCATTTGGATCCATTAAGTGGCGGGGGCGGACCATCCGAATCGGTCCCACCTCCCAGCAGAGGGGAAGGGTCGCGGAGAAGTCAAGTTGCACCAGGAAGTGGTCTGACCATGGCACTTCTTTTGTTTCGCTTTTATTTAGTGTCAGAACACCAACATCCATGGAGGTAAACACCAGGTCCAAGGCATGTCCGCGGCTATGGGTTGGGCCAAAGTTATTCAGGGACAGCCCCATGGAGGCCATGCTTTCCACGAAGTCCCGAGCGGCCCCTTGTAAGGTCGTGTCGGCATGGATATTAAAATCCCCTAGGACAACCAAATTAGGTGTCTCCAGGAGAACATCCGCCACGACCTGAAGCAGCTCGGGCAGGGAATCCTTGGTGCAGCGGGGAGGTCGGTACACCAAAAGGAATCCTGTACTGCCCCTATTGCCCAACTTCCAGAACATGCACTCAGAGAACTGGGTCTTCCTAACAGGACGCCTGGTGCAAACTAATGACTTCCTAAAAATCACTGCAACCCCCCCTCCCCGCCCACAAGGCCTGGGTTGCTGTGCGTAAGAGAAACCCGGTGGACAAGCAGCGGCAAGAACAGGCCCATCTGCTTCATCCAACCAAGTCTCTGTTACACAAGCCAGGTCAAATCCTCCATCCATGATCAAGTCATGGATGGCAGTGGTCTTATGAATCATTGACCTGGCATTGCACAGCAGCACCTTCAGGCTATGTGGGTATCCCTTGCTGATTCTAGTATCCGTCCGGACAGGACCAGACCCGGAGGCAGGGATAGTCCTCAGACAACGACTAAACCTGCCTCCTCTGTAATGACATGGTCTGGTCTTAGCTTAACTCCTCCTCCTACCCGTGATCACTGAGATCGGTTGTCCCAGCGCATCCCCCTCTGTGGAACATACCCCAGCCATTTTGTTGGCTGGGACCCACTCCCCGGCAGCCCTGACCCTTCCCCTTAAGAACAAAATAAGACCTTAAAACAATAAAAACAAAAACAAGCAAACAAAATTCAGAAAACAAAAAGCAATACAAATGAAAAACTATAAAAATTACAAATCCATTAAAATCAAACAAATTCCCAACTAAACATCCATCCCACCCCCATCCCCGTCCCCACATATACAAAAAAATAAAAGGAAAAGGAAAAGGAAAATTTTAAAACATTTTAAAAGGAACTCTGCGCCCCACCGGATCCCCCTGGGCCGCAGCAGCAGTGACAGCAACCGTCCCTGTGAGTCCTGTCAGGCCCTGCCCTGGGCCAGATGGTGAGTGGCAGGAAGGAGCAGGGCCCTCGGACACTCACACAGGAGAGTCCTCCTGGGCAGCAGAACGCAGCAGTCCTTATGAGGCCTCAGGCCCCGCCCTGGGCCAGATGGTGAGTGGCAGGAAGGAGCAGGGCCCTCAGACACTCACACAGGAGAGTCCTCCTGGGCAGCAGAACGCAGCAGTCCTTATGAGGCCTCAGGCCCCGCCCTGGGCCAGATGGTGAGTGGCAGGAAGGAGCAGGGCCCTCAGACACTCACACAGGAGAGTCCTCCTGGGCAGCAGAACGCAGCAGTCCTTATGAGGCCTCAGGCCCCGCCCTGGGCCAGATGGTGAGTGGCAGGAAGGAGCAGGGCCCTCAGACACTCACACAGGAGAGTCCTCCTGGGCAGCAGAACGCAGCAGTCCTTATGAGGCCTCAGGCCCCGCCCTGGGCCAGATGGTGAGTGGCAGGAAGGAGCAGGGCCCTCAGACACTCACACAGGAGAGTCCTCCTGGGCAGCAGAACGCAGCAGTCCTTATGAGGCCTCAGGCCCCGCCCTGGGCCAGATGGTGAGTGGCAGGAAGGAGCAGGGCCCTCAGACACTCACACAGGAGAGTGAAAATAAGGGACCAGCAGCCTCGAAAATAAGGGATCAGCAGCCAAAATAAGGGATTTTCCAAGCGCAGGTATGTTCAGCTTCTGAGCCCCTCCGAGCTAAAGGCAGAAAGCCCAGCCAGCAGCCAAATGAAGCCTCAAGTGGTGGTTCCCACAGTGCAGCAACCCGGCAAAGGGGATGCAGCAAGGGAAACCACCGTCACCTCTCTGCTGGGAAGCGCTGAGCAAAGGCGAGTCCCCAGGCAACGCGGCTGATTTGATCGGCACAAGGCATGCAAGCTCCACCCCCCAGTCATTCTTAGACTCCTTATTGGGTGAACAACGTGGCCAAGCAACACAGTTGGAGCCTCCCTCCTCCCTGGCCGGCAGGGAGGGAGGGAGAGGAGCTGCTTCCTTTGAAACCTGGTAAATTTAAGGGACATCATCAATAAGGGACAGCAGCGGGACACAGCGCTGGGATAAGGGAGTTTCCCGCCAAATAAGGGACAGTTGACAGCTATGGCATCTTCCTCTCCCTAGTTGGAGGTGTGTGGAGAAAAGCAGTTGGGGGAAAGCAACAGGAAGAGGAAGGGTTAAGCACACCCCTCACACTATCACTTCTCCCTGCTAATTTCCTTTCACATCCCTTGATCTTTTTTTTTCTTGCTAAGATTGCTAATCATGCTGTTTCACCTTCATCGCAAGCTAGGATTTAATCACTGTTATTTTTAAACTAGCAGGTATTAACAACATACTAAACAAGCTCACAACACGTTAGAAAATGAACTGCAGGGCGATGCGTACCTGTAAAACGAAAGCTGACAGATTCTGGGAGGCCTAGAGGAAATTAAACACAAAAAGAGAACGTAATTGTTTTCAGCGTGTGGCAAAATACAATGTCACCTTACCTGACCTACAAAACCACTTCAGCTAGTGAGGCCACTGAGATTTGGTGGGGCGAGGTCCAGAAACAAACCCCCTCCATTTTGAAATAATGAGCATATTAAGAATTTGAGCCAATAGCCCCTTGGATTTCAGCTCATCTTGTAAATAAACAGCTCACTCCAAGTTGTTCTGCCTCCAGAAGCACTGAACATGTGAGGTCAATGGGAGAAGGCTCAAAAGTCCTACAGTAGGCGCTAAAACTCCAGAAAAAATTGTGGGAACTCTTACTACCTGCAGCGTTTGAGCCTAAGCCTTAAATATGCCTGTAAAGCACACATGCACCTCTCAAAGAACTGTAGTTTAGCCCTCACAAAGTACATTTCCAAGCATTCTTAGCAAACAGCTTTGCCCAGAATTATTTGAAGAGAAAATGTGCTTAAAATGCACGGTGTGTACGCCTCTCTTAGATCTAGCTGACCTGTGGCCCTCCATTTGTTGCTGGATTACAACTCTCATCAGCCCTGACTATCAGCCATGAGGGGTAGGTCTGATGGGAGTTGGAGTCCAATATCTGAAGGTCCACAGGCTAGCAACTCTTGAGCTAGCTCCGTGCCCTTCAACCTTAGGTTGAAGGTTAAACTGGCTGGGGAGGTCGGGAGTTGTAGCTTCACAACATCCGGGACCCTCTCAGGTCAAAGAACATGAATGCGGCAGAAATATTTTGAAGCATTTCATCTGAAGGCAAACCCAAGAGTGCTTTCGTTAAGAGTGTATTTAGCGTGGGTGACCTATTCAAGATCCTACATCTAGAAACGGTCAAGCCGTTTGTGTCTCTTAAACTGCCACATGGGCAAAGTATAGCCCCTGTAGCTTCAGTCTCAGGCATTTGCAGACAGAGAAGTAATAGTTGGACAAAAGAAACGGCTTCTATACCTGCTTATGGTGCTGCACTAGATAAAGGTAAAAAGTAAAGAACCCCTGGACAGTTAAGTCCAGTCAAAGGCAACTATGGGGTTGCAGCGCTCATCTTGCTTTCAGGCTGAGGGAGCCGGCATTTGTCCACAGACAGCTTTCTGGGTCATGAGGCCAGCAGGACTAAACTGCTACTGGCGCACAGAGGACCGTGGCGAGTGCCAGAGCGCACGGAAATGCCGTTTACTTTCCCGCCGCAGTGGTATCTATTTATCTACTTGCACTGGCATGCTTTCCAACTGCTAGGTTGGCAGGAGCTGGGGCAGAGCAACGGGAGCTCACCCTGTCGCAGGGATTCGAACCGCTGACCTTCCAATCAGCAAGCCCAAGAGGCTCAGTGGTTTAGACCACAGCGCCACCCGCATCCCGCTGCACTGGACAATTTATATGCCTGTTGATAACATGTTTCTAAAAATGGAAGCCAAACATTGCTGCTTTCTCCCAGAAAGTTCAGTTGGTTAGAGCATGGTGCTGATAACGCCAAGGTTGCAGGTTCGATCTGCGCATGGCAGAGCTGTATATTCCTGCATTGCAGGGGGGTGGACTAGGGGGTTGGTCCTCAGGGTCCCTTCCAACTCTACAATTTTGTAGAGTGCAACCTAAGACATCCAGCATTAGTAGAGACTAAGGTTGCTTCCAGATAAACTGTTTATTGAGCATTTCCTCTGATTTGCTACATGGAGCTTAGAGGACATTGCAGTGAGTGTAATCCCATACTTAATCATGAATTTTCCCTTCACTTTCCTTACTGCAAGAAGTCTGATTGCGATGGTGAGACGGGACTGTTACACAAGAGCAACTGGCTGTGCCTGTATCCCACCCAACTCTCATCCGTAAATAGCAATAGTCCAGAAGCACCCTAAGGCTACAATTCTACCTACCCCAATTTACGCTGTGGTCTAAACCACAGAGCCTAGGGCTTGCCCATCGGAAGGTTGGCGGTTCGAATCCCCGCGACGGGGTGAGCTCCCATTGTTCGGTCCCTGCTCCTGCCAACTAGCAGTTCAAAAGCACATCAAAAGTGCTAGTAGATAAACAGGTACCGCTCCGGCAGGAAGGTAAACGGCGTTTTCGTGCACTGCTCTGTTTTCGCCAGAAGCAGCTTAGTCATGCTGGCCACATGACCCAGAAGCTGTCTGCGGACAAACGCTGTCTTCCTCGGTCAGTAAAGCGAGATGAGCGCTGCAACCCCAGAGTCGTTCATGACTGAACTTAACTGTCAGGGGTCCCTTTACCTTTACCTAAGCCCCATTTAGTTCAACAGGAGTAGACACAATTAGGACTGCAACCTTATTCAATCAAGGCTGCAATCCCTATATTGAAAATAAGTCTAGATATAGATGCTATGGATATAATTCCAAGCCGTTTTTTTGTCCTCTTCCTACCAGTTCTTGCAGATTGAAATCTCTGCTCGTGATTCTGTAACATTTTGGTTATTGCTACAGATTTACAAGGCAAAAATCTCTTTCTCTTGCTGTATGTACTACCAGGGTTCCCACGAGGGACCTCTTCGAAAGTGAAACATTTTTGGCCATGGACTGCAAAGCTCCAAACCATTCTGGGATTGGAATAGGCCTTCTAAATGAACATTCATTTATACTTGTCATTTGCCTCTTCCATGGGACCAGTAAGAACAATTTAAAAGCACATTTTAAAGAAACGAGATATTTAAAAAACTGTAACAACATAATAAATCCACTCATGGCCAGCTTAAGTATGGGAACCAAATCCCAAAGTAAAAAAAAAATAAAATGCGGGGAAAAATGCTCAGATGTGTGCTATTGTACCGTTTCAATTCTAGACGTGTGCTGTTGAACAGCATCCATTCGTTGTAACTGGGGCTTGAGCAGAAGAACTTGCTAGTGAATGGTAAAGGTAAAGGGACCCCTGACCATTAGGTCCAGTTGTGGCCGACTCTGGGGTTGCGGCGCTCATCTCGCTTTATTGGCTGAGGGAGCCGGCGTACAGCTTCCGGGTCATGTGGCCAGCATGACTAAGCCGCTTCTGGCGAACCAGAGCAGCGCACGGAAACACTGTTTACCTTCCCACTGGAGTGGTACCTATTTATCTACTTGCACTTTGACATGCTTTTGAACTGCTAGGTGGGCAGGAGCAGGGACCAAGCAACGGGAGCTCACCCCGTTGCGGGGATTCGAACAGCCGACCTTCTGATCAGCAAGTCCTAGGCTCTGTGGTTTAACCCAGAGCGCCGTACCCCACCTAGAATCATACAATCACAGAATTGTAGAGTTGGAAGGGACACCCACGGTCATCTAGTCCAACCCTCTGCAATGCAGGAATCTTTTTGCCCAATTTGGGGCTTGAACCCACGACCCTGAGACCCATGAGACCCTGAGACCCACGAGCCTCATGCTCTACCAATTGACCAGTCATCTGATCACAGCCTTCCCCACTATGGTGAGATGTCTTGTATTCCCATTTGAAATATAGTGGTTACTTCTAAATTTGCATGTATATGCAAATTTTATGCAGATCCGTGCTTTCTCTTTTGACCACACCAAGCCTCATTTTTTCCCTATCCGTAAACGGGCATTTTCTCATTTCGGGCCCATTGGGAGAATTGGGTTGTTTGTTTGCTTTGTACTTTCAAAAATGGCAGCTGTTTGCATTGTAATATACCCCCGAGATCTATGTCTCGATGTCCTGCGCTACAAATTATTTGACAGTGTGCCAGGGAGTTTCATGAACTGATAATTTTATGTCCTGGTAAAATCCAATGATTTAGTAATATAATTGCTTTTAGATTTCATTGCCTTGGAACACGCAGTCCAACAAATGAGAGACTGTATATATCATCAGAACTGCCACATATCATTTGGAAAGGCATTATAACGAGCTGATCGCATTGCGGATGGGAAGGATGCTGTTCTAACAAAATGGAACGAACGTTCGGGACAAGAGGTGCCCATGGTTAATATAATTCCCTTTGAAAATGGAGTTTCTCATGCAAAGAACATCAGTACAAGCTCCACAACCCAGTGTGGACTTCCCTGGGTTGTGGAGCTTGTGGAGCTTCCCCCAATCCCTATCACAAAGGAAAATTCACAACATGTATCTACCGTATTTTTTGCTCTATAAGACGCGCCAGACCACAAGACGCACCTAGCTTTTGTAGGAGGAAAACAAGAAAAAAAATTCTGAATCTCAGAAGCCAGAACAGCAAGAGAGATCACTGCGCAGTGAAAGCAGCAATCCCTCTTGCTGTTCTGGCTTCTGGGATAGCTTCGCAGCCTGCATTCGCTCCATAAGATGCACACACATTTCCCCTTACTTTTTAGAAGGGAAAAAGTGAGTCTTATAGAGCAAAAAATACGGTATATATTTTTCCTTATCAGAATTTTGTGAAAGGAGCAGCTATAGAAAGAGAGATTTGTGCAAGATTTTGCGTAAGAGACTTTGATGCCGAGCAGGTCTTTGAGCCTGCATAAACCCCATATTCAACCCATATTCTGGTTCTCTTAGGGAAGCCATCCCAAATCTGATGCCTCTGAGATACTTTGGATTACAATTCCCATCAGCCCCAGACAGCACGGCCAATGATGGGAGTTGTAGTCCAAATGATCTTAAAGGCACCAGTTTGGAAACGACTGGCCTGGGGCCTAACTGAATGTTACATGGGGGGAAATGGAATTACCATAATCCCAATAAAAGCTGCTTCAGGAGAGTACGGTTTGGAAGGGGGCAGTCGCAGTTTGTACCTTTTCCTGCTCCAAATCACTCATCCCAAAGCTGCTTCCACCCAACCCATAGGGTGCCAAACACATTTGCAAAGGTAAACAGCCTGTTGAAACACATGGAAAGAGTGATTTTGGAGAGGTAACAGGTAGGGAGAGGCCAGCTTCTCTGCTCCAATTTGCAATCTCAAATCTCTCAACCTCTCTTTTTTAAAAGCAGCCTGGGCTTTGACGTGTATCAGCTGTACAGGGAGGACTATACCACTTTAGGCTGTAAGTGTGGACTACATGCTTAAATGCGCTGCAGTGCTGTCATATGGAAAGCTAGCATGCCAAGAACAAGGATTTCTCTTTTCTCACCTTAGCATGTTGAAGCCCTGGCCTATACTGCAAGCTATGACACTGAATGATGACTACGGGAACGTGCAATGTGGAGATCCCCCAAGCAGATATCTGCCTGCCCGTGCTACCCAATTCAACCAGCTTCTTACCAGCAAAGGAGAATTCCATCAGCTCTCTGATATGAGGGGCTGCAGTAGGTGGGCGGTACACGATTTTGCCATGGTTGATGTCAGCCTGTGTAAAGTACTTTACTGGGGACAGAGGCTTATCCCTGTGCTCCACAATGCCTGCAGAGAGAGGGAGAGTTTCGTTTTCAACACACATTTCTACAGACACACTGTATTTTTCGCCCCATAAGACGCACCAGACCACAAGACGCACCTAGTTTTTGGAGGAGCAAAACAAGAAAAAAAATATTCTGAATCCCAGAAGCCAGAACAGCAAGAGGGATCGCTGCGCAGTGAAAGCAGCAATCCCTCTTGCTGTTCTGGCTTCTGTGATAGCTGCGCAGCCTGCATTCGCTCCATAACACACACACACATTTCCCCTTACTTTTTAGGAGGGAAAAAGTGAGTCTTATAGAGGAAAAATAAGGTTCCTTGTTACTGTATCTCATCCAATGACCACCCAATTAATTGTCAGTTTGTATGAGACTTGAACCAGGAACTCTCTGGTCTGCACACTGCCACATCTAGTGATGAATACAGATGTCACCGATATCAGTTCTTCTGAGTTTGTAAATATACGCCAGGAGCTTGTAATTGTAACTCAACTACAAGGGGAATAGTACATTCCATGAGTTCTTCTCCAGCTCAGATTTTAACCTCACACAAAGAAGAACTGCACTTCCCACTCTCTCCCATCTCCCCTGCCAATCCCTAACATCCAATATCTCTTGGGAAAACTCCATTTCCCAGGTCTACTTGGGCCTGATGTGTTTATGGAGCGGTGTGAAAACCTCCCTCTCTAATAAGACTGAAGAGAGCCTAATGGGCATCTCTGCAGTTCCTAAGAGAACAAAATATTTTCCTAACCTCAACCTTGACTTGAGAAGGGCTGACTCATCACGGGGGTCCAAGCTTTCACTATGCCAGCTCTCCAGCTCAATAAATCTACTTCCGTAAACTCCACAGGAGACATAATTCACATTAGGCCTTTTGTCACTCCTCGTAACACTTCTGCCGCTCTCTGCACACAACCCACCCCCTTTGCTTGACACTTCCTTGTTGTTTATACAGCAGTCACTGCAGCCGGGGCAGGCTGCTCATCCCTGGCGCCTTGCCAGGAGTCATTTCCGAAATGCCAAGACCGTGTCCTGCAGAGTCTCCAGCCTTGCACAATTCTTCCGAAGCATCATGCCAGGTGCCAGAAGGGTGGGCCTTGATTCAGATTGGCTCTGCTTAACCATAACACATTTTACAGAAAAATAACTCTGCTTAATCTAAGCCAATCTGATTCAAGTCTAGGAATTTCACCATAAATAAAGGTAAAGGGACCCCTGGCCATTAGGTCTAGCCGGGCTGACTCTGGGTTGCGGCGCTCATCTCGCTTTAGTGGCCGAGGGAGCCGGCGTACAGCTAAGCCATTTCCGGCGAACCAGAGCAGTGCACGGAAACGCCGTTTACCTTTCCGCCAGAGTGGCACCTATTTATCTACTTGCACTTTGATGTGCTGTCGAACTGCTAGGTTGGCAGGAGCAGGGACCAAGTAACGGGAGCTCACCCCGTCGTGGGGATTCGAACCGCCAACCTTCTGATCGGCAAGTCCTAGGCTCTGTGGTTGAACCCACAGCGCCACCCGCGTCCCATAAATAGTGGGTTGCAAAAACAGAGGAAAAGAAGCAATAGTCTCATCCTTAGGCTTCACCTGAAGACAGCTCTCTTGTCTTCCCTGAGCTGGCTTAGCTATAAACATTATTCTAGGCAAGCCCTGATTCATTGCTTCTATCCCCCACAATCCATCCCCTCCTTGATGCTTTTTTTTGCCAGTTTCCAGGTCTGAACTGTCAATAGAATAACACAACATCTCCTTTACTAGGTTATCTTGCCTTGATTTGGTGGCAAAGGTACAGTCACATTGTACACGACTTTCTCAGTTGGGCTCTCTGAGTTGACAAAGGAGAGATGATGGGGTTCTATCGGGGTCACACGATCTTCCAGAGCCTGAAAGAAATTAAGAAGTGACAAGCTGAGACCAAGATGCTTCGGAGAGTTACCTCCCAAAAAACACACACCCCATAATGGACAAATTAAGGGAGCAGCTGATATACGACAGAGATAGGGAGTTATATGTCAGTGTTGGGATTGAGTAACTTGAGTGACTTCAAAACAGAAACCTCATCTATCTGAATGCATGATGAAGCTAGAATTCTGCCAAACTTCACTTGACCTCCCTATGTAAGTTATTTAAAGCTGTTTCGACATGGCACTGAGCACCTTCCTTCCTGCAGCCAATCTATTCAGAAAGAATTTAGGAAAGCATCACACAGACTGGATCATGATGATGCAGGAAACCATTTTATGAAGGATAGATTGAAAAGCACGGTCCCTCTGCGCGTGGGCACACACACACACACTGCCAGAGAGCAGGGAGAATCCCATCAGTAAAGCATAATATGTCATTAAATCCTCAAATTCCATAGCAAGCAATTTGCCATAAAACCCCAGAAATGTTCTGAACAACCAATACCGCTATCATTATTTTTTTGCTTTATAAAAGGATCAAAGTCAAGTCACCATAGCATGGCGCAAATAGTCATTCCCACACAGCTGAAAGCTGAGCTGGACAAAATGCTTTTATCTTCAGCTCTTGAAGAGGAACTTCAGATGAGTGACTCGGTGTCAGGGACTGGACTGAGGAGGAATGGTGGGAGTCACACACACACACCCTTTTCCTGAACCTTCCCAAGGGCAGGACAGTACTGATTTAGAACAGTGGTTTGCAGAGGGGCATAGTCCAGAGGGGAAACGCTGGGAAATACTGGGTGAGGAACAGCCAGAAGAGGAAACACCAGGAGAGGGACAGCTGGCAGATTTGGTGTCCTTGGACAGCATTCCTGACCCTCCTTCGCCCAAGACTAGATGGGCTTTGAGAGTGATAGAAAGCTACTTTTGACCTTCGGAGGAGGTGGAGTTGCGGGCTTCACGGCCCCAGTCCTGCGCGATTGGGGGGATTCCCAGCCGTGTCACCTCCTGGCCAGCTAATTGGCTGGCTCTGGGGGTGTGGCCTGCCTTATTTAAAGCAGGATGTTGCTGGGGATCTCCCTCTTTGCCACTTATCAGCTGTTCCTGCTTTTCCCACCCTCCCGCTGAATAAGGTTTTCATTCGTTGACCTTGCTATGGACCTTGGTTGGTCACCGTTGAGGGGCCTGGTAGGAATTTTTCCACTTGGCAAATTGGCACCAGCCACTTGGTTTTCACCTACCTCGTAGCAAATCCTCACAACTTTCTGAGTATTGGCGGTTAGGCATTGGTATGGCTCTCTAGATGGAAGAGGGGAGGTTACGCGATCTAACAGTGCAGTCTTATGAATATATCTACTCAGAAGCCCCCTGGAGTTCAATGGTGACCAGATACCGGATTGCAGCTTTAGTTGCAGAATATTCTTTACCAATGGATTAAAAAAAACCCCAGGAAATACAGAGGAGCAACTTCTTTTCACTGTTTATTGCCTTGGGTTGGACTTACGGTCATGTGGAAAGAAGAGCCCAGGGAGATCATGGGGGACTCTGGAGTGTGAGGCAGGATGGCAATGTTGAGCAAGTGCGTCTCCAGATGAGCTTGTGGGGCGACAGCACTAGAGACCTGCAAATGTGGCATCACAGAAATGAATGAGGATTTTTTTACACATCATAACAAACCGGTGCAGCAGCTGCCTTCTAAGGTTTATTGCGTAATCTGCGCATCTCCAAAAATTGCCTTTTAAAAAAAACACCTCTGCCTAGTTTCCTATAGGCTAAACACTCATTCTGTGCAGGAAGAACATACAAATAAATCAATTCATAGTCTTTTCTCAACCAACACCGCTGTTGTGTTGTGTTGTTGCACTCTTCAGAAGATTATTAGGGGTCCCTTGATGACATCAATTACAGTCACACCTCAGGTTTAATGTGCTTCACGTTGAGTGTTTTCAGGTTACGCTCCGCGGCGACCAGGAAGTAACGGAGTGTGTTACTTCCGGGTTTCACCGCTCCCTCATGCGCAGACGCTCAAAATGACGTCACGTGCATGTGCGGAAGCGGCGAATTGAGACCCGCGCACGCACAGACGTGGGTTGTGTTCGCTTCAGGATGCGAACTGGGACTCCGGAACGGATCCCGTTCACATCCAGAGGTACCACTGTATGAACTTCCCTGCGAGTCAGCTTACCAATTTTCTTCTGCAAAGCACATCAAAAGGGGAGCATTGGGATGCTCCAGGACATACTCTCCATTCATGTAAGGCAACCATGAGGTCCCAAAGGCTAGGCCAGAGTGCCATTCATGAACTGAGGATGCACCTGAGAATGCGCCACAGAATGGCGGACATGCATTCTGGAAAGCAGGAATCCCATGGAAGACAAGAAGTTGATGTGCAAACTATGCTCTGAATTCAGAAAGATTGAGAACCACTGAGAAGCAAAATAATAATAATAATAATAATAATAATAATAATAATAATGCAGCTCAGAATTTCCAACTGTATTCCCTTGAGCAAGAGAATGGACTCAGAATGTTGCAGCATGGAATGTCTGTGGGGACATGGAGAATTTCCCTCTTGCGGATGGGAACAGAGAGCCCATGTATTCTGCTCAGTTTTCTGGACTGCAGCCAAATGTTTTATCAACGGAACCATGGGAAACGGCAACATAAAAAAAAAATTCCAACAAGTAAATAATAAATCCATAAATTGACTTGTGGGATCCGTTTTTATTAGAGGTCACTGGAAGCGCAGTTCCCTGAGCGCTAACAAAAAAAAAATTCATCTGCATTTCCTCCGCAGCGCCAACCCCATTCATCAGGAAGCCGGCAGATGGATTATTGTTTTGTGGTAGGATAGAACTAGATGTGGCTTCTCTCCCCTGGCACAATTTACCGTACAATTATGGCCCCAGCAGCAAGGTGCTACAGCAAGGAAAACAGCACCCCTCAGTCATGCAAAATGCATGCAAGTTAACAGCAACACAGCCATTAAATTAAAGATTAGCTTGTTCAACATCCGGCACTTCAACACTTCCTCATTATCACTTATGTTAATTACCTCAGAAATTACTTTAATTGCCTCCCGAGTGCTACCGTAACTGCTTCTATGCGGTGAGGCAAACGTACAAAACACGGCACACAAGCGTTCGAGTTAGCTTAGCCTTTCAGGAGAGTGTTAAACCTAATGAGAGGGGCCTTGTTGAGAAACACAACTTGGCATTTTTTTTAAAAAAAATAACAACCGTATCTTGGGAAAGAGGCCTGATAGTAACACAGTTCTATGCCTGCAGGGACTAGGGCTGGGCGATATATCAATATAACATCCAAATCCATATCGTGATATCGGTTTCATAATTTTTGACCTGGCAATATATCGTGAATATCATGATGTGTGTGTGTATGTGTGCTATGTAAAAAGCACAATGTGGGGAAAACCGTGAAGCCAGCCAACACCTCTGCGTAGCTCCATCCTTATTTCAAACATTGTGATATATCAGTATATGCAGGGGTAGGCAACCTAAAGCCCAGGGGCTGGATGTGGCCCAATCGCCTTCTCAATCCAGCCCACAGACGGTCCAGGAATCAGTGTGTTTTTACATGAGTAGAATGTATGCTTTTATTTAAAATGCATCTCTGGGTTATTTGTGGGGCATAGGAATCCATTCATTCTTTTTTCAAAATATAGTCCGGCCCACCATGTGGTCTGAGGGACGGTGGACTGACCCACGACTGAAAAAGGTTGCTGACTCCTGAGTATATGGCAAGGTTCAGTTGGTGATGCACCACAGTGCTGAAAACCAGATATCGCCCAGCCCTAGCAGGGACCTTTGCCAACAGCTATGAGGAATCTGACAAGTGCAACTGATGCCGTGGCTGGCAAGCGGTCAGGAAAGCAGTTCTGTGAGGGATTAAATAAGCAAGGAGTTTGGTGACGCATAACATGCCTGGAAGCGAAAGGAGTCGCTCTCCGTCTCGGATCCAGAGTGCCTGTACCAGATCACGCCTTCGTTGATGTCTCGCTGTGTGAACGAGGTGGTTGGTGTGGCTCCTCTTCCGTCAGGCAGAGGCTGCCATACTGGCCCGGGGTCATCTGCCGGCATCGGGACCAGGAACACCACCTCACCTGAGGAAGGGGATATAAAGAGGGACATGGCCTTTCTGTTAGATTTCTGTTATGCCACTGTGCAGTTTTTGGAGTCACAAGACTCTGTTTACATTCCAGACAGTTGGAAGTCTCACGGGATGTTACTGGTTTCCTGTTTCTTTGTTCCAGTTGTTCTCTGACTGGTTTCCTGTTTCTTTGTTCCAGTTGTTCTCTGACTCTCACAGAGAGCAGATGCATATTCTTTTCTGTCCTGCGTACTGTGGTACCTCAGGTTAAGTACTTAATTCGTTCCGGAGGTCCGTTCTTAACCTGAAACTGTTCTTAACCTGAAGCACCACTTTAGATAATGGGGCCTCCTGCTGCCGCCGCGCCGCCGGAGTGCGATTTCTGTTCTCACCCTGAAGCAAAGTTCTTAACCCGAGGTACTATTTCTGGGTTAGCGGAGTCTGTAACCTGAAGCATATGTAACCTGAAGCGTATGTAACCCGAGGTACCATTGTAGTTAGAAATAAACATAGCAATGTAGCACATATTTCCAGCTCCTTCTGCTGTCTGCGTAAAGAGGAACGTGCCTGAAGCCTCATTAAAGGCTTAGGTCGTTAATCACCATCAGAGGAAGAGAGCCTGATGGATTCTGGCATCGGGACCAGGAACACCACTTCGCCTAAGGAAGGAGAGATGAAGAGGGAGATGGCCTTTCAAGTGGCGATTGTCAGCAATGACCAGGACGCTAACGCAGAACCCGCAGCTTTTTGCTAAAGGTTGGAGGTATATGGTGGTACCAGCGTTGCAGTCTTTTGAGCACCAGGCAGGAGCATTTTTATTTGCCATAGCATTTTGTGTGGTTGCCGTTGTCGACAAAGAAGAAAAAAAGAATGCAGAACTATACTGATACAAAATCTTACACTACTTGTTCTTCTCCCATTGAAAAGTTAGTTCTGCTTATTTTAACAGATGAAAAGGAATTAAAAAGCACAACGTTATCATAGCTCAGTTGGTAGAGCATGAGATTCTTAATCTCAGGGTTGTGGGTCTGAGCTGGACTAGATGACCCTGGGGATCCCTTCCAATTCTGTGTGCACTCTATATATTCCCCTCATTCTAAAGCCTGGTGTATAATGCTCATCTTTCTATACATTTCTTTGTTTTCTAACAAGTCAGTTTAGCTAACCGCTCCAGCATTTTAAGGAGTTTTTGTTGCCTCTCTGTCTACTTTTAAGTTTTTGCACTATTTCTTATTGCCTCTCGGTCTGCAAACGGCTATGATTGCAATGGGTTTTTGTGTTTCATCTGAATAATTTTTTTATGTTCACAACCCTGGAATCCATTGAATGGAAGGGGGAGTTTAGAAATATTTCAAACAACCGAGAAAAGGAGAAAAGCGCCCGCAGGACATGTTCACGCCTTGCTGGATTTCAAGGCCTGCCTTGCAAGGAACGCCGGCTGAAACATCCTACATTAATCCTTTGTAACATGCACATCTAACAAATATACTGATCTCTACAAAAACACCAGATGTTACTTATGCTCTCTCTTCCAATGAAAGAGGACTTTTCGAAGGCAGTCCCAGGGAAGCGAGACGATAGTTAAGCAAATCCAAGGGCAGCTTCAGACAATGCAGATGAGCAGTAGCAACTGAATAGGCAATAATTGCAAGTCCCACACATTTGAATATGGGAGGTGGGGGGGAAATCGGACACCAAAAGGGCGACCAACTTCAGGCTCTGTTGGCGGGCTTCCCAGAAGCAGCTAACCCAACTGGCCAGTGTAGGAAACAGGACAGGGGAAAAAAGGTAAACCTTTTCATTTGATCCCGCAGAGCTCCTCTTACATTCTTGTCATTGCGGGATAGAGATGCAAAACATCTCCTGCTCATGATGTGGGAAAACATGACCAGCCAAAGGCATAAAGGAAGGTGCATTCGCTCTGCAATTCTTCCCCACAAGGTTGTGGAGCAGCCTGGTTACCTGGCTGAGAGTTGGATTTAACAAAATAAAAAAAAATCCGGTACCTATTTATCTACTTGCACTTTGACATGCTTTTGAACTGCTAGGTTGGCAGGAGCAGGGACCGAGCAACGGGAGCTCACCCCGTCGCGGGGATTTGAACCGCCGACCTTCTGATCGGCAAGTCCTAGGCTCTGTGGTTTAACCCACAGCGCCACCTGCGCTTTCTCCTCAGCTGGCTCGGACCTCAGGAAGCAGAACCGACCTCTCAGACACTCCTGCTGAGGCTGTTCCATTTTGTATCTATGAGGCCAGAGAGGGCACAGCAACACCGGAAGCTTTGTAAAACCTGCACTCCTCCAGCATTATTACAGACGTTGGAACAACTCTCAACAGAAATCCTATCACGCTGACAATAATATTGGGATTCAATATTAGCGCCGCTGCCTGCAGCTGTCCTCTGGGTTGCTGATGGGACGCAGCCACTGAGGCCTGTAATCTATTTTGACACCGGAGTTACAGATTCCATTACGCTGACAGTTTGGAGGCCGCTGTCTCGCGGCCCGTGTTTGTGCTCCTGACAGATCGAGTCCCATCGGGGCTTCCGCGATGTCTATTTAATATCTAACTGCTGAATTATTTAAAATGCATACATCTCAATTAAATAAACCCACACACCAAGCCAATCTGGCATGTAATTGATACTTCCTCTGTCCTTTGTGAAATCCCACTGCGGTAGCTAAATTTAGCTCGAATCATTGCCGGGGATGTGGGAGGGACATTGACCGATAGTAATAATGATGATCTCTCTCTTTCTCTATTGTAAGACTTGGGGGAGTTGGCAAAGAGAAGCTTACTGGAGCCAGAAGTGTTGTTGGTTGGCTTAATGGTCGTCGTGTAGTGGGCAAATATCTCCCTTGTTAGATAAATAACACAAAACGACTAGGAAAGAGTTATAGGAAATAGAAGGCTCCACTGAAAGGGCTGTAGCTCAGAAAAAGAGCTCACGTTTTCCATGTGGACCGTATCAAGGTTCAGTCCCCAGCTTCCCCAAATAGATCATGGAAAAACTTTAAGTTTAAAGGTTTTTCCACGCCCTACCAGAGAGGAATGGCAGATCAAGTTGTTGGATTATGCTGAAATGGCTAAAATGACCGGAAGAATCAGAAATCAGGAAGACCAAAATTTTAATAAGGAATGGGGAGAATTTATAATTCATCTTAAAAACCACTGTAAACAGTTAAAATTGTTAGCAGGATTGGAATAACACTTGTAGTTAAATGGTAGATTTTGGACACAATGGAGAGGTAAAAGATTTGGATTATTATAAAAGATGCAGGAGGAAATGATTAGCAATAGGACCCACAAAGGGGAGGAGGGAAGTCCAGGAGATATTCTGGAATCTTGTTTCTACCTTTATCTGAAATTCTGGAGAGCCACTTCCATGGTTAAGACCAGAGATGGGCAACCTTTTTGGTCCTGTGAGTTACCTGCCATGCTTTTTAGAAAAAGCATGCCCTTGCTATCTGTCTGTCTGACTGTCTGTCACTCATACATGGGAATGTTTCTCCTAAGATGGTACCTTGCTGCCATATTTGGCATAAAAACAAGTGGCTGGTGTTAAGGTTTGCTCAGAGTAGATCTATTGGGTCTAAAACTGGTTACACAGCCCAGCATTCGAATTTCTTTTTTTTTTTAATAATTTTTATTGCGTTTTTTCAGACATAGACAGAAGAAAAAGAAAAAAGAAAGGAAAGACAAAAAAAAAGATAAAAAGAGTCATAACCCTTCAACAACTTATTTCAACTTTCTATCGAACTTCCCCGCATCTCCCGCACAATGCATTCTTAACAATAAATTTATCAGCAAATTATAACCTTGTTTCATGTGTTTCTTTTGTACTTTCAATTACAGTTTAAGTTTAAATCCCTTATTGTCCATTTACTCTGAAAACAAAGCATATTATCGTTTTTAACATTTAAACTTTGATTCTTTCAATAATGTTATCCAATTTCATAAATGTTACACTCTCATTGCTGGGGCTAGCATTTCAAATTATGCGTCATTTTATAGTTCATATAACTTATAAAATTTTTGCAGATAGTTCTTAAATTTTTTCCAGTCCTCCTCCATTGCTTCTTCTCCCAGGTCTCGGATTCTGGCAGTCATTTCGGCCAACCCCAGCATTCGAATTTCTACAGCATCATGAAGTCTTCAGGTTGAGCCAACTGCTTTCTCTCTCTCAGCTGAGCCTAACTCACAGGGTTGTTGTGAGGTTAAAGTAAAGATAAAGGTACCCCTGATCGTTAGGTCCAGTCGCAGATGACTCTGGGGTTGCGGCACTCATCTCGCTCTATAGGCCGAGGGAGCCGGCATTTGTCCACAGACAGCTTCCGGGTCATGCGGCCAGCATGACTAAGCTGCTTCTGGCGAACCAGAGCAGCACATGGAAATGCCATTTACCTTCCCGCTGGAGTGGTATCTATTTATCTACTTGCACTTTGACGTGCTTTCAAACTGCTAGGTGGGCAGGAGCTGGGACCGAGCAGTGGGAGCCCACCCCGTTGCAGAGATTCGAACCGCCGACCTTCCGACTGGCAAGCCCTAGGCTCTGTGGTTTAGACCACAGTGCCACATGCGCCACTCTCAGCTGAGCCAACAGGATTGTTGTGAGGTTAAAGTAGCCCACATCAAAGCACACCATCCCAAGCTCTGTTGAGAAGAGGTGGGGATACCAATGTAAACTTCAGCAAACCATCTTCTGCTTCACATCTAATTTAAATGTGCCATTTCTAGAGACCTCCCAACATGCAGGGAAAAGGGGGCATCTGGGGGATGTCTATAGGCCACACATTATTTTTTAAAAAAATCTGCTTTCTGTGCTTCCCTAAAGTTTATTTATTTAAGTCCTAAAAAGAATGTATCACAGGAAAAAAGAAAAACCTAAGTATTTCTGATAACTTCCAAGTTCAGGTGTTTTCATCTACTTACTCCTGTCCTGAAGCAATAGCTTCCCTTGTTTGTGTCATCAATTAGTTGTCGAGGAGATAATTGGGACGATACAAGGAGAGGAATTATAACTTCAGAAAGAGAACAGGCTCTGGGAAAATAAGAACCCCTGAGGATAAGATTGCTGTCTTTTACAATAATGCTTCTCGTTCATACTAATTAGCAGAGAGACCCCATCAACAGCATAAGGCCTCTGCTAAAGTCACTTCAACTGCGGTGGTTTTATACGTGAGCTTTCTCTCTGCCAGCCGTTGCTTTAAACAGCATCTGGTTTGTTATACACACACACACACACACACACACATATATATATATACAGCAAGAAAACTGTCAGGATAAACTGGCTCCATAAGCAGACATGGAACTGTTTCCTGGATTTTGGGTTTTTAACTGAGAAACCTAAGGCAGAGGTGAGGAAATCTGCAGGAATATCAAAGGAATCTTCAGTGGTTAGTGAAAATTCCCAGGCACCTCCTGCAGACCTCTGCGCTGCCACCTAATTTTATCTAAAACAAATTTCAAGGCAAATGTTCTGCTCAAGCAAGGTGGCCCTGGAAATTTCAGGAAGAGGGAAGGTTTTCTGTAAGGTTCGCTAGATTCTTCAGGGCAGTTTCATACACCCGCTGCTTACCGTATCGTGGCTGATCTCTAATGGTGTAGACGATCGCGGAATCGCTGACCCCTGGCACCTCAGCTTGCAGAATTCTGTTGGTGATTTGCAGCATCCCTCCCTCCGGGACCCACACCATCGAGCTGGCAACTAATCGCGGCAGCCCATTGCTCTGCAAAGAGGACAGAAAGCGACCACAGTCATTAAATGCTGACCAAGAGGAAACACATTTCGAAGACATGAATAAGGCTGACCATCTTAGGTGGTATTACAGTCATACCTCGGGTTACAGCCGCTTCAGGTTGCATTTTTTCGGGTTGCGGACCACCAAAACCCAGAAGTACCAGAACGGGTTACTTCCGGGTTTTGGTGGTCACGCATGCGCAGAAGCACCGAATCGCAACGGGTTGCGAATGCTGCGGGTTGTGAACGTGCATCCCGCATGGATCACGTTCACAACCCGAGTGTCCACTATATTAGAAGTTTAACTGAAAACCTGAAGCAGCCACCACTTACTTTTTTCTCAGGGATGCGGAACCCTTTCTCAATCCAAGGGCCACATTCCCTTCCAGGGGCCAGAAAAGTGGGTGGGGCAACAGATGTAAATTTTTCCTTTGTAAAATAGGCTGAGTCCTACATACACTCTCACACATCTGTGTATCCTCCTCCCAGACAAGCAAGGGCTAGGATCAGAGTTCAATGACGTATTCCATCCAAGTAAAAATGTTTCGGGTGCGAAGCAGAACCACTGAGGGGTGTGGCTTAGAGAGAGGGGGTGTGGCCAAGTGTCCTTAGGGCCAGACAGAGATGGAGGGCCATGTTCAGCTCCCTGAGCCTTAGGTTCCTCACCCCTGCAGGAAGGCGTCAGGAGACTTGATTCAGGGAGACCAGGGATTTGGGGAAAGAGCACAACCACCTTAAATATTGAGGAACAATCTTAGTAGGAACATCTCAGGGGTCTCTGGCAGTGGGATGGGGGCCCCAGTGTGCTCATTAAAATTGGGAAGGTAAGTACTAGCTAAAGGCTGCTGCTGTTTGATATATTTTTTTAAAGCTCTTGTTTTAAAATTTTTCAAAATGTTATATGTTAGTTTAGATTTTTGTATTTGCATTTGTGGGGTTAGGGGCTTTTGTTGGGGGTGTATTTTTATTAGTTTGTATACATTAGTTTTGTTAACTGTCTTGTTTTTATAATGTATTTTGTGCTTTTATGTCGTGACTTTGTGTTGTGAACCGCCCTGAGACAGAGGGCTGTATATATATATTAATAATAAAAAATATTAATAAATTAACAATAACTTTATAGTAATGAAATAAAATGTAATAATAATAATGTTAAGCAGAACATTAAAAAAAATCTTTTGCTGCAGAATCCACTGCACTTAAGAGAAGCTTAGTAGCAGGCATTTCATAGAGAGTGGACCTCTTGAAAAGGTGAAGAAGATTATCAGAATTATTACATCAAGGGAGAAACTAGAGAGTCTGGATGTGCTTTGAAGTCCTGTAAGCATGTAGGATCAAAAAACTGCTTTGCTTAAGCATCAAGGAATACTCTTAAGTATATACGTATTTTTAAAATTTCAAGGAGTTTCTAGATTGAATCCGCCTTATATTCACTTCAACTATATGTGGAAGCAGTCCTGAGGGCCAGGAAGAGAGGTTTGGAGGGCCAACTTGGGCCTGAGGGTCCCCACATACAACTGTAGGCGTAAAGGGCTCTCTCCTCAGTCATGTACATTGCCATTGCTCCCCTCCACAAATCCACAAATCTAAAAGGGGCTGGAATTTCATCAGTGGAATGCTGGAGAGTTTGCTTTTATTCCTCCTAAATGGACAAAAAGAAGAATTCGTCCCCCCTCCCACCCTTATCTAATCATTTCTCCACTCATTTTTGAGACAACATTCCTTCTTGGCAGACTTTGATGCTTTAATCCAACAAATAAATAATAGTGAAGGAGGTTGTTGTTGTTGTTATTATTATTATTATTATTATTACTGTTCATTTCATTTCTATACTGCTTTCTGTTTTTAAGAATGGAATCCCAAAGCAATTTACAATACATTAAAACATCAATTAAAACAATCCAGAATAAAAAATTGCTGAAGTCAAACATAAAATATAAATTAACTGGAAACTAAAATAGTATCTTTAAGATTTCAAAATAAAACGTTACAAAGGAGGTCAACTATAGAATGCACATTTAACGCAGCAAACTTAACAACAACAATTATCCCAAATGCTTCAAAAGAAAAGGAAGTCAAATGTAAAATGCACATTTTAAACAGCACAATTAACAAGAGAACAAACTATTATCATAAGCATAGAACAGATCTGCTGCTGCCAAAGCTGCCAACCCTCCAAACTTATTACTTTTGATTCACCAGTTCTAAGCCAGCTTTGTAAAAAATCTGGCAGGATTTGGTGTTGGCAATTTACAATTGAAGTATCTGAACTCAGCACCAAAATAACCAAAATCCTGCACCGAGAAAATTGGTGTTCTCTAACACTCTATAACCATAAAGAAGGCCGAAGAATTGATGCTTTTGAATTATGGTGCTGGAGGAGACTCTTGAGAGTCCCATGGACTGCAAGAAGAACAAACTGATCCATTCTTAAGGAAATCAGCCCTGAGTGCTCACTGGAAGGACAGATCCTGAAGCTGAGGCTCCAATACTTTGGCCACCTCATGAGAAGAGAAGACTCCTTGGAAAAGACCCTGATGTTGGGAAAGATGTAGGGCACACGGAGAAGGGGACGACAGAGGACGAGATGGCTGGACAGTGTTCTTGAAGCTACCAACATGAGTTTGACCAAACTGTGGGAGGCAGTGAAAGACAGGAGTGCCTGGCGTGCTCTGGTCCAGGGGGTCACAAAGAGTCGGACACGACTAAATGACTAAACAACAACAACACTCTATAAACAGGTTGCACATTGATTCCTTCATGTCCAGCTTGATGCTGCCTTTACAGCAGATGTCATCAACCTTTTCAGAGCTGAGAGCAATTTTGAAGTTCTGAGCAAGTGATGTGGGTGAAATCGCTCCGCTAGTTTCTTGCCCTCCTTCTCCAGATCAGCCCTCTCCACTATTAAGTTGTGGGTGAACATATCAGACGACACAGCGATTCTTCAAACAGCTCTTGTTTATTCACAGGCCAGAACAGAACTGGACTGAAGGGTTCAGCCAGCCTGCTTATATAGAGCTCCACTAGAACGCAACAGTAACCATTTTCTGTAACTATCCAATCACTGAACGTCACTTTCAATCCCTTATTTGCATATGTGGACCTGAACTATATACAGTATCCCCCTGCTGGCCCAGGGTGAGAACTTCAGTACATAACATCCACCCCCTTCCTTCAAGGCAAGATGGCATTTTGATCCCCTGCTTCTTCCTTCACCAGAAGCAAACGTAGCCTAGCTTGCTCCAGAACAAAGCCTTGCTCAAATGTTTACAAGCCCTAAGCAGGCTGTGAGATGCAGAATCAGAGGATCACGAAACAGCACCCAGGACAACTGGTTTTCATCTCTGTCTCAGATCCTCGAAAATCACAAGCCCAGGCCATTGCCATTTCCGAAATTGCCACCAGAGCTCAATGCAGTGAAAAAGCAACAACAACTCAGATAGACCAGATGGTCCCATTTGGCATGGCAGCTTTAGTTGCCCTAATTTAAAAAGATCAGTCTGAGGACTGGGGTAAAGCACTGAAACCGCTGAGAGAAGATATTGTAAAACTCACCCAAACGTCTCAAACGTTTCCACAACAGATAATGAAGCAATGGAAGTCAGAACTACAGTGGTACCTCAGGTTAAGGACTTAATTCCTTCCGGAGGTCTGTTCAGTAACCTGAAACTGTTCTTAACCTGAAGCACCACTTTAGCTAATGGGGCCTCCTGCTGCCGCTGCACCGCTGGAGCACGATTTCTGTTCTTATCCTGAAGCAAAGTTCTTAACCCGAGGTACTATTTCTGGGTTAGCAGAGTCTGTAACCTGAAGCGTCTGTAACCTGAAGCGTATTTAACCTGAGGTACCACTGTGCAGTCAAATCTCAGCTCCTGAACACCTCCATTTTGGAACATTTCGGCTTTCGAATGCCAAAAACCTGGAAGTAAATGCTCCGGTTTCCGAACATTTTTCGGAAGTCGAATGTCCGACATTGCTTCCGCTTGAGTGCAAGAAGCACATGCAACCAATCGGAAGCCGCACCTCAGTTGTCGAACATTTCGGAAGCCGAACGGGCTTCCGGAACAGATTATGTTTGACAGCCGAGGTTTGACTGCATGATGAAAAATGTATTTTAAAAAACACTCCATCTGACATCAAATTGCAGTTCAAGGATGCGCAGAATCAGGACTGTCACCAGAATCTACACCTCTGAGGGTCTCTGGAGAGCTTTGGAGACACCAACCTACATGAGGATTGTGTGTCCTGGATAAAGAAAATACTTCCTGATGCCATTATACAAGCTGGCCATTTCAAGAGGATGCACAGAGCACTCCATCCAAAGTAAAAGAAAATGGTGAGACATCATTGCTCGCTTTAAAGGTAAAGGGACCCCTGACCATTAGGTCCAATCGTGACCGACTCTGGGGTTGCGGCGCTCATTTCGCTTTATTGGCCGAGGGAGCCGGCGTACAGCTTCCGGGTCATGTGGCCAGCATGACTAAGCCGCTTCTGGTGAACCAGGGCAGCGCACGATAACACCATTTACCTTCCCGCCAGAGTGGTACCTATTTATCTACTTGCACTTTGACGCACTTTCAAACTGCTAGGTTGACAGGAGCAGGGACCGAGCAATGGGAGGTCACCCCGTCGCAGGGATTCGAACCTCCAACCTTCTGATCGGCAAGTCCTAGGCTCTGTGGTTTACCCACAGTGCCACCCGCGTCCCTTTGTTTCCTTTAGCTCCTCCATAATTAAAAATGACTTAATTCAAAAGTTCAGAACACTGAGAAGAACTGTAACAGAAAATTCAACAATAAACATCTACCAGGATCTTTGCACAAGAATGCTGCAACGCAGCTGTGAACTTAAAATTTGCACCACGGTAGTCCATGAAGCAGGCATAAGATACCGATGGGGCTGCCATTCAAACTGCCAATAACTTATGAAGAAGTAACTAAAGACGCTTCCACACAACTGGAGGATTTTTTTTAAAAATCACTGAATCAA